TAAGAAACCAGACAATAACGTATAATATGGAGTAAAGGACGGCGCACTATTTTTACAGAGTGCGGTAAAATGAAAATTGCGCACTTTATTATATGCGCACTCTATTTCTAAGTACCAAAGTGCAAGGAGCCTCTAATACATTTTGCTGCACTGATATCCTAACCCGCACATTCTAGCGTGTGTTGCAGCACTGGAGTATCCGTAGCGCACTAATTGATCGCTAAGGGACTACTTGTTTTGAAAGTATTCTTTAAAAGTAAAGCAAGAAGGCCCAACAGCGACATTCTTACTATCACTACGACCTTGGGTTCGTTCTGGCCACAAGTGAACCTAACGAGCAAAATGAATTTGTTACTTTGAACCAGCAAGTATATACCACCTCATCTTTATCTGGTTGGATTTATCATAGAAAACGATATCGTATATACATTAGACCACATCAATGCGTACAGTTTACCGACTTCGCAACATTTGCTACAGCAAAGCCAAAAACATACACAAAATGTAAAAAAACATCAACACTTTGTTTTTACTCTTTGTATAGTGCTTCAACAGTTTCTTGTGTAGTTTAAAATTTCGTGTTTCACTCCACTTGTTAGTAGTTGGAGCGCACTCTATTTTGTAGCACTCTATTTTTATAACGTTAGTGTGTGCTGTTTTACCGTGCTCTATTTGAAGGGCGCTCTATTAGCTAGGGGAACTCATATCTTTGTAGGTGGGTGTAGACGTAATCACAAATCATTGTGGGGCGAGTGCTGTGGTCGAGCCGAGCGCTGAGCTTGACAAGGATGTCGGTGTCTGGAGTGGCGACAATGTCGGCTTAGAGTTTGTTGCGCGGCGATCGCTTCGTGATGACATCCCGCAACCACCAGAGAGTGATGATGGGCAAGCTGATAGCTACGAAACGACTGCACCTAGTGTTGCAGCTCTGGTGATTGGTGACGAGACCAGGTACAGCCCTCTGAAGACCGCATTTCATCCGCATTTGGCGGTCATTCTCGAGGTGCTGCCTGACCACAAGCTTTACCCTATTCAGATTTTTCGATTGCTGTGGACGCCTGACATCCAGGCCACCATTGCAAGCAACACAAACGAATATACCCGCTCACAGCGAGCTCGAGGGCAGAGTTCCTCGACCTGCAGCAGGGCAAGCATGATGTTCATGCTTACGCTCAGAGAGCACGGTACTTGGTTTCGAACATCGTGACCAACCCGATCGACGAGGCGACCAAGGTCGTCACGTTCATGAAGGGGCTGAGAGATAGGCCTGTGAAGACCTACCGCTTTCGTGAGTACCTGAGTACTCTCGAAGCTGCAATTAATCTTGCAATGCAGGAGGAGTTTAGCCTGCGGCAGGCTAAGCTGCACACACATGAGCCGAGGCCACAGCCACGCCTGGTAGTGAGGACGGGAGGACCAAAACCCATGGACCTCTTGAGTGCTGCAACTGCTGAACCCCAGCAGTCGCAGGGAAACAACATGCGAGGCTACCGTTGCGGTAAATTCGGTCACTTTGCTCGGGAGTGCACAGCCCCCGTGCACCAGCAGGGTGGCTATCGCGGCGGTGCCGGGCACCGTCGCAACAAAAAAAAAACGCTGGACTCCAGTAGGCGCGGGGCGCCCTACTGGTAATTCGGTTCCGCGTGTCGATCTTGGACACGCGACACTGAGGACTGCAGCCCCCAGTGAGGTTCATTCTCACTGCAAGAACCAAGATGACAAGCCTGACCTTGTCATCCTGAACGTAACTCGATGAGAGCAAGCGGCTCTCTCCGTGCTTTGGTAGATTCTGGCGCGTCGAAGAACTTTGTTCGACTGCGAAGTCTATCAAGGCTTGACTTCGAGGGTTTAAAGATACCGCGAAGTATGTTGGAGGTACGACTGGCAACGGGTGCCGTCGTGAAGACCGAGAAGCGCATGGTATGCATGCACTTCACGTATGAAGACCAAGAGTTTGTCGAGACCTTTATCGTCCTGGATCTGGACGATAAGTTTGACATTGTATTGGGCATACCGTGGCTTGCACGGCATGCATAGGAACGAAGAGCGAGAATGAAGAACTGAGGCAGTTCTTCATGGCGAGCATAAGGACACTCTCAGTGCGAAGACGAAGAAGGAGCGCTTTGAAGAGCAGAGCTGGGACTCGTCTTCAACGAGTCCCTACTACGAGATCTTACGGGAGTACGCGGACGTGCTTCCGGAAGAGATTCCTGCGGAGCTTCCGCAGGACAAGGGCATCCAGCACGAGATTGATCTCGTGCCGGGCACGAAGTACTGTGTCACGCGGCAGTGGCCACTGCCGCTAGAGCAGGTCAAAGCGATCGCCGACTTCTTCGAAAGTCGTCGCAAAGCTGGACAAGTGCGGGAATCGAAATCCCCGCACAGTGCTCCGACGTTCTGTGTCAAGAAGCCACAGGGCGGCTGGCGCATCGTTCATGCGTATAACAAGCTGAACGATGCGACGATATCGGCGCAGACGCCGACACCTCGAAAAGATGTTATCATCGATTCGATGGCCAGGAGCACTATCTACAGTGCTCTTGATCTGTGCGATGGGTTCTATCAGATCCTCATGCGTGAGAGCGATATCCCTCTCACGGCAGTGAGCACGCCGAGCGGCATGCTCTGGGAGTGGCTAGTGATGCCGCAGGGTCTGAAGAACGCCCCTGCGACCTTCAACAGGTGCGTGACGCACTTGTTGCGCTCGGTGCGCGACTTCGCACCGAGCTACTTCGACGATGTGTTCGTCCACAGCCGGGCTGCGGACGGGATAAGCGATGTTGAGATGCACAAGGCGCATCTCCGGAAGCTGCTTGCGCTCATGCGCAAGCACAAGCTCTATGCGAACCTGAAGAAGTGCATCTTCGGGGCGAGCGAGATACCCGTGCTCGGGTGTCTCGTTGGGAAGAACGGTGTCCACCCTGACCCTGAAAAGGTCAGAGTGATCAATGAGTGGCCGACGCCGTCGAACGTCAAGGAACTGCGGTGGTTCCTTGGCTTGGCCACGTACTTGTGCAAGTACGTGAAGGACTACGCGGGCATGATACGCCCGCTGTCACAGTTCCTGAAGAAGGACGCCGAGCGGAATTGGACTGTTGAGTGTCAGCAAGCCTGCGATGCAGTTAAGCAGGGCTTGACGGAGGCGCCGATCTTGGCGGTGGCCGACCAAGATCGCCCATTCCACGTTGTGTGTGACGCATCCGACTTCACAATCGGATGTGCGTTGATGCAGCACGATCACGAGGGCCGTGATCGTGTCGTCTACTACCAATCGCGTCAGCTGAAGCCAGCTGAGCGCAACTACCCGGTGCATGACAAGGAGCACCTTGCCATGAAGTACGCACTCGCGAAGTTCTGAGTGTATCTACTCGGAAGCAAACCGTTCGTGGCTATACGGACCACGCGTCACTGCGGACGGCTGTGAAGTTGCCGCACATCTCGCAATGGATGGCGAGATGACTCTCATTCTTCGCATAGTATAACTTCCGGGTTAAATACAAACCCGTAAGACTCAATGTGGTGGCCGACGTGCTATCGCGTCGACCTGACTACGCCACGACTGATACCGCCGTCAATACCATTGGCACCATGCGATCGAGAGCCACAACGTCGTCACCATTGGGCGACGTGAAGGTCGCGTTCGCGCACGACGCGGACGCAAAGCTCTTGCTGGCCTACTGCTCAGCGCCTTCTGACAAAGCTCGTCAGAAGCTGCCGAAGCATCTTCGTGCTCGTGCACACCGTTACCGGGTGCACGACGGGTTATTACTCTACAGTGCAGTCGACGACAACGCGGACCGCGTTGTCGTGCCCAATGACCATGACCTGCGACTCAGGATCATGTGTGAGTATCACGATGCACCGACTGCGGGGCATCCGGGCCGTGAGAAGACATACCTTCACCTCACGCGGGATTTCTACTGGGCCCACCAGTATAAATGGGTGCGCAAGTACGTCCGTGGTTGCGATGTTTGTCAACGTGTAAAGCCTGCGCCCTTCGCGCAGGCTCCCTTGCAGTCACTGCCGACTCCGTCGGAGTGTTGGCAGTCCATGTCTTTGGAATTCGTGTTCGGCCTTCCCCCGGACAGCCAGGGGAACACGGGCGTTGTGGTCTTTGTTGACCGCTTCAGCAAGATGGTACATCTTGCTGCGGTACCCGCTGAAGTGACTGCGAAACAGACGGCGCGTCTGTTCGTTGACATGGTGTTCAAACACCATGGCATGCCGATCGACATTGTGTCGGATCGAGACCCGCGCTTCGCTGCACACCTTTGGCAAGAAGTGTTTACACGTCTTGGAAGTCAACTTTCGATGTCGACTGCGGACCATCCGCAGACGGACGGGCAGACCGAGCGCGTGAACCGCGTGCTCGTAGACGTGCTTAAGAGCTACGCTCACTCGTTCCAACACTGGAGCGAGTGCCTGCCGATGGCGGAGTTCGCCATCAACAGCTCGGTACATGCCTCGACCGGGCATACACCGTTCTACGTGAATGCCATAAGGCACCCACGCCTCCCGAGTCTACTCGGGATGGTGGCTCCTTCCTTAAGTGGGGGAGGATCTACGACTGCAACGCAGCAGCCGCCGAATGCCGCTGACACTTGCACAGTGTCAGCCGCGACTACGCGCAAGAAGAACAAGAAACACGCGTCTGTGCAGGGCAAAGAGACCGCGAAAACGAACGCAGAGGCCGGGCCTACTGCTGGAATCGAGCTGAACTCGTTCAGCTCGGACGCAATCAACTTCGTGCAGCGCAGACAAGCCGTCATTCGGTTTGTCCAATATGCTACTGCAGCTTCTGTTGATTGACAGAAGCTGAACGCAGACAACGTTGGCAGGGGTGTCACAAATGAATTCAATAAGGTTCATTGGTTTTGTTAGCTACTCAAAACCTGCCTAGTCATGCCGTTTCCGACTTCGGGGCGAGCAAACTGGCTCCGCGCTAAATCGGGCCGTTCACGGGGTTGGCACGTCATGGCAACGCCTACACGCTAGATGTTTCATCTAGCATGCGCCTCCATCCAACCTTTTACGTCGGGCGGCTGAAGCCATACCGGCAGCACGAGCCACCTAGCTCGCCTGGCCCGAAGCAGAAGCCCGGCGGGAGCAAACCTCTGCTCCAGCGCGTGAACGCGCTGGACCAAGCTCGCGGCGCGACCCCCAACGTTGACGGAGATGTCCGACGTGGTCTGCGAACCCAGAGCGACTTGAGCCCTCAGGATTGCCATCTCCTGCTTCAGAGCGGTGAACTCGAGGCTCTGATGCTACTCCACTGCAGCAACCCGCTCCTCGAGAGTCGGTCGGCCAAGGTCAACCCCAGGTTGACCATACCTGGGGCGTGCTCCCACCGCCGCCACCGATCCGTGACGCCCGCGGCTCAACACGCTGGATTGTTGAGCGTATTATGAACCATAGTATCCCGAAAACGAACCGGCAGCCGGTTCGTTATCGTATTCGTTGAAGAGGGTTTCCGCCCCACCAAGATACATGAGAGCCGCGGGACGTCCTGCTGCAGGACGTTCCGGAAATGGTGAGGGCGTACAAAGCTCACCACGCACTTCCGGCGTGAAGGTAGTGCGAGCGCTGTAGTTACCTGCAGCGCCCGAAGTCCCACGAGCGTCGCATCCCGCGCTTGCCAGGAACTTGGCACGGAGATCCTTGAGACTCGCAGGTACACGAATCGTCGTGTACCCGTTTAAGTCGCGGTCGCTCAAGCGCGCCGCACCCGGAAGGCACAGCGCATGGAATACCAGCGTCCACAGAGGATCTGTGGAGCTGCTCCAGCTGCCCACGTGTCGAAAACGTCTCGAAGCGTTCACGGGCATGCTTAACCCGCTCGCGGTAAGCAGCCGGTTTCTTGTTGAAGTTCTCAACAAAAACATTCCTACTTTGACAAAGTGCCTGTCACTCAGGCACTTTGCTGCGAGAAGAGGCCTTCTTGCTGGAAAAGTACCGGAGCTCGTGGGAGAGCCCGATGTAGTAATCGCGCCTTTGATTCGTTAACGGATAAAAGTGCTGCTCCTCCGCCACAGCATCGTCGTGGATGCAGCTGCATACGTACAGCGGGATTTCATTTGGAGGCACGGTGTTGCCCACACGATCTGCGATCTCCACGGATCGCGCCGTGCCTGAGCTGCGCGAGGAGAGCTTGAAGACGCCACATCACGCGGGGAACTTAAAGCCCCAGCAGCAGAGAACGGAGTGTCGCTCTCGCCGCGCGAACGCTTCGAACTCGAAGCGTCCGAGTCGTCTCCTTCACGAGGGCGTTTCGACCCGGCATGTGGGTCGAGACTATCGCTGTCGATAGACTCCTTGCGCCTGCTTGACTAGGTCTCGCCCTCTTCCATCTCCACGTCGCCGTTCCCGTAGTCAACGGCGTCGTTGACTAAAGAGGATCCTTCGAGGACAATCTCCGGCTGGATGTCCCCGCCGCAGCCTTGGCAGCTGGGGCGTCACGCTTTGCTCCATGACGCTCGAAGTACTCGGGGACAGATAGAGTCCCTGTCCCGGCGGAGGTCTCCCCCTCTGCTGCAGCGGCGGTCTTCTTCGGCGAGCTCATTGCGGAATGAGCTCGAGTTTTCTTTCTCCCAACGTGAAGAATTGACGAGTGGTCAATTTCCTGATTGACGTGCCGTGACTCGGCGCGTCTAACCTTGACGGGGGGATGGTATAACGGGGTTACACGCACAAGTGGCTACAGCTACTTGTAAGGAATAGTGTCAGGAGGGAAATATTGTAGGAGTTTTCGTACTGTCAGGTTGCAATGTACGTATCATGATGCGGGCAAGCCTTCCTTCAATAACGTGGTAAGTTACGTAGCATAAGAGGCAGCGTGTAACGGGGTTACACGCACAAGTGGCTACAGTCACTTGTTACTCTAACAGACACGACGTATGTTAGAGGTTCGAAAGACTTTCTCGACCTTGGTGTAAGGTACACCAATGGCTACATACATTTGGGACCACCACGACGGGTGGTTCATACACATTTAGGGTTCCTATTGGCTGAAAGCAGCATCTTTTAGCCAATGAGCGATTTGCATGTTAGCGGAATCCTTCCAACCAGCCGTTGGCAGATACCTAGTTTAGAATATTACATTTAGGGGGAGTCAAAGCATACAACCCAAAAACATTATTTGGATCGTTTATTTAGATTAATCTATACTCGGAGGCCCGAGTATAATTAATTCTAGTATAAACTAAGCTACGCTTCCTCACACACGGGCGCACACATGTAAGCTAAAGGAGTGAACCAAAGTAGGCCCATTACAATGCCCGTGCCAGCGAATACAACTCGATCGCAGTGTCAGGCCCTGGAAACAAAACCGACTGGAAATGTGAGGTATGCCAAAAAGTCTTCTGCATGAACTCATCGCGCAACTGCTTTCACGCTTATCACCGCGCTATTAAGAACAAATCGAACTTACCGGGAAACTTACTGTACTACCACGATTATGTTTCAGCAATGGCCAAATCTGGGCACAATCGGCTACTAAGAGTGAAAAGGGCGGTATCAAAATTAAGAACGGGCGCCGTCAAAATTCAACAGAGTGCACCATCAAAACCTGATCTAATGATACGTAGGAGCCCATTGGCCAAAACGAGTCAGCCGACCAGGCCGAAATCTGTGAAAGATTGCCAGTCACTAGAGTGACGCCAGTTGTTGACATCGGCCTTGAAGCCGGAGGCAGCGCTGGCGTCGGCGGAGCTGGAGTCGGCGGAGTTGGCGGAGACAGAGTCGGCGGAGTTACCGGAGCAGGAGTCGGCTGAGCCCGTGACGCCTTCGCGTACGACTGCTGAGCCCGTTACCCCCGAGCCAACCACGACTGGGCAGTGCTTCGACGGAGATGTTCGCGGAGCTGGAGCCCAGCGAAGCTGCTGGTGCAGCACGTGCAGGTGGCCATGACGCCCTTCAAGTTGGTGGCGAAGCCGAGACGTTGGTTTGCCACAAAGTGGAGAAGCGGGCGAAGGCGCTTGTTTTAAGAGCACAGAGGACATGTATTGCTAAAACCTTTACGTGTATATAGAATTCAGCCAACTTGCACATATTAGGCGGTTGTGGTATAGCGACACGCACAAAAACGTCAGTTGGGGTAACTTGACTACAAACACAACAATAGCCGAGCATGTCGGTCTTGTTGGCCTGCGGCGGGTTGCCCCCGAGTGATTCGGCCCAACCGGGACAGCGGGTGTCTCGCCTCTCGCTGAGACCTGCCAACCAAGATCACTCCTCCGGAGAACCGCCGAGTTCGACGGTCTCCGTTCACACAACCCTGTGCCCTCCACCAAAGGGTGGACGACGGCCCTCGCGGGCTTTACGGGTCGCCGAGAGCAAAGGCAACCCGACTCAGCAATCAGTGCCCGGGACGTACGGGAACACCGGCTCGCAGCAGTGGCGAGACTTTCCTTCGCGCTTGGCGAGATACACGCCCAACCCGGGTCGACCTTATCTCTTGGCGCTGCCAGCCGAGTACCCTACAAACTATGCCTCTCGGGTACCGGCAGCAGACATAATCCGGCCCCGTGCAGGGACTTACCGGATCGTGTACACGTGCTTTAGGCCTAGAAAATTCTGCTCTGTTGGTTGTTATCTCTGTCGGGTGCCCTGAAGGGGTGCCTCCATAGTTCCTAAGTCCCTATACAAATACCAAGTGAAAGTGGGCGGTTTTGGATTTCGGCCGACCTTTCGCGGAGCTCGGCGACGCTTGTGCTCGGCTGAGCCGGATACGGCGTGTCCGGATAACCTGGCGAACTCGGCTGAGCGACCCTTGGACTCGACTGGGCGACTCCCGGACTCAATTGAACCCGATTACCGTATCTGGATGGTACGTGGTGCCGTTTAGCCGAGCTCGGCGGCTTGAACTCCCCATGATCTCGGCTGAGCGTGTCCAGTGCCTTCCTGAACTCGGCTGGGTCTTCATCACTGGGTCTGCCACGTGTCACCAGGTCGGGGCCGGTGTGTCTTGAGTTTCTGACACCATCAGCCGAGTTCAGCGGTCCATCTGCGCATTCTTGCCCACTGAGCTCGGCGGATGGTCATCCCGCCGAGTAGAACTTGTCTCCTGGTACGTTGTTCCACTGCGGCCTTGGAGTGTGACACAAAACTTGATGTTCCCTACACCACAACTGCCCCGAACATGCTACGAGCCGTAGTGGTGAGTAGCCTGGCCAACAGGATGTGTCTCACGCTTGATTTCGTCCAATCAGATCTGTCGCTAACACTCTGACTTCACATTACCCGAATTCGAGTGGCCAGAAACGCCCGCACCGCCAGCTCGACGCCGTCGTTCCGTGAAGGTGAGACTTGCTTGAGGCTTGATCTTTGGTATAGGCCTTGTCTGATGCGTGGACTCCGCGCCTCATGGGTCTGTACACATGTAGGTGCCCCTATCGCTCGCACCAAACCCCGTCGTCGAATCACTTCAGCAGCGAATCAGCCTGGATGGTCGTCTCGGCGTGACAGCCGGTAGCAGTAACTGAACCATACGAAGTCAGCTGGTGCCCCTGTCGAAGCTTGGAGTACTAGCGGTGATGTTGGGCCTGCCGCAGCAAAGCGAGTAGGTGATGCAGGTGTCGGGGAAGTGCTCGATTGGCTGCAATACCGACGAAGCCGAGCATCGCTGTCTCCGTCAAAATGAGCAGCCATGGATGCTGCTAGTGGCTCGGCTGACCAGGTAAGCACGTGCCTCTCTTTTCGGTGCGTCGAGTGGACCCTGATAGTTGTCTTGGCATGCTACAAGGCACCGGGGATTGGGCGGGTCAAGAAACGCTTCCCCGATCGGGCCGCGCTGAGCTCGAAATCCAACCCAGCTGAGCTTATTGGCGAGAAGTACAGCAGCAAGTTGAACTTGACTATGTCCGAACTCGGCTGTCCTGACGCCTAGCTGCTATTTACTGACCTTTAACTCGGCTGAAGTTGAACACAGCCTCCGCTTGATCGACTCAACTAGCCTGGTAAGTGTTTGCCCCACTCACTTTGGTGCGTTGAGTTAGCTCTCACAGCTGCTGTGTCATTTTATAGACGAACAAGGCGATCCTGATGCGTTTGGTGCTCCAGTCGAGTTGTCCTGAACGGGCCGAGCTGGGTTCAGTGGTCAACGGACCTTGACTTCGGCATGTCTCCAACTCTGTTAGACCAGCTTGGTTGGGAAGATGGTGGGCAAGCTCGACTGGAACAGCACTTCAGTGAATTCGGCTGAGCTCGGCTACCGGTACCATGTACCACTCCAGCCGAGTTGGTCGCACGAAATCTGGTGTTTCCTACACCCCAACTGCCCCGGTCATGTTCCGAGCCGAGTTGGTGAGGGACCTGACCATCACTCTTCGAGTCAGTTGAGTCAAATCTCGGCCAAAACTCCAACGGCAGCGAACAAGTCCCCACGCTATGTCGTCGTCAGACGCTCCTGCCGCTCCTCCGGTACGCCCTTCATCTCCGACTGCTTCATTCGTTTCTGCTGCTGACTCTTCTTCTGGTGGACTTCGCAGGCTTCGGTAGCGATTTCGCACATTTCACGTCTTCCCGTGCGAGATGAGGAGGGGTCCGCTGAGTTGGCCGACTCGGCGTCCCGGGCTCACGGGGTCGGTGATGGGCAGGGCACCCTGTCATCGATCTGACAACTTCCCGTGGGTTCGACCGGGAGTCCGAGTCAGCGTTTCGCACTTATCCTCGCCGCTCGCCGAGTCCGCGTGATGACACCACTTCGGGCGCCGCCGGCTCCGGTCGGTCGGACTCGGCTGGGTCGGTGAGTCTTGGCTCTCTCGCTGCGTTGATCCATGAACAGTCTGAGCAACGTCGCATCGAGAACACGGACATGGCTCGGTTGCTGTCCTTCGTGATCACTCGGCCAGCACCGGGAGCTGACAGAGAGGTCCGCCGAGCTGCTCTTGAGGCAACCTCGGTCAGCGAACTTGTGTGCTTCGTGGTCAGTATCAACCCCAAAGTCACGTCGGTGACTCCGCTGCGCAGAGGGTCGAGCTGAAATCGGCCAAGACCATCAACGCTGACTTGACTCGGCGGTTGGATTCGCTGGTGGCTGCGAAGGCTGACCTCGAGGAACGGTTCAAGCCCGCTGAGGAGGAGCGTGACCGGTGGAAAGCTGAGTCCCAGAAGTCGTCTCCTCTCCTGACCAGCTTCCAGAAGGCGTTGGCTGAGTCTGAGGCTTCCTTGAAGTCGGCTCGCGACTCCCAAGATGCTACGGTCCAGTCAGCTTTTGCCCGCGCCCAAGTGCTCAGCAAGGAGATAAAGGAGCGTAATTCGGAGATTGAGAGCTTAACTCAGCTGCTCTCTGCTCGCGATGCCGAGTATGCTGCGCTTCAGGCTGTCTCAACCAAGCATTTCGAGCAGCTGCAAGAGTCGGCTCAACAATCCGCAACGCCAAAGCTGTCATCAAGCACCAACGTGAGGTAATCCTTCGGCAGAAGCGGATCATCTCTCGGAATGGCGTGCTACCCATGCACGACCCCCACATGGCCGTAGCGGCTGCGGCTGGTCTGGGTGTGCCTGGTATGAACCCAGCTGACCTGCAGCTCAATGCTCGTTTATGCCGATTTTTGACTCAGCGTTTCCCTGAGGTGATGGATATCCCGGCTGGTGAGACTCGTCGGGTCGAGCTGATCACCCACCCCCGAGCGGACGGCGCAGCTACTACCCCGCCAGTGGCCGTGAGCTCGGCTGGCTCTTTCCTCGGGTAATCGACTCGACTGACTGAGCCCGAGCTTCAAGGGTCTACCGGTTCTGCGGCTACTCCGGCTGTCGTTGCCCCTGTTGTCACGTCGCGATTCCGTTGCAGCAAGTCGGTCGAGCAGCTCCGACGAGCTCGGCTGGATATGTTGACGCCAGCCGAAAAATTGCGTCGCTATTCAAACCCGAAGTCGGCGACCGCCGCTGGTCCTCGACGCAAGCCTCAGAAGCCTCTAATGCAGCCGTACGCGTGCCCACTGCCTGGCGAAACTGGTCACGCAGATGCATCTGCTCGGCTCAACGAAGCAGCCCAAGAGACTTCTCCAGTTTGTGACTTATCACTCCAGTCTGGCTTGAATTTGGCCGGTCTCACAGTTGAGGACGTGCCTGCTGGTGACGACGTTCACTCACTAGAGGGCGACCTCTCCTTCGAGTTCAGCGAGGTTCCCAAATCCGCCGAGTTTCCTGTGGAGTCGGTTAGTCCAGCCAGCGACGAGTGGACCGCTCGTCAGACTGGTCCCGTATCCTTCCTCTCCGGATCGTACGCCTGCGCCGACTTCCGGCTCTGCCGTTCCAGGTATCGTCGCCTCTTCGAGCATGCATCCCCCAGCCAGGCGTCTGGTGTTTCATCGTCTTCGTCTGGCGCTGAGCCGAGTTTCCATCTCTGTGTCGTCAAGTTCGCTGGATTCTTCTTTGGCCACGCTAAACTCGGCTCTCTCGCTTTCCGTCTCGACTCCGCTGCCGACCTGTGTTCGATGGGTGCCTCCTACCAGTACTACGCCTAGTTCGGTCGTCGCCAAGAGTGCGGTCATCACACCTAGTCCGGCTGTGGCTTCAACTCCGACCACAGACGTAAGTCGCTCCGCTGCTCCGCCAGCGAGTGTTGAGCCGACTATGACTACTTCGAGCTCGGCTGCTGATGTTTCGGAGGCCGCTTCGGTTTCTAGCCGGTCTCCTGGTTCGGTTCCTGTTGCAACTCAGTTGGACTCGGCTTCAACTTCGCGAGGTGCCCTCAGCTCGACGTCGGCAGCCGTGAGCGCGCCGAGCTCGGCTGCCCCAAGCTCGACTGTAACCCCATCTCGGGCTTCTGGTGGTTCAGTCTCCCAGGTGTCACGGGCTGCTGTTGGGTCTCCAACGCACCGACTCCTCGCTTGTTCTCGACCTCGGTTCCCAAGTCCGAACCAGGGTCGTCATGGTTCGTCGGGAGTTGCTTCGACTGTGGTCACGTCCTTGCCGGGTACTTTATCTCCAGCGTCGACTCGGCCGACCGTTCCTATGAGCTTGGCTGTGATGACATCTCCTTCTGGCCGTCCACTACGCCAGACTGCTGCCACCGCACGAGTGTTGAACGCGCACTGCTTGGATTTGCTGGAGACTCTGGATTACGTCGTTATCCGTTCAACTCGTCGCAGCTCGTCTTCCGGTTCATCCGACTCGGTCTTGACCTGGATGCTCCGCGGACATCGGCGCACCCGCTGACCGTGTCAGAGGATTCTGAGTCCACAGCGGAAGACCCTGGGTCGGCTGACGAACTCAGCTCAGTCGACTCGGATGATCTCAACGGTACTCCACAGTCTCCCTCTCTTCCGCCTCCGCTCATGGGAAACTTCAGAGTTAAATGGCAGCTCGTCAATCCCCTCGTGTCCCTTCCAGTGACTCGGGCGATTCAGACTCACAGCCGAGTTCCAAGTAGCAGAGCGGCAAGGGCAAGCGCAAGCGCAAGCTCAAGCACAAACACAAACACAAGCACAAACACAAGTCACAGGCGAAGTCCAGGTCCAAGTCGGCAGGGTCAAAGAAGTCGAAGAGGTCTGCGTCTCCGGACTCGGCTAAGGACCCCCGCCCGTCCAAGCGTCAGAGAGGTTTGACTGGGGACTCGGCCAGCGGCCCGGCCGGGGTTTCTGCCGCTTCCAGGTCGACCAGCAACTCGGTGGGGGGGGGGGCTCTGGTATCACATCAAGCTCGGCTGTTTTGCCGTCACCTACTTCTGCTGGCCCAGCTTCAACCCCTTCGGTGCCTATCGTGACTGAGCATGATGCTGGCGCCCACGTTCTCCCTGAGTTGTCTGCAGCTTTACGCTATTCGTTCGCTCCGCTGCGCATTCGAGCTCGTCAGGTGGTCGGCCGAGATGCCCGGATCACTCCCCAGCTAGCTTAGCTGCGTGACGTCCGCTTCGTCCATTACGGGTCTTGGCGGTGCTGGGAGGCTATACTCAGCCATCAAACAGCCAAGATAACTGTGGATGACGCGTTGGGGAAGGACTGCGTGCCGGTTACGCTCTGTTCCCTCGCTGGTATTAAAGCGTTCGCGGACGTCTATCATCCGGATCACCCGGCTCAGCGGCTTCTTCGTCTGCTTCCCAAGGCTCCCATTCTTCTCTCCTCAAGTCCTCGATGATGCCAAGCACCGGTTGGCGAACTCGGTGAAATCGGCGACTTTGATGGAGCGTCTCGCAGAAGTGTTCGTGAAAATCCGTGGGGAGGCTCCGAACTCGGCTTGTGTCAAGGAGGGTCCCACCAAGTTCTTCGTGGCGCTGTTCGAGCGGTGTCACTGGATGGTCGAGTCGAGTGTGCTGATGGGGCTCCATCCGGCTTTTCACATGGGGCTCCCGCAGCCGAGATGTAAGACACGAGGGTGCTGTACACGTTGGCTCGCAAGCGTCGCAGCGATGCCCTCTGAAATCGCATGACTATCCTGCCGGACGACCTGTTCACTACAGTGATGAGGCTTCTCGGCGGTCTTAGTGCCCCTGAAATCGATGCGGAGCTCTTCTTCGAGCCATCGGTCCGTTGTATCCCCTGGTCAATCTCGCTTGGATTCCTGCAGGCCGAAACTGGTGTGCGGAAGCCGAGTCCGTGGAGAACTCGGAGCCCTGGCGACCTTGTTGGCTGACTGACCCGGCGACGCACCCGTACAACACTTGATTCCGGACCCGTAACTTGGCGTTTATAGTGTTTGCTCCTGCTGGGGTCGACCCGCGTATTGTCGAGGATGCTATTGATGTGGACGTGGATCTCGACGAGCCGGCTCCTCTCCAGATTTCGTCGAGTGCTCCAGTCCCCTTCAACCGAGCTGGGATTCACATCTTCCAAGGTCGTGAAGCTGACGAACTCGGCTGGGCCGCTGGTGATGTGGATCCAATGTCTCTGCTGATCTGATCGCCTAACCTGTGCGGTCCTTCTGCGACAGCGTCTCTCTTCGGCCCTGCATCGCCTCGATCTCCAACCGATTTAGGTGTGTCTACTTCTGCTGACTCGGCCATTCCTGCTTCGAGCTCAGCGGACTCGGCTGTTCCAACATCGGGCTCGGTGGACTCAGCTGCAGAGGACACTGAGGCAGTGGGTGGCTCGGCTGGGCTGGCCACGAGCACCGGAGGCTCGATCGGCCTCCTTGCTGCGGCTGCAGCTACCGTTGAGGCGTCCACGGCTCTTTCGCAGGCTCCTCTTTCTCCATAATATGCTATATGACGCACGAGTTCATCTATCATTCTCGCCATTTCTTCGGTATGAATTTTATGTAGTGTATGCAGGTTTGACGCAATTTTTCTTCGTGTCAACTCAGCCTGCTGTCTTCACTGAGTTGGCGGGTTCGTCATCGTGGTGCAAGAGCCTTAATCCTGGTCTGCACCTTGCACCAGTTGCAGGCGGTTTTCACATTTCTTCTGGCGGAAGTAGTTGAACAACGATCCACCACATGACACGTTCGCCCCACTTGACCTTGAACTTTCGCTGAATTCTGGAGGGTCTCGTAGAGAGCGACAACTCGTCGTCCAGGATGGCTTCGACTTCGTACTCATTCGTTGATTCGTCAGACTCCCAGCTATCCTCAGAAAGGAGTTCCTCGTCAAAGTCGAGACGATCCGACTCGGCTAAATCTGTAGTGGGCCTACCTTGGCTCACTACTACGGCTTTCACGTATGCGCACGTGTATGAGGAAGCGTAGGTTTCTTTTACTTGAGTTAAGTATACTCGAGATCCACGAGTATACTTTAAACAAGATAAAGACTCCAAGTAGCGGTTTTGGTAAAAGATGAGAACTGCTATTTTTGTTTTATGTTTCTGACTTCCTCTAAATGTAATATTCTAAGATAGGAATCTGCCAACGGCTGGTTGGCAGGATTCTGCAAACATGCAAGTCACTCATTGGCTAAAATATGCTGCTTTCAGCCAATAGGAATCCTAAATGTGTATGGACCACCCGTCGTGGTGGTCGTAAATGTATGTAGCCATTGGTGTACCTTACACCAAGGTCGAGGAAGTGTTCAAACCTCTAACAGATATCGCATCTGTTAGAGTAACAAGTGACTGTAGCCACTTGTGCGTGTAACCCCGTTACAAAATCGGCTACCAGCCTTGTTGTCGGTCGCTCGCCGAGTCCCATGACTGCCTTCAGACGTGACACATGTACCACAGGGTAGAAACGGTATCCGCTCTTGTCCGGAAGTTCGAGCTCGTAAGCAAACTCCTCCACCTTCTTCTTCACTCGGAATGGTCCATGCCATCGATGTGCCAACTTCTTGGTCAACCCAGGTCGGACTCGTTCCATGAACAACCAAACTGGGTCACCTTCCTTGAATAGCGACTTTCTCGACTCGGCTATCTCGTCACCTTCCTCAGTCGACTTGGCTGCTCCCTCAGGTGAGTTCGCTGGGGTATCCGTCCCTTCCTCTCCGGCTGGGACAGCTCTCTGCTCGACTCGGCTGAGTCCGTCATTGTGTTCCTTCGCTCTCCGTTGCTCCTCGTTCAACTGGAGCTCGGCTGCAAGCTTCAAAGCCATCTCGCTCTGTCGGTTTGCTTCCCTGCGCCTTCGGCTGCCCCAGACGAGTCAGCTGAGTTGCTCCTGTCGAGCCTGACTGACTCGGTCATCGCCTTTAGTGTAGACCGAGCGTCCCATCCGTGTACCGGGTAGTACGGGGTCTCTCGCCGAGTTGAGTCTCTCGAATTGTTCATGAAATGGACGAGCTTCTCAGCTACGTCACCCCAGTCGGTTTGGAAAGGGTCTTCCACGTACACATGCACAGTCTGGATCATGGTCTTCACTGAGCGTTCTTGCTGGGACCGTTGGCTTGTGGCTGGTAACTCAGCGTCGCTCTCGCCTTTGATTGCATCATCTCCGAGAACTTGTGGAACACTTCACTCATGAACCGGGGATCCCGGGTCGCGGCAGCACTTGTGGTATAGCGACACGCACAAAAACGTCAGTTGGGGTAACTTGACTACAAACACAACAATAGCCGAGCATGTCGGTCTTGTTGGCCTGCGGCGGGTTGCCCCCGAGTGATTCGGCCCAACCGGGACAGCGGGTGTTTCGCCTCTCGCTGAGACCTGCCAACCAAGATCACTCCTCCGGAGAACCGCCGAGTTCGACGGTCTCCGTTCACACAACCCTGTGCCCTCCACCAAAGGGTGGACGACGGCGCACAGAGCGCTTTTTACAGGTCGCCGAGAGCAAAGGCAACCCGACTCAGCAATCAGTGCCCGGGACGTACGGGAACACCGGCTCGCAGCAGTGGCGAGACTTTCCTTCGCGCTTGGCGAGACACACGCCCAACCCGGGTCGACCTTATCTCTTGGCGCTGCCAGCCGAGTACCCTACAAACTTTGCCTCTCGGGTACCGGCAGTAGACATAATCCGGCCCCGTGCAGGGACTTACCGGATCGTGTACACGTGCTTTAGGCCTAGAAAATTCTGCTCTGTTGGTTGTTTTTTCTGTCGGGTGCCCTGAAGGGGTGCCTCCATAGTTCCTAAGTCCCTATACAAATACCAAGTGAAAGTGGGCGGTTTTGGATTTCGGCCGACCTTTCGCGGAGCTCGGCGACGCTTGTGCTCGGCTGAGCCGGATAAGGTGTCCGGATAAGCTGGTGAACTCGGCTGAGCTCGGCTACCGGTACCATGTACCACTCCAGCCGAGTTGGTCGCGCGAAATCTGGTGTTTCCTCCTCGTCAGGCGCTTCAGAAGGGAACAAGTCGACCTGGAAGCCTTAATAACGTTGAACGAGCCCCGCGTCATCTCTTCCAGTGCATCCGCCAACGACCGAGACGGGTTCGCGTCAAGGTGGCACATGATTTTGTAGAAGTAGTGAAGCATGTAGATCCCGCAGTCGATAGCATTGACTTGGCGTGGATTGGTCTCATACACAAGCGAGCGCGTGTCGACTTGATTAGGGTTGTTCGCGGTGACCATGCAGAAGAACCAGCGTAGCATAGAAAACAAGTACTTCGGGCTATGCGTATTGTTGAAGCCGCGAGCGGAGTTGACGTGGTAAAATATCTTTGTGTTCCCTTCCCCGAGCTCGATCACCAGCAGACTTCAGTGACGATCCATTACTACAGGCAGCAAGTAGTAGTTGTAGGCAGACCAGTCAACCGCTCCAGTAATGGCCTCGGGCTGACGATCTTCGGAGGAAGTGTACACGGTGTTGATCTCGACGAACGTGATGGACAACATCGGGAAGACCGCTCCTGCAGTTTTTGGCGTGTAGCACGACACACAAAAGTCAACGACAGGGCATGTCAGCATGCTGCCTTCCTTGACGCTTGCGATGTCATCTGGAAACAGCGGAATCGGCACGGAGATGGATTTCGATAAACCCTCGTCATGCTGCTGGACAGTAACGGGAGAATTTGCGCTCTTTCTCTGTCTGGACCTGTACCCATGTCCTTCGGAGCCGTCCGCATGGTGCAAAACGTGGCTACGACGAGATGTTGCGTTGCGGAGCTGTGGTGGCACCACGACAGCTTCTTCACGCTGTTTTCCTACGCCGTGTTCAGCAACCTCTCCGTCTTCACCAACTTGCTCTGCCCCCTCCGATGCTTCACCTGCCTGTACTTCGCCTTCATCTCTCGCACCAGATCTATCATTTTGTTAAGGGTTCCGTTTCTGCATCGGTTCCATTTCTGATATTCTTGGCGTCTCGAAACGTTTGCCTGCCTTATTTTCTTCACTTTCACAAAGCTGTTAGTTGCTGTCGTTTCGTTCATGGCGTGGTCGCTGAGGCTGCTGGTTCAAGCGGTGGGTACAGCCGGAGAGGGTCTGAGTCTTGTGACTTTTTTTTTCTTGTTCGGGTCGTAACGGTCCAAGAAGCGCACTATGCGGGTCTGCTGGGCGCCGGATTCCAGGATTACAATATCGGGGAATCTAGAATGAGAATGCGGTCATCTCGGGTACGGAAACGGCACCATTCTCACGCAGCGAATCATCCAAGAATCATCTGAGTAACTCCTCCTCGTGCGAGGCAAACTCGTACTTGCGCCCTTCCACCCTCCCCTCGGTATCGCTTTCCGGCATCAGGTGGAGGCCCGGGCATGTTCAACTACTTCTTTCAGTCCAAACGGGTTGATTTTCGCCTCCAGGTCTCCTTGATAGCTTGAGCAGCTGTCCACATTTTATTCTTCCAGTCTTGAACTATCTCCGACTGCTTCGGTATGGTGATTTTAGCACCCATGAAGACGCAAACATACGGATCGGCCGAGGGGGGGGTCCGACGGGAGAAAACACTGAGTGTATAGCAACGCTCCAAACGGGACAGGACCGCTCGGGTGAACCGTGACACTGGGTTGCTGAACCGTGTTCGTTGTTTACTGAGCCGGGATCGTTGCTTCTTGAACCGGGATCGATGATTGGTTAATACTCACCCGGAATTGAAGATTGACCGATGCTGCTCTCCATGCAATAATCGGACCAGATCGAGTTATTGTGTGCGCGTGCGCACACTAAACTGAACAGTTTTTTTTTGTTTTTGAATTGAGGTTCCATTGGTGTCACTTAGTTAGTACGATCGCTAACGACACCTAAAGACCGGGACCTCACCTGTGCCAATAAGCGTCACTAGGCAGGGGGCTCTCTGGACCAGAGTGTGGGAGAGTCTGAAAATTAGTGCAAAGCGCGACCTCAAGCGAGGTCAGGTGGTTCGTACTCGCCACCCACGAGGTCGGTAGATACAGGGCAGGGGCCCTGCACCTCGTGTTGGGCGGCCGTCGGCCGCTGTCCCATGGGGACTTGACTTGAGCTTTTTGATCGCGTTCTTCCGGCCCGTGCTATAGGATGCGTTTAAACTGTGTTTAGTGGTCTGGATTGCCGTCATAGATTAAGGCCGATAAGCCAGTCTGGCGTCTGGCGTTTTCGGACGAAGCTGACAGACAGTATTGTTGGAGCCCCGGTGGAATTGGTCAGTATTGGCGGAAATATTGTTGGTGCGCGATTGGGTTGTGGTATAGCAGTACACATAAAAACGTCAGTTGGGGTAACTTGACTACAAACACAACAATAGCCGAGCATGTCGGTCTTGTTGGCCTGCGCCGGGTTGTCCCCGAGCAGTTCGGCCCAACCGACACAGCGGGGGTCTTGCCTCGCGCCGAGACCTGCCAACCAAGATCACTCCTCCGGAGAACCGCCGAGTTCGACGGTCTCCGTTCACACAACCCTGTGCCCTCCACCAAAGGGTGGACGACGGCGCACAGAGCGCTTTTTACAGGTCGCCGAGAGCAAAGGCAACCCGACTCAGCAATCAGTGCCCGGGACGTACGGGAACACCGGCTCGCAGCAGTGGCGAGACTTTCCTTCGCGCTTGGCGAGACACACGCCCAACCCGGGTCGACCTTATCTCTTGGCGCTGCCAGCCGAGTACCCTACAAACTATGCCTCTCGGGTACCGGCAGCAGACATAATCCGGCCCCGTGCAGGGACTTACCGGAACGTGTATGTGGCGATGTGGGTTCCAAATCACGGAAGTAGCCGCTAGGCTAGACCTTAATCTCAGATAAGACAACCTAGAATCAGAGCTAAAATCTAAATCCCAGATCCTGTGAGACGTTTGTTCCTCCCTCCTGCAACCCCTTGTCTTGGTTCTTGCTAAGGCTACGCTCCGGACTTGCGTCGGCCACACCAGCTGCCTCCGAACTCGAACGTGTCCAGGTAACTTAAGACGAAGATTGCTCCTTACTTGGAAGGCCCTTGTCCGCACTTGTGTAGCCCGAATTGCCCCAGTTTCTTGAATATACAAACGTCAACCCACACACTTAGCCCACTCGTCTTATCAGGCCCTTGGACTCTGGGTCTGGACAACATAGGGCTTGGGGGTCTGATGGATGGGTTCAGATTCAAAATCTGATGGAAGCTCATCACATGTACACGTGTTGTAGGCCTAGAAAATTCTGCTCTGTTGGTTGTTATCTCTGTCGGGCGTCCTGAAGGGAATCCTTCATTGTTCTTAAGATTCGATACAAATACCAAGTGAAATGGGCGGTTTTAGATCTTGGCCGACTTCTTGCTCTGCTAGCGGCGCTTCGAACTCCGATGCACCGGATAACCCGTCCGGGTGCCTCTGAGCTCGGCTGGGTATCCCTGAGCTCGCCTGAGCTCGGCTGGGCACTTCCTGAACTCGGCTGTGGGTACCGAGTACAAACTCTCCCAACTTGACTTGGCCCTCTGAGTACTTGGGTACAACGTGCTTGCTGTGGTAGTGTCGAGTCGTGCTGATAATGTCTGCATCACAGGGTAACCCTGGGTAAGGCAGCTATTTGCCTCCGTAGTGCCGGTTACGTATGACTGGAACAGAATAGGATCCTAGTAGCCCCCACCAAATTCGTAAGAAGTATGGTCTAGCCTTGCAGAAATCGTTTAAGTTGAACTCGGGATATACAGCGGAGTCGGGTACGCGCAGTATGTTGCAGGTAAGGCGTGCGCACTCTCCGCCGTCGACGAAGGTATCCCATAGAGTGCAGAAGTGGTAGGATACATTCCGACCTGAAGTCAAATTCGGATGGATTGGGATGCACCATCAAGCCGTTAATCGTAGGAAGAACATTCGAATAACATCGAGCTGCCGCATCTCCCAAATTGGACAGGCATTCGTCCGCATTGCCAGCTACACCGCTGTTTGCAATACCACTAGTAGAGCCAATCGCCGTCGCGGGCTCGATTAAAAGGGGCGCGCCGCCAGTTTTATCGACACGTTTGGTGCGTTGTTTTTTTCGCGCACGCCTGCTTAATAGCTTGCCACCGACCCCGGTGTAATCCCCCACGCCCCAATCTACCTGCCAATTTTTATTCTGAAAGGTCGGCTAAGGGGGATGAGCTGTCTTGTTTGCCTCGAACAGGACAACTCCCCTTTCCGACTTCAACCCATAGTCCACTATTCGTGAATTTACCTCAATAGGGCTAACGCGCGCAAAGAAGCATCGATGAGTGTGTTTCAACGTTCATGCCTGCAACGACGTGCATTGGGGTCGCTAGCGCTGCGTGTGGTGGTCTTGCTAATACTAACTTATGTGCATGCAGGTGTCGAGATGTCGCTGAGCCGAGCGGCGGCGGCGGCGAGCGCCAGAGCGGCGATGCATTGGACTAAATCGAGAGCGGAAGGCCTAGTATGTGATTTGGTATGCAAGAAATGAATTGCCTTCTTGTCGTGACAGTACATAGTGAACCCAAGTATGTTTACCACTGTTGACAAATTTACTGATTCCCACTAAGGTATGATGGCTTGTGCAAAATTGCTCGTCGAGGCTGTGTAGGGTTCGGACCTCCCTAGAAGTTTAAAACGGGTGGGTGTACTTGCTTTCTGCTAGGCAACTCTACGGAGGTTGCATGTGCTAGCACATCACAAAGTAGTTTGCAAGCTGACAGAGGATATGTAGGCTTCTGACAGACGGGCATTGGCTTAGTTGTTAGGCTACCTAAATGACTGTAATGTACCTCACCAAAATCTAACATATCGCTTCTTGACGTTAGCACGAGGATGTATGTGACGGACGTGGATATCCGTAACATGAGAAGAATGGTAGCGCTATTTCTAGCAAGTATTGTGAATTCCGGCCAAATTTGCCGAATCGGGTCGGTTTTGGGGCCCCTGTCCAACCGACCAATACAAACATCAAGTCATTTGCCGAATCGCGGGCCAACAAACATATGGTTCTGTGCCCGTATGTCAATCCCAATCCGTACTTAACAGGGAGTCAAGGGGGCATAGCCGGGCGACCATAGTCAACCCAAGTGCTTTGGCGATTCGCCGGCGGTTTGCCACAGTCGATTCAATCCGCCACGCTCGGAAAATTAGAGTAGAACTCACAATACTGATAGCAATAAAGAAGTTGTATGGTGATGCACGACAAGGTCTAACATGAAAACCGCGGGCTGGATGCAGCGCGGGGAGCGTCTGGTCATGCTGTCCACGAAACGCACTTGCTCCCTGGTACGCAGTACTTGAATACCATTCAATTCGGATCGTTAAACCCAAATTCTCGACGGGGCGGGCTTATTTTCGAGGACTCATGACACCCGCAGAGCTTCAATCAGGTAAGTAGACAGGTATCGCGACAGTGCGCAGAACAGTAGCAGGAAAAGCGACAAATATATTTGTCTTTTAGATAGTATAATGGAATTGTTAGATAGTGCCATCATTTAGCAAATGTCTACATCATTTGTCTAGATTTATCAAATAGTGTCATCCTCCCGACCCGACCGCGACCGAGCTCTTATGGCCACTACATGCACTACTTTGCTGAAGTATATTATAATGCACACTCTGCTTTATTAATTGAACTGTATACTGCTGTTGACTAACGGAAGATGTGGGTTACAGTGGCAGCAGGTGCGGTCGTAGATATTGCTGGTGCAGTTCTGCCAGTTAGGCGAGTGCAGTATTGTGAACTACGAGATGCAATCGGGTGAAGTGTAGAGCCACCCATCCCTTGTTCACCTTACCTGAGCTTGCAGCATGCCGGTGACGCGGGTCGCGTGAAGCAGAAGGTGGTACTCAAGTGCATCTGGCTGCTACGTCCAGCACGTCCAGCATCTTTGCCGAGCCCGTTTTCGAATCCGCCCCATGCAGGTAGACAATGTCTAGACCACAACGAGGCCTTCGGCTACATGGAGGCCTTGGAGGTGATGCCCAGCACGCCCGCGTGGGGTGCCTCACGTGCAGTCCCTGCCTGTGCAACCTCATGATCATGCTTCTCAAGTGCCAACATTCCTTCTAGGAATTTCCTTGGCTGATGATGGTCGACTTTCCAAAGTCCTGCAATTCTTCGTGATAAATTCCTTCGTCTGCGAATATGATGTGATGGGTCCTATTCAATGTTAAAGCATCCAGTTGAGAAGGATCGGTCCATTCCTGAAGCCTCATTAAGGTGACTTTGACCCCAAATACAGTGGTACCTCCCTAAATGAACCCCTCTAACTGACTATGTGTTCCCTCTCTGGTTAGGATTCCTCGACTGCAAACAGGATTATATGGATTTCACTATAGGTGTTCTATAACTGACCAAAACCACTTTATTCTCTAAATGGTCGCCGTTGTTGGCGCCTCAACCCTCTAAATGGACGCCGTAGTAATATTGTGAAAACCGCTTAGTTTGTCCTGCTGAATTAGCCGGTTAAACATCGCTCAATGCGGATTTGAAGACTAATAAATCGGGGATGTATCAATTATAATCGGAGTATAAATCGCTCATCGGTCTCGTAATTATGTGCAGCCTAGCAATTTTGATCAACATGCATGTACCCTAGCTAGCCACAGTATTTTACAATTAGTGCAGCGTACATATATTTTTAACGAAAAACTAAAATATTATGATGTCGAGACAACTATGGGGGCTATGCAGTAGATACCAAGCAAAAGATAAAACTGCAGACATGGTGACAGGATATCGGGACAACAAATATTCCTATAACCTCACCGTATTGAAACTCACGTACAACCTGAGGGGATGCGATTCTGCTAATACCAATGAGAAGAAGGAGTAGGAACAGACAATACCGCGCCTACCGTTATTGGTTGAGTTCTATTTGTGTGAAGACGAAACAAAACGAGAGTACGAAATGCTGGAGGGGAACCAGGTAAAGAAAGCCATTGTATTGTGCACCTAAAATATGAAAATGTAGTCATTAGAAGTGTAGCTATTTCTTTATCTGATCAATTCTTTAACTGAAACAGCGTATTAGACCGAGCGAATTGGGTGTCATTTATAGAGGTGTGGCTGTACCACACAGGGTATATGTTCTTTCACTCCGCAGTTTAATTTACTATTTGTATGAAACCCTAAATTTGTCGATGAATTACGTTGGGTCAAAATGGTCAGGTATGATATAAACATTTGAACCTGCGCGAATATCGTAAGATCATATCCCAAACGATCGTTTTTAAGTACAATACAATACAATTCAACAAAGCAAAACAAAAATACATCAAAGCAGTGCCTAACGAACTGTGATCTCCCCCTGGGTGCGCCCGCCCGGGCACGCAGTTTCGAAATCATCATGCTTTCGTGGGACAGAGAAGTATGGGTATTCATTGGCAAGCATCTTGACAGTCGGTCTTGTACTTAAGTATTGCGCGTCAATTTTTTCTTAGGTAGGCGCTTTACGCAGTCCGCAATCTGCTAGCGCGAAGGAGACCTAAAGGAGGGGGGGGGGGCGTCAGGAGCACGTCGAAGTCTACTCCCAAATTTGCACGGATGCATACCAAACGAGTCCATTCAGGTTACAAATTCCTAGACTGCAATTGTTATTGGGTACGGTGCTTGCCGGTACACGTCGCTTCTCCACGTAAATGTTTCATACCATTAGAGTACACATTCCATATTTGCCCAGATGTGCACTCCCAGACTTTCCATTCCACGCCACACATCTTCCCTTCATGTCCTTCTTCATTCTTGGCACGGGACGGGCTTGTGCAATGAAGACGCCGTTCTATCATTTTGCGGTCGCCCGGGCAGACTTGGCAGTCCCCAGTGCGCATGACGTAGGCTGCGGGGCAGCAAAAGCGCGGTGCTTGTTAAAGCTTTCGCTTGCTTTATGCTGCGCTATAAGCAGCTAGGCATTGAAGTGGTGCTTGCACAAGAGAGCTGAGCTGATCAGAAGACAGCGCTGACTCTAAAAATCAGTGGCCAGCACGTTAGCTATTTTCTCCGACTAAGGGGTCTTGTTATTGTACACTAGTGCGCATATTAATCCGACCAAGGGGTTTTGCTGTGCGCTAGTGCGCAAATTAATCGGACTAATATGTGTGTACCGCAAATCGTTTTGGTTAAGCCCACTTACGTATTTTGTTGAGACACTGTGCAGTTTTGATAAAGCACCAATGAGCGCCTTCCAAAACCCCTATAAAACCGTTTGGTCAGTTTTATCCGTAATTTATTTTAAATTACCGAAGCGTTTTGTTGTGTATTGAATTGTTTCCTTGCCGTCAGTTTTGGAAGTACGATGGCGACAATGCCATCTCCCTCATGAACATCACCCGGCTTTATGTATCTTGAGCTGTGCTGTCGTATTTCCTACATGGTTGGCCCTCGCAGCTGCAGTGCTTGGTTCCATAGTAGCCAATAAGATTGCCTCTTTACCTTTATACTTAAATTCAATATACTGTATACAGATGCCTATATATTGTGGCGCAACACTCCCACTAAAGATGACAGCGATGTACTCAAGATCTTTCCTTGACTTCAACGACTTCAATTTCGTTCTCAGATTCTTTCTTGTCTCATGCCCAAATTTAAAATCCAGGTGACCTAAAATAGTGTATTCATGGCAGCGCTGGTACCCAACTTAACTGAGAACTGCCCAACATGATGTTCATACTTTATCTTATATATTACGGAAGCCCCTTCTCATATTCTTCTCCGCCTTTTGCTTTTGGCTCTCACTCCCTCATCTGCTTGCCTACCGATCAAGTGCTGGTTTCGCTGCAAATCCTTCGGGAGGGGGCCGTAAGCCACCCGACATCTCCTGACGACCGCAAGAGCTGGCCTAGGCCACAGAGAGCACACTGCTCCCGGCTTTTTGCGCCGACAGGCTGCCAACCGTCCAACTGGGGACAATGTCGGGGGGAAAGTCAGATCTACCTGCTACTCGCGACCACCCGGCTTATGACCAAAGTACTTTTCGATGGCACAGATTAGGGAGTCACTTAGCATAAAACTTAGCTTAAATCGAGTGTAGAGCACTCGGAGTACGGGGTTGATAGCCCGAACGGTTCACTATCCTTAAAATAGGGCTAGGTGCGGCAATTAGCATGGGTTTTAGGCCTTAATTATGCCTTTCGATCTTTAATTTTGCTCTCACTCCGTAAATTTGGCTTTAATTTGTGTCTCTGTTCTCAATTTGTATCTCCGTTTGTGATAGTCTATCTGTAGCTTTTTGACTTATTTTTGGACTAAAATAACTTTTATTGACACTGTTGGTCACATTTTGCTCTGTATCATCTTGTTCCTGATATTGATACTATTTAGAGTCTTATTGTTAATTTGAGACACTCAAATCCTTAACTCCCATCATTTCTCGGAGCTTTTCAAACTGGTTCTGACTGAGCGACTTAGTAAGTGCATCCGCTATCACATCGTTCGTATTACAGTACGTTACTGTGATACTTCCCTCTTCGAGACAAGCACTGCAGCTACGAGGGCCAACCATGTAGGAAAGACGGCAGCAAAGCTCAAGATACATAAAGCCGGGTAGGGAGATGGCTTTGTCGCCATCGTACTTCCAAAACTGACGGCAAAGAACAATTCAATACACAACATTTCAAGTACACGGAAGTCCGCAATTTGCACGCGCAGTTCTGGCAGCCATTTCTCAAGCTTTTTGCGCTTGTAGAGCCGGTCCTGGGTGTTGATGTGGGTGAGCAGCTTGTCCTTCCACATCGCGTACCCCTTGCCCTTGAAGGACTCGAGGCCGCTCGCGTTCTTGCCTTCAGATGCCATCGCTGGCTGCGGGGAAGCCAAGAGCAACCACCACCGGTCCCGAGCAGGGTGAATTGTCTGAGAAGGAGACAATGGCCATGCAATGGGCGGTGATGAATTGGGAAAGGGCAAAGGGCGACCTGCAGAACCTCCTGAACCAAGTGCTCCCGAACTTCTTCCTCTCGACGCTGCCAGACCTGGTCTCTCAGATGGAGCCATGCGAGGTGATTAAGGCGTTGGAGAAGGACTACGGTCAAGGAGACGCAGTCGGGCTAATTGAGCTGACCCGGGCTTGGTCAAAACTGGCTAAAGTCAGTGGCGCGACCTGCGCACTCTTTTTGGGCAACTCAAAAAGACCCGAAATGAAATTAATCGAAAGACCCAATAGAGGACATGGTCAGTGAGTCATGGCTCTGTGTCGAGGTCTTGTCCCAACCCCCGAGCGAGTTTTGGGCATCGTCGATCTCGATGAAGAAGGGCGAGTTCACGGTCGAGAAAGTCGAGAGTGCGCTGCGTCGCATCTTCAGAGAGAAGTCGAAGAAAGAGATCTCGGGCAACATGGAGAAGGGCATCCCGATCAACAATGTTCGCGCTAAGCCAGCACAGAACCGGAAGCACGCACCTAGGGCTGAAAACTAGTGCTTTTATTGTTTCGAGACGGGGCACTACAAGGCTGATTGTCCGGTGATGACTCGGGACAGGGACACCAACAGAGAAGGGGAGCAACTGTTTCAGACGGATGTGAAGACGGCTCCCGGGGCCAACAAGAAGGCCCGCAAGGCCAAGCAGTCAGTCATCAACACGATGAAGGCGGTCGTCAAGGAGGGCGAGAAGCGCGTGAACGAGCAGAGCCAGACGCCGCTCGAAGAGGACATTGACTACGCGGAAGACGTCCGCAGTCTGGCGTGCGACGAGGAGGGCAACGTGCCCATGAGTGATGGAGAAGGTCAATCGTCGGCTGATCTCGAAAAGATCGAGCGGGAGGTAAGAAGAAAGTATGCATCATATCTAAGCAAGTTACAGAGGCTTACACTAACAGATGACCTGTGGGTTGTGGATACAGGGGTTGGACATGCTGTAACACCAGACAAAGGGTGGTTCAGCAGTCTTCGCCCAAGCCACGGACTCCAGTTCACATCGGGCAACGGATCTACATCTGAGAGTTCACTAATTGGTTAAATACAAATTAGTGTTCTAAATTCTGATCACAATATGAGTGAAATAAAGTTAAGTGATGTAGCCTTTGATAAGCAATGCGATAGTAATTTGCTGAGCGCATACTATCTAGCCAAACAAGGATATAGACACTTGCAATCAAAGACAGGTGACTTCCTATTTTTCTTTGGTACAGAAGGCAAATTGCTATTTGCAGCAGTCGCAATTGGTGAGGTTTACTACTTGCCAAGTACTAAGCATAGAAAGAAAATGATACTGTCTGCACAGACACTAAAATACGAACGCCTAATAAAGGAGTGGCATTTGAGACTCGGTCATGTAGGCAAAGACAGACTGCTGAAAATAATTAGCAATCTGAAAACAGGAAAATATCTAAATCTGAGTTATTCTAGACTCAAAGAAATACCATTCTACTGTAAAACATGCCCGGAAATGAAGGACCGACGCATGTCGTATAGAAACATGGTGGGAGATAAGCCGACGGAGCCGCTACACACGCTCCATATGGACACTACAGGACGCCTTAGAGTGAATCGTCTGTACGGATCATTCGGCTACCGATCTGCACTTGCGGTGGCAGATGATGCAACTGGGTACAAATGGTATTTTCCGTTGAAATCCCTAAAAGAAGTGTCAGGGAAAATCAGAGATCTTCTAAAGCAACTCTCTGTTCAATTTCCATACAAAGTAAAGAAAATAAGAACAGATGGAGGTACAAAATTTGTAAATAAGGAAGTTTGCAAACTCTGCACAAAATTAGGACTTATGTTTCAACATTCAAATGTTGAATCACAAGAAGAGAATGGGAGCGCAGAGAGAGCACACCAAACCATGATGGGTGGTGTTAGATGTCTACTTAGAGGCACTAGCATGGCAGCAAAATTGTGGCCTGAGGCCTTACTTTACATGGTCGAAGTTACAAACCGCTTGCCAATGGCTAGACTCGGAATGAAAACGCCTTATGAAATGCTCCATAAAAGGAAATGTAACGGTTTAGCGTTACAGATCTGGGGATCCACGTGTTTTGCACACATTCGAAAAACCAAAAGAAAAGATCCTAAATTAGGTGGTCGAGCAATAGAGTGCAAGTTATTGGGTATATCTCCCAATTATAAAGGATATCGCCTGCTTGATGTCAAAGGAAACAAGTACATCACTGCAAGAGATGCGAAGTTTAGCCCAGTAGTTACGGAAGCAATGATCAATCAGTCTTTCCCAACCGAAAAGATCGTGGAAAGCAAAAGCGAGACTAAGATAACTTCTGATTTAGGAAAGAGATCTAGACAGGAGAGCGAACCTGAAGTTGAAGTTGTAAGTTCAGAATCGGTCACGTCTGAACCGAAATTCCAAGAAGTGGGAGATGACAAACAGGATACTAGTCAGAGACCGCGCCGCTCTAAGCGGCTAAGGTCGCAAAAGTCGACTTGTGCTAAATCTGTGACTGCTAAAATGTGTCATATTCCAATTCCTAAATCTTGAAAGGAAGCTCGTGCCACTTCCGCCTGGCAGAAGAGCATTAGGCTGCCATTGGCTATTTGATGGTAAGTACAATGCGGACGGTACCGTAGATAGGTTTAAGGCACGCCTGGTCGTTCAGGGCAACACCGAAATTTACGGAATTGATTATAAAGAGGTTTTTTCCCCTGTTGCTCGTTTCGAGTCCTATGGTCTACTGCTAGCGCTGGCTACGTCGCTTGGCCTGCACTTACATCAGACGGATGTACCAGCGGCCTTTCTAAATGGCCTGTTGAATGAGAGCATCTACATGAGACAGCCACTTGGGTTCCGCCACGGATCGGCCTGCAAATTACGCAAAAGTTTGTACGGTCTAAAGCAGGCGCCTAGAATTTGGTATGGCGTTCTAAATGAGTTTCTAAAGTCTTTAGGATTTTTGCGGTGCAAGAAAGAGTACTGCTTGTACCACAAAAAGTGGGAGGTTGATGGAGTCGACCACAGACTTATTGTTTGCGTGTATGTGGATGACTTGACTATTGCGGGTTCACATCTGAGCTCGATCCAAGAGCTAAAGAACAAACTATCAGAGAAGTTCACAATGAAAGATTTAGGAGAGCTACATTATCTTCTGAAAATGGAAATCAAAAGAGATTTAGAAGCTAAGACCTTGCGGATCTCGCAGCACAAGTATATACATGACTTGCTACTCAAGTATAATATGCGAAATTGTAATACTGAGCCAAGACCACACGCAAAGAGTATTATACTACAGAAGTAAGAGACTCTTACGCCAAAGCAGATCGCGGCTCAGCCGTTCGGTTATATAGGATTAGTAGGGTCCCTTTTTGGTTGGGGTTGGGGTGACGCCCTCCCCCGGAATGCGTGGCCAGCATGATGCTAGCTACGCGCTTCCGGCAGGTGCTCTCGGGCATCTGTACGTCCCTAGCGGGTCTTTCCTTCGCCCCTGAGCCGGCAGCACTAGCGACAACTACACCTCCCACCCTCTTATCGCGCTCTCCTCGCCGCGCGCATCAAACTAACCGTTTTAGGATAGGTTCGTTTAATGTCCAGTCGTTAGGTTCGACCCGCAAGCAGCAGGACACGCTCCCCCAGGACCTCCGGCGCTACCGCATCGACGTTCTCGGCATCCAAGAAACACGCATCTGCACCCTCGACAAGAAACGTATCGGAGACTACACGCTACTCACACTACCAGCCGTACAGGAGCGCCACGGGATCGGCTTTGCCATCTCCCCCCGCGTCCGCCCCTACTTACACTACACTGCGATCGAATCGGCGTCGTTCAGCTCTTACTCCCCCACGCAGGCCCCGTGACCATCGTCACGGCGTATGCTCCCCACAGCGGTCGGCCTCTCGCCGAAGTAGATCGATTCTACGCTGATCTCAGCGACACACTTGACCAACTACCAAGGCGCAACATCGCGTTCGTGACCGGCGACTTCAACGCCAAGCTCGGACAACAGATCAACGGAGAGGCATTCATGGGACCACATGCACGAGGCATACGCAACCGAAACGGCCACGCACTAGCTGACTTCTGTTCTACTCACCTTCTCTTTGCCACTAACACAGGTTTTCAAAAGCGAGCCCGCCACAAAACAACATGGAGTCAGCGCCGGACGAATCACTGTATTTACAACCAAATCGACTATATCCTATGCCCTCAGAACTGCCGACGGCTCTGCATGGACGCACGATCGTGGGGTGGAACGTTGACGGCGTCGGACCACAAGCTCGTCACCGCCGACTTCATCCTGAACGCCCGTCTTCGCTACAGCGCGGTCAAGCCAGATCCAGCACTCAAGTTAGCACGAGATCATCTCATCTACGACGACACAGCACGAGACGACTACACGAACGCGCTTCAGGCAGCGCTTTCACAGCCAACAGCACAAGGCAGCACCGTTCTCCAGCGCTGGACAGACACGCTCGATCGAATCCGAGAAGCAGCCGAGGGGACTATAGGATTCGCAGGTCCTAACCACCGCCACGTACGACATCACGACGATGAACTTCAGCTGCTCTCTGAGGCCCAGCGGGCGCATCAGCTTCGAATCTACAACGGCTGCGCCGCTAACACGATCGAGATCCGAGCCGCCCGCAACAAGATCCTCCATCAACTCCGAGCGCGATGCCGAGCCATCGCATCTCGCAAACTGGACGAGCGGATTACACGCATCGAAAATCTGAGCGACTCGGCACGAATGTATGCAGCAGTTCGAGACATTAGCCCCCATTGACTCCAACCGCTGTTACTCCACGACCAAGAAGGTAAGTATATCCTGCGGCAACAAACTACTAACAAGGTGATCACAGATCACTTCCGAACGTTGTTTTATGACCCAGGGCGGCCACATCCTGTTCCGGATCGTGAACCGTGATCTCTAACCCGTTCTGTTACAGCAACAGAAGTCGAAGCAGCCTTTCGGCGCCTCAACAACCGACGCGCCGCTGGGCCAGATGAGCTCCCAGCAGAACTTCTTAAGTACGGGGCTTCAGTCCTCGCGCCTCTCTTCGCAGACCTCGTCAACTGCAGCTTCGAGCAAGGCACTCGGTGAAGGAACACTCGTGTGCCTGCCCAAGCCCAACAAGCCCCGAGGTGTATGTTCCAGTCTCCGCCCCATCGTGCTGTTAACCAGCATTCGCAAGGCCTTATCTCTCGTCGTACTCGCACGGATATCCGCTACGGTGGACACATTCCTGTCCCCCAATCAAAGCGGATTCCGCAAACACAGAAGCACTGCTGACGCCGTGTGGGCGCACAAATGGCTCTGTGCCCGCGTGCAACGCTATCGTGAAACCATACATGTCCTCGGCATCGACCTCTCGCGCGCGTTCGACACAATCGACCGCGTCAAGCTTGTAGAAGTACTCCAGACATTCTTACACAACGACGAGGTCCGATTGATCAAGGTTTTGCTCGCCGACACCAAGCTCTCTCTGCGCTCCGGGTCCAAGGCACAACACAGCTTCGATAGCAACATCGGAACGCCGCAGGGCGATGCGCTTTCACCGGTCCTGTTCGTCATCTACCTGGAAGCTGCGTTACGCGACCTCGCATCCCACCTCGGAGTGAATCGGACCCTACTCGACCAAATGATCGTCTATGCTGATGATGCAGACTTTGTCTGCCGCGATACCGAGCTGGTCCAGCGCATCCAAGCCGAAGCACCAGCAGTGTTCGCACGCTGGTACCTCGAGATGAATGCAACCAAGACAGAACTAACCATGATTCAGCGATGTACAGGCTCGTCGGGCTACTCCCGACACGCTCGGGCGACAGAAGAGGCACACAGAAGCTTGGCAGTCTACTCGGCGACTCAGAAGATCTGACACGACGCAAAATACTCGCAGCAGGCGCGCTACGTCGGCTCTGGACAATATGGATCCGGCCCCAGTACGTCAGTGACGCCACCAGAGTCCGGCTGTATAACTGATATGTGCTTCCTGTTCTGCTGTACAACAACGAAACGTGGGCACTGACCCGTCCGAGCTGAGCGGGCTCGAAAGCTTCCACCGCTGACAACTACGTAGCGTACTAAACATTCGTTACCCTCAGCGAATCTCTAACGCCACGCTCTACGAAATCTGTCAGGAGCGCCCGCTCCGCCACAGAATCACAGCAGCACGATGGCGTCTGTTCGGCCACATCCTGCGCCAGCCCGAGATCCCAGCGTACACCCAGATGGCCGCCTACTTCGACTCGTCGTCCAAGGGAACCTGGCGTGGACGCCCACGCACGACACTACCGACTGTGCTCGAATCTCGAGCGGATACGCCTATCGCCTCGAGACCCGCCGTGACCTGGACCAACTTCGGCTGCTTGCACAAGAGAAACCTAAATGGAAAGCCCTCGAGAGGGCAATTGTCGCCGTACTGCCGGCGAAGAAGGACCCGACGTATGCGGACACCACCTTATGCCGTCGACTAGCAAAGCTGAGCCTAGCGACAGCATAGTGTGGCAACGCGAAAACGTAATACATTACATTAGGGTCCCTAATGTACCTAGTAAGAGGTAGTAGACCTGACATAGCTAATGATGTGAGGGAACTAAGTAAGTATTTGTCTTGCTACAGTAAAAGTCACTGGAGAGCTGCTCAGCGACTACTAAAGTACTTGAAGGGAACGTCGCAGTATGGCCTTATAACTAACTCCGAGTTGCGGCAATGGGTCCGCTCGCTGGAATGCTCGTCGCTGGGCCCGCCTCCGCAAATACCGCGCGGCCCTGCTCCGCGGGCACCCCGCGCGGGTTTGCTACGGCTACGCTCCTCGCAACCGCTCACTACCGCCTTCTAATATGGTGGACCTACCCCTAAGGCTGTGTGTTTTTCAGACTTTTTGTGTGCTTCTACTATTTACTCTTTTGGAAGGCACCCAATAGAGCTTTTTTTGCTAAAGCCTTGTTTTGATGACACCCCCATCCTGTTTTGTTTTCACCGTACTGTAGGTACCCTCTTCCGACACCTAATACTCCTTATTACTTTTGAGATTTAATGTGTTTATATTTATAAGGTTGCAGAAGACCTAGCAAATATATTATATCGTTACGAGGTTTTCGCGCCAAAACCATTCATTTCACATTTTGGCAGGTAGCAGTGAGGAGCAGCGGGGGCAAGTGTGAAGAAGCATGATGAAGACACGGCGATGACGCAAGAAGAATTCTGCGCTGCTGCACCCCGCCAGCTCCTGGTAGACCTCTCGCGGGACGAAGGCGAAGAGCAGCGCCGCCGCGGATAGGAGAAAGCTGCCCGACGCCACCCAGGAAACGTAAGTCCCTGTGGACGCGTCCAGCACCTGCGCCGACAGTGCCTCGTACAGCGAAACAAAGCGCTCAAGCGCGAAGTGCCTGCGCTATATCTTAGCCCATGCTACTGGGGCTGGAGCTGAGTCGTGTTCGGCGCGCTGAGCCTGCAGCCGCCCACGGAAGGAGCTTTTGGAGAAGGCCTACAAAGACCAGCTAACGCCAATGCGCTGGAGCGAGGTAATCTGCGGTACGATGTGCGCTAAACTCGTTTCGCACTGCTGGCGCTATCCATACATATAGTCTTGCCTCTCAATGCATCTGAGCTAGACCTCTATGAGCCAAAATACAGCTTAAACCCAAGCAATACAATCCCCCTTTAAATCTGATAGAAAATCCGATGTCGGAAGTAAGGGTACATACAGTAAACATTGTTTGCTCGCATCCGTCTCCTTCGAAGAGATGAGCTTGTCGGTGCTTACTAATAGAGCTGTTGTAGTTAGCTTAACCTGCCCTTAACTTTCTAACCTCTACTTGCTTAACTTACCCCCTCCTTACCAGCCTCTACTTTGTTTATGTGGACCCTTGTTCATCATCCAATACAAAACCCTATATAAACGTATAGTCCAATCAAGCGCCTCGCAGTGTCCTGGGTGGATGTTCATGGTCACACTCGTCACCTTCCTCGTAGATTCGCGCTCTGCGCCGCCACTTGCAGCGCCACATGTATAACTGACTCGGCGGCGAGCTGCCAGTGGAATTTCTCGACTTCCAGCTTCGTCCTCCAGCATGCAAACCTCACGTTCGAGCTCCCTCCCCCATCGTTGGTGCCGCCATCACGGCTGTGTACGCTACGGAGCCGTGGAACATGGGCTGTATTCAGCGCAGCTTGCTGTCGAACTGCGTGGCTAGGCCAAGACAGCTGCGCTGCTGCCACGGACGTCGGCGTCATTGAGCTCGCTTCGCCCTGCAGCGCAGGCTGATTGGTTTGCAGTCACGCGACAGCGTCAACTGCATTAACCAGATCAACAGGCAGGCCGATTCGGCCTTCCAGTGCAAGACGACCGTGGGCAACCAGACCGTCGCCTTCGCCAACCTGCTCCCGGACATTGTCGGAGACAATGCCGGAGACAAGACGGGCAACAAGATCAAGGATGTTGCGGTCGGCTCGGATATCATGCCCGCACTCCAGCAGCGCCTCCACCTCGGGCAGCGGCAGCGGGTCGGTCCCTCTCAGCAAGTTCGTCCCAAGCAACGAGGAGACGGACCGAGCAGCTTGGGCTCGACAGCAGATAAGGCGGCTGCCTTGGCGGCGTCTGGGCTATTATAATCGACACTCTTCTCCCTCTGCTTGCTGGCGATGGTGTTGCCGCTCGCCATCATTAGCCGAGCGCGTGCTTCATGTCGCTGAGCAATATAGATTGTCACCACTAATACACTGACAAACGTGTACGCATAAGGTGACATGTATTAGGATCGACTCGTTTTTGAATGTACTAGCGCCTCCGCCCGACCCAGAGGTGTACTTTCATCACTAGCCGTGCATCGTCCACGAGTGTTATCGCTGCTAGGCACCCCCACGCTTCGCTCGTTTAGAATTTTCAGCGATAAACACTAGGTCCCGCACCAGCTCCGGCGTCAACGATCTCCTTTTGGCAGTGATGATGTTGCCACTGGTGGAAAATGCTCTTTCGGAAGGGACACTGGTCCTAACCACTTCCTTGCCAGGCGACTGAGATTAGGATAGTTGCTTCGATTTCCTGCCCACCACGCCACTTGCCTGCCTTACTAAGCGCGCGGGCCGCAGCCAAGTAGCTTTCAATCTCTTGAGCGCAGGCCTTCCTTAGAGGTGTTTGACTCGAGTCATCAGGAGAAGCTTTCAACACGAATTGAGTAAAGAAGTCCATCTTGTCAGGATCTGGTGATACAGCCGAAATAGAGCTCTGCGGTGGTGGTGATTGCAGCTCGGCCAGCTCAACCGCAGCATCGAGAAAATCCGCGTGAGCTTTTGCTCGGTTTTCGTCTGTCAAGTGGCTCATTGACATTGCCATTCGTGGGTCCAAAAATGCAATCCAGACGAGCTTTGAGGTTTTGAGGGCATCAAAGCGCTCCGTGAACAACCGTCGCATTGCCGCTTGACATTCTAGCATTAAGACCCGGACTTCGTCGACATAGGCTTCCCTACCAGCAGCACTTAGAATGTTGTTAAATAGTTCTCGGTTGCGAAGGACGCCTTCCAGCGCATCAAGAGCGGGCAGGACCACAGGAAGTGTCGGATACAACTGTCCGTCCAGGGGTCTTGACACCGACTCAAATGGGCCCAACAATACACAAAGGCATCGGATAGCCAACCACTGCTTGTGTGTTGGCTTCGATAGCTTTTTGTGCATTCCATCAAATTCCACTCGCCCCTCGTAAGTGAACAAATGCTCGAAAAATTTATCAAGCGCTGGCTCCAGTCGAATGCACCGTTCAAGCATTGTCCAGCAGGAATTCCAACGCGTCGGGCAGTCGACGACCAGATTTATGACATCGCCCGGTTTAACGCGGAGGTGTTTCTTCTGATTTCAGCTAGACGGTTGTACGCTTTTGGTGACTTTCGGAAGTACACCGACAGAGTCCGAAACGCTTGCACAACCTCGCGCATAGACTCTAGCTCCGTTTTCTCCAGGCTCAAAAGTGTTTCGGCCAGAAATGCATCCAACTCATCGATAGCATTTTCACGAAGAATCTCCATGTCCGCTCGTTCATCTTCATTCAGGTTGTCATCTTCTTCGTTCTCATTCTCTAGCGCACCTGGCTCTTGCGCAACTACCGACTTCCACGCTGGTCTTGAATTCTGCGGCGACTCTTTCTTCTTCTTCTTCTTCTTGGACAAGGCGCCCGATAGTACTAAGTGAAGCTCATGCGCCAAACACGGGGCGTGCTCGACGCCAAAACTGTCACCAGCAGCTACCATGTTAGACCCCAAATCATGGACAAATCGAGTACAATACTCTTTACGAAGCCTCCACACCTCCATTATCTCCTCCAACGCCAACCAAATCGCTGCAGCATCATGTTTCCCAGGCAGCTCGCGTACTTCCAGCGTCCAGTTTCGCACCTCAAATGACTCGGTCAAATAGTGGATAGTAAATGCAATGTAACTTCGCGGGTTCCTCGAAGTCCAAATATCGCACGTAATTGAAAAATATTCGCACGACTGCTCGATGCCGGCGCACACGAAAATCCTCATTTGGTCGGCCACCGAGATGATACACCCACGCAATTGAGCACGCTTGGGAATTGCCACGCGAACACCACACAACTTTTCAGTGATAAACGCAATGAACTCGAGGAAGCCTTCATCTTCGACAATAATCAGCGGGCGAAAGTGCGCTGCAACCCACCGCGCGAGTAGCATATTCAGATACTTCTGCTCATCCGGACTGATCTCTCGAAGCGTAGCCGCTTCCGTGAGTTCTTCATCGAGATTGCGTTGGACTGGTTGCTCATTTTCGCCACGGATGAACTCGTTTAGCTCACGAAGATGGTACCGCTCCATGTGCTGCGCAACCTTGTGTTGAGACGTTTTAAACGCTATTGTCATTTTGCAACGGGTGCAAAAAGCAAAGGCGGCGTGCTTGTTTTCGAGCTCGGCGTCTGCCAAGTACCAATGATCAGGATGAGTAGCTAGTCGAACGAATTGCCACAGTTCGTGCCGACGCTGGCGTCTTGTTGTGAACAATCGTGGTGGAGCAGTGCTTAGACGAGTGCCAGGATCGGGGACTTCTCTGTGAAGCGCTGCAAGATCCGAACGTGGGTCTCGGTCGCTTGGCGGCTCGGTCGGCTCAGTAGGGCGGCGTTTCTGGCTGGAAGTTCGTCTTGTACTTGAACGTGCTGATCGCTGTTGCTTGTGCTGGCGGACACTCGATTGGTGCGTGCTGGAAGGGCTTGCTCGCTTTTGCTTCCGAACACGAGCCGAAGTGCGTCTCGAGCTCTGCACAGAGCACCCTGCACTTACAGCAGGGGTAGCAGGAGGTGTCTGTGTATTGGCGTCTTGGGCGAAGCCATCTTGACCCGGAGCTAGCTCTTGGCCATGTCTCGGAGACTGTGGACCATGCACTTGGGTGGCGTCGGTCTCCGTTGTGGGCTCTTGAAGCTCCCGGCTATCTGGTGGAGCACGAAACGCGCTCGTGGCGGGGCTTGCACGACGAAGCTCTTCAGCTTCCATCTCGAAGTGCCGTGTGCACACCCTCACGTTATAAACACAAGTTGTTAGAAAAGTTAAGGGTTACTTTCGCGACAGCTCTACTTACTAAGCACTGCTTCGCGCAGCTGAGTAAGGATTGGTGCTACACTGTACTACAGTGTTACAGTAGTGTACTGTAAAGGACACGCTCCTGCTCACACCACCTTGAAGATATTTTTCGTGACATTGGACCAAGTTTACAGGCTAACATGGCCTCTTGGGAGCCGTGAATAGCCAGAGTTCCCACGCTCAGTCTCCAATTCGCTCGCCATCACTCAAGAACAACAACAAAAACTTCTTTGCAGATGCGCTTCTGTTTGGTCGTCCTGCTCGCTGCTCTGCTCGTCTTGACGAATTCACGCACGACATCGGCGGCTTCGGAAACCTACGAGGGAGCTGATGTCACGACGATTTCCAGCTATACCAAGCGCTCGCTACGGACGGCAGAAGACAAGGAGGAACGAGGTATCACCGTCGAAGTGCCCTCGTTGGAGAAGGTGTCCTCCGTAACGGGAAAACTCCCTGCAGCAGTGGTGAAACGTCCCAACAAGGCTGCAAGGCTCTTCCTGTACAACTTGTGGCTCGTTGTTATGAACAAGTCACCACAATGGGTCAAGCAACACCACCCTGCCTTGGCAGATGGATATATGAGATTCCGGCTGAACAGACTTGTGGGCAAATATGCGTAGTCGACTTATCAGTCAAACCGTCGTACCACTTATTGGCACTCATGACGAACGATTGATCTGTAGAGTGGAGGCGTAAAATTCATCAACTTGTTCATTTTCCGATGCATCCAACTGTGTGCTCCACTGCCAAGCCGGAATTTTTGCAGCAACACTACTTGCCTCCTACGAAGATTTTGCTGCTGGCTTGGTGCGAATCGACTTGGGCTTGGGGTTGTGCGGAATCGTAAACACCGAGACGCCCAACACGTTCTTGACCTCCCACACGACGGTGATGACGATGTGCACGTACGCTGCGAGGGAGAGGAAGAAGAACTCGCGCACGATGAGCTCTTCGTTAATAGCGTCGTAGATGCCTTCCAGCATGCAGAAGGCACAGTGACCAGCCACGTAGAAGATCGGCACCAGCGTCTTACGGAAGGGATGGTACTCCTCACCACACAAGTGAGCCAGCATTAAGTGGAGCTAAACACAACAAGCAGCAGCCTCATCAGCTCATTATAAAATGCAACAATCAGCCACCAAGAGTAGACGTACCACCAGCTTGCTGTTCAGCAGTCCAAGCATCCACAGGAACATCCGCGGGTGTGTGGAGAAAATGTCCGAGGGCGAGTAGAGGGCCCAAAGTCCAGCCAGCGTGTTCAGTATGACGAACGGAAGGAGACGCGTAAAAGCCACAAGAACCGAGTCTTGGTTCAGGCGTACAGCGTGGAGCGCATTCCGCACACTGTAAGAACAAGCAACAAAGTTAATTAATCAAGGGCTCCACAATCAACAACACAATCAGAAGGAACGCGATAACGTACTTGACCATAAGCGTGAAGCACGAGCTGATCATCGTCACGATGACAAAGAGCGAGTTGTTCTGCACCCCTTCGACCATCTCCCGGTTCCAGAAGTCGACACCAACCGCCGCCGTGAACAGCTTCAGCGCAATGCCGATCAGAATGCCCTCCGTCGGCCCGTTAATGATCGGGAGCTCCAGCGACCCGGAGTAGTACCTGCAACAATACACCACACTGTCAGTCCAACCTCCTTCAACGCCATCCAAACTCAACCCAATCCGACTCACTCTTCCCACGTAGCAAAGATGAAGACAAAGTGTGCACTCAGCACGAACCCAAGCGTCCTCCACGTCGTGCCCATCTGCAGAATACTGGCCATGGTCATGGTCCCCACCGACACGTTCAGCGCATCGCACCCGTGGTCGAACAGCAAGCCCAAGGGCGACGAGGACTTGGTGCGTCTCGCCTGCTTGCCGTCCAAGTTGTCCAGCGTCTGGTAGCTGAAGAGCGCCACGGCCGCGGCCACCATGGCCCACCAGGGGGCGTCGCCCTCCAGCAGCGGGCACAGGAACACGAAGAGCGTGTGCGAGCCGCCCACCAGGATGAGGCCGATGAGAGTAATGAGATTGGGTGCTAGCCACAGCGGCAGCAGCTCCACCAGGAAGTTGTTCATGGGCGTCAGCACGTGCTTGTAGACCAGCGAGTTGTCGGCGCCGTGATACTCGTACGTCAGCAGCTTCTCCGAGCCCTCCTGCGACACGTACTTGCCGAAGTACGTGGACTTGCCGTCTCCCGTGCTGCGGTGCCGCACGCGCTGCTTGAGCGCGTGGATCTGCGAGGCTTCGACGGCGGCGGCGGGTTCGAAGTCAGCTTGGGACATATTTCGGCGTTTGGCGAGCTGGAAGCTTGGGGCTGCACCGGTTGGATGGGATGAAGAGTGCGTTGGGTACGCAAGACGCTGGGCTACAAGGTGAGCGTTGAACGGGCTTCAGGTGACCTGTGTGGGCGGAGATAGAGGCCGGCGAAGCGTGGGGTCACGAACGTCCTGGCAATGGCGACGACTGTATCGGAATGAGGCGACCGCTGGACCACGGTACCGTAGGTTGATTTGCCTCGCGTAGCTGATATACAGGATGATGGCGGAGCCTCTGTAACAGTGATATTAGTATGTATACACCGATATTACATTGGACCCTGTTTCAAGACTGGGATTTTTCATATTGAATGATCTGTAACGTAGTACCCTGTCTACTTGAATATACGCCTTGGTTTTATATCCAGGTTATGATGATGCCTCTGCCGCTCAACGTCACTTTATTGGCTAAAAAGATGTGAGACAGTGGCAGCCCTCACTAACTCCGAGTTGTGTATGTCACACCACCCACCTTTTCCCTAAAAAAAATCTCATCTGGTCCTTCTCCATCCTCCGCCGTCGCTCGAGAAGATCGATAGATGCGTCTCCGCTCCCACGTGCGCGCTGCTCGCGCTCTTCCCAGCTCCACCTCCTCCACCCATCAACAACCCGCACAATTTGCGGTGGGAGGCGCAGTGCTGTCAATGCCAATGGAAGTCGACGGCGCTTCGGATTCCGCGGACGACTTTCCGCCCGTTGAGCTGTCCGTGCAGCGCCAACGCCGTCGAGAACGCGCCCCACTGCGCACACCTCGAGGTGCGATGGCTTCCAAGAAGCGGCGGCTGGTGGGAGGCGAGGAGGACGTGGAGGAGGCCAAGAGACGTCGCTTTCGCCTGTTGCAGGCAGCGTTCGGCCCCGAGGACCGCGTGGGCGAGTCCAATTGGCTCACGGGCGCGCTCATCGACCTGATGCTCTGGAAGTTCGCGAGCCTGTACCCGGCGGTGCATTTCCTGTCCACCGCCTTTTACCACTTCCACCTAGAGGCGGCCATGAAGGCCACTGACCGATCGCCGTGGCGTCGCCGGTGCCGGTGCAAGAGGGACTACCAAGTGAAGGACGTCTTGGGGCGCGCGGTGAGCTACGACAGTGACACGCCCCTGGTGTTCATTGTGAACGTCGACCGCATCCACTGGAACTTGTTCCGGGTGCAGCTTGGCCCGACGCCGGAGCTGCAGCTGTTCGAGCCGATGGGGAGACTCGCGTCGCGCTCCGGGATCTCGTACCGGTCCGTGCCGCGCGCAGTGGTCGAGTGGCTGGACGTGTGCTACCCGCAGCACAAGGGCTGGATGCAGCGCGCGGTGAGCGCCATCACCAACAAGCAGCAGGTGAGCGGGTTCGACTGCGGGGTGGCCTGCTTGCTGTACGCGGACAAGTGCGGACGCGGACACACTGGGGAGGAGATCAACGCGCAGATCGACCAGAAGGCCATCACGGCCTTCCGCAAGCAGTTGCAGCTTCAACTGCACTCTCTTGGAGACGACCTTGACGGATGAGCGCGCGGCACTGCCGGTGGGTATTTATGTTGTACGCGGAGAGTTGCATGTTGAGAATGGAGTTCCGGCCCCACTGCCGTTGTGCCCACAACTTGTGGCTGGCAACAGACGAATGAACAGTGTGGTCGTTTTTCGCCGCTCGGTTCAACTTACCTCTGAGACTAAATATTAGTCTTTGATACTTTATAGTGAAACGACGTGTAAAATCATGAGGCCCAATGGCTGCCTATCGAGTGGGTGTCAGGAAGCCTTGGCTGATCCAGGCCTTGCGAGCAGGCAGCAGCGCTGCATTGAGTCATATTCGCAGGGTTGTTGTGCAGAGAAAGCTCTGCGGGCCTTAGCACGGTCGCTCCCAACCCCAGCGACGCGACTGCACGCGAGTTTCTACAGTTCACCAAGCAAGTGGTGGCACCAAGGGAGAGAAGGGTGAGACGGGAGGTTCATTGCGTCGCTACCTCTTGACGGGCTAAACAATGGTCTGCTGCTTCGGGGCCCCTGTCAGCGACGCACACTGAAGTACATGTTGCAGTGCGCTCCGGGCGGGAAGGTAAGATGATGGCGTGTCTACGCGACTATTAGTGAAGCGGCACGCTTCGGTTTCGAGGTTGTTATTTTCAGCGTCGCTGTCGTTGGCTTCACCGGCTATAGCTCCCGCAGCGAGGCACAGCAGAATCGGAGGCATACGCCATCCCGACAAGGGCCGGCAGGCAGCGCGCGGGGTCCCATTTTCGTCGATTGAGACGAACCGTGCCCCACTTGCTCTTTTTTGGTTTCTTGGTTTCCGGGGGCAGTTGAGAGGACGAGGAGGGAGGGTGGTGACGTGAGGTTGACCGGTTTGTGAGCCGTTGTGCTGATTGAGGGATTGAAGCTTTTCCATTCCCCAGCACTTCAGATCCAAATTGTCCGGCCAAGCGCAATCCCAAGGCGATATTTTCGGCATGGTCTGCATCGAGAAAAATGCCTCGCACTTCGTGATCAGCCCGTCCGCAAGCAGCGTCAAGGGGTTGGGCCCACTAGCCAGCCTTCGGGTCACCTCCACCTGCATCACGTCGGGCCGGAAGAGGCGGCTCAGCGGTAGCAGTCCAGCCACCACTATGGGCCGGGATTCCTTTGTTTTGCCTGGCACGACTGCTCAGCCGCTTCACCACCAGTACGAGTCCCGGTTGGCTGGGCTGTCGGACGAGAACGGATGCAGCTACGGCAAAGCTCTTCCCCACCGGACAATTAAACGGTACGCCACATCCTCTCGCTGCAGTCGATCCACAAAATTGACGACTAAAGTTTTGCTCGTTAATTTCACAGATCCAAGCACATTTACAGCGATCGCTTCATCCCGTCGCGGCTAACGACGAAGTTGGACACAGGATTCGGACTCGTGGCAGATTCGCCACGCCAAAACAGCAACCAGAACCGAGACAATGGGGCGGGGCGGCCTCAAGGCGGCTCCGCGCCAGCCTCTGCTCCGGCTGGAGGAGCCGGCAGTACTGTGGAAAGCAACCCCAAAAACCGAGGATCGGGCGTTGGAACTTCCTCGCCGTACTCGATGATGCTGAAGCGCGAGCTGCTTGGAATGCACTCGCCAACGCGATCGAATTTTGGTGGCAGTCAGCCGGCTTCTGCCCTGAGCGCGTCTAGTCACGAAAGTATGAGCGCGATGTACGACCCACGATCCACTTCTTGTGTTCGCACGTACAACGGCAGCTCGGCGTGCATACGACCGAGCGGCAGTTCGTCTAGCAATATTCTGCGCTTCAAAGCCCCTCGACAGTCGCTGTATGGTGATGTGAAGACATTCGTTCCGCACTCAGGACTCACGGACTCGACACAGCGATTTCTTGGTGCCGGACTGCACGATGGAGACAATGGCCGTCGACGAATCTCCCGCACACCGTTTAAAGTGCTGGATGCGCCGTCACTTCAGGATGATTTCTACCTCAATCTCGTGGACTGGTCTGCCACCAATGTTGTTGCAGTGGGGCTCAGCTCATGCGTTTACCTCTGGAGCGCTTGTACCAGCAAGGTCACGATGCTCTGCGACCTGGGACCTAGCGACTCGGTCACCTCTGTTAGCTGGAGTCAGCGGGTATGATGTCAGCATTCTTGTGTACGAGTGGTTGCCAGTCCTGACCCGTTTGCACGTTGATCTTTGCAGGGAACACACTTATCGGTGGGCACAAACAGCGGTGAAGTGCAGATTTGGGATGCGAGCGCCGGCAAGAAGATCCGAACCATGACGTACGCTCGCTCGCCGCTATCTTTGATGGAGTCCACTTGCATATTGACCATGTTGTCTATGATTGTTGAGCAGTGGCCACTTGGCTCGCGTGGGGACGTTAGGCTGGAATGGCCAGTCATTGGCATCAGGTAGCCGGGATCGAACCATCCTGGTGCGCGATCTACGAACGCAGGAGCCATTCCAAAACAAACTGGCAGGCCACAAGCAAGAGGTCTGCGGTCTGAAGTGGTCCTTTGACGGCCGGCAGCTAGCGTCCGGAGGCAACGACAACAAGCTGCTCATCTGGAACGTGCAGTCGATGTCTTCGGGTGTGCGCGGCGACGCCACGATGCCGTTGGCTCGCTTCAATGAACACTCCGCAGCCGTGAAGGCCATCGCGTGGTCGCCGCACCAGCACGGACTCTTGGCTTCTGGCGGTGGCACAGCGGACCGATGCATCCGCTTCTGGAACACGCAGTCGCTGACGGCGCTACCCTTCGTAGACACGGGCTCGCAGGTGTGCAACCTCATGTGGTCCAAGAACGCCAATGAGGTCGTGAGCACGCACGGCTACTCGTTGAACCAGATCATCGTGTGGAAGTACCCGACCATGACCAAGCTGGCTACGCTCACGGGGCACACCTTCCGCGTGCTGTACTTGGCCATGTCACCCGACGGTCAGACCATTGTCACTGGCGCAGGAGACGAAACTCTGCGGTTCTGGAATGCTTTCCCCAGCACGAAAGCGCAGCGCGGCAGTCGCCTTGGGACGGACCTGATGCTGCCGCTGAGCGTAGGTAGCGAGATCCGATGAATGGCAGGAGAGTCAGGGACAATATCTAAACATTTTCTTTATTGAGGGCTTGACGTGCTTTTGTTCTCTAATTCCGCTTTCCGCGGCCTCCACGTCCACCACGTCCGCGACCTCCGCCACGGCCACCTCCGCGGCCACCCTTTTGCACGCGGCCAGCCGACTTGTATCGCTTCTCGCCTCCTTCCTCGTCATCGCCCTCGTCATTCCCGTAGCGTCCACGCTTGAAGCCGGAGCCGTTGGCAACCGACTCCTTCATCTCAATCGTGGCGATACGCTGGGCCTCGTTCACACGCTCCGACATCACGAGCACCGTCTCCTCCTCGCACGGGTACGCGTCGAGCTTGGTGCCCAGCAGGTGCTCGATGCGCTGGTACAGCTCCACGTCGTACTGCGTCACGAACGAAATGGCCACACCGGCACGACCGGCACGCGCCGTACGACCGACACGGTGGATGTAGTCCTTGCCGTGCGTGGGGATGTCGTAGTTGATGACCACGTCGACGCTCGGGATATCCAGACCACGCGAGGCCACATCCGTGCACACCAGCACGTTGCGCGCCTTGGCCTTGAACTTGTTGAGCGCTCCGAGGCGGCTCGGCTGCGGCATCTGTCCGTGCAGGCAGATGGCCTGGAAGCCGAGGTTGCGCAGCATGAGCGTCACCTTCTGCGTGCCATTGCACGTGCTGGCGAAGATTAACACCGACTGACCGGCCACCTCGTTCAGCACGTAGGCCAGGTAGCAGTCCTTGAACTTGGCCGGGATGAAGAGGTAGTGCTGCTTGAGGGTTTCAGGCGTGGCGAACTTGTGCGTGATCTCCACCTTAACGGGGTCTTTCAGCGACGCGCGCTGCAGCTTGCGCACCTTGGAGGTCATGGTGGCACTGAAGAGGTACGTGTTCCGTTCGGCGGGCATGAGCTGCACGATCTGGTTGATCTCCTCCTCGAAGTCCATGCTTAGCATCCTATCAGCCTCGTCCAGGACCAAGAACTTCATGGTGCGCAGGCTGAAGCCCTTGGTGTTCTCCAGGTGGTCCACGAGGCGGCCGGGCGTGGCGATCACCACGTGCGGCTTGCGGGCCAGCGCCACCTGCTGCTGCATCATGTCGATGCCGCCCACGACGCAGGCGCATTTGAGGCCGATGGACGCACCCAGAGCCTCGAACTGCTCGCCAATCTGGTAGGCCAGCTCGCGCGTGGGCGCCAGCACCAGCGCGTACAGGCGCTGCGGGTTCCGCAGCAGGCTCTGCAGGATGGGGATCACGAAGGCGCCCGTCTTGCCCGAGCCCGTCTCGGCCAGGCCGATGATGTCCTTGCCCGCGAGCCCGTGCGGGATGGCCTGCTGCTGGATCTTGCTGGGCTGCGACCAGCCCACGGCCTCGATGGCCTCGCAGATGGCCGCGTCCACGCCCAGCTCCTGGAAGCTCTTGGAGCCGCGGAAGCCCTCGCCGTCCTCGTTGTGCGCGTCGGCCGGCGCCTGCGAGGAGGAGGAGGCGGCGGCGGGCTTGGACTTGGCCATGTTGTTGGTGTGTCGTTTGGTGGTCGAGTGCTCGAGTGACTGGCAAGTGGCTGGAGCGCAGTTTGCGGCGTCGGGATTGGCTGTAATTGCGCCAGAGTGTAGAGTTAGTGTGGGCCACGCATATGTTGGGTATTGTACATAAACTGAATGTTGAAGTGAAGAGATGGCTACATGTACTACAATGCAAGGCTTGGCCACGCTGCGACTCACTGGGTGAAGATGTACCGGTTGAAGCCAAGGTGACCACCTATATTGTCGTAATCGGCATCGCGACAGCAGCTCTGGGTGCCTGCCTCGTGCTCATGGGGAAGCTGAGACTGGCTGCGCTGGCGTCGTACCTGCCGATGCCTGTGATCGGCGGGTACTTGGCTTTCATCGGCATCTTCTGCCTTTACGCCGGACTCGCGCTGTGTACGGGTCTGGTGATCAACAACGTTGAGTCTATGATCAGCGTCTTCGATAAGGCCCACGACGTCCTGCTGTGTGTTCCTGGTGTGCTGGGTGGCGCGTTCCTGCTCGTAGTCTCGCAGCGGTACGACAACTCGTTCATCCTGTCGGGGGCCATCATGATCATGCCCGTCGTCTTCTTCTTCATCATGCTGGTGGGCGGCATCTCCATGGACGAAGCACGCGACGGCGGCTGGATCGACCCTGCCAAGGACCCTGCAACAGTCTCCGAGCTGCTCAACCTCTTCGACTTCTCTCAAGTGCACTGGGACCAGCTGCCGAAGCACTTCGCGACGTGGATCGGCATGGTCTTCATCGTGGCGTTCTCGTCGTGCCTTGACATTGCCGCCATCGAGCTGGATATGGGCAAGAAGCTCGACTTCAACCACGAACTCAAGACCGTCGGCTGGTCCAACGTCGTGAGCGGCATCCTCGGCGGCTACACTGGCTCGTACATCTTCTCGCGGACCATCTTCACCTACCGCTCCAAGACCAATTCGCGTATTGTCGGAGTATGTGTGATCATCTCGGAGTTCGCCATCGTGATGGCGCCCGTGTCCGTCATGAGCTATGTGCCGCGCTTCTTCTTCGCAGCCACGCTCATCTTCATCGCCATCGACCTCATGATCGAGTGGCTCATTCTCACGTACAAGAAGATGTCGCTGCGCGAGTACGCGGTGCTGTGGATGACGTTCATCGCCGTGAACCTCGTGGCGCTGGACGTGGGCATGCTCATCGGCGTTGGTATCGCCATCGTCAGCTTCCTGCTGGGCTACCTGCGTCTGCCCGTAGTAAATCGAAAGCCTCGATCGTCTGGTGCGGCGCGGCGGAACGTCGAGTACGCGACGAGAAGCATGATGCAATCGCGTACTTCGAGTTCAGCAGCTTCTTGTTCTTCGGGTCGTCCGTGCAGATCCTCAACTGCGTCCAAAGGAATGTGTTTATTGCGAAACAAGAGCTGAAGACCACTTCGGAGTACGCCAAGTCAAGCCACTGGATCACACTATGTGGGTGATGCAGAGATGCCGCTCTCACCCAAGGACAACAGAAAACCCATGGTCGTGTGTCTGGACGGAAGCCCTGCGTCCGACCCCGATGCAGTTCCTACAGAGTTCATCATCATGGACTTCACTGCCGTCAAAGCTATTGACGCAACAGCCGCGCGAGGCGCCTTCCTGATCCTGCAGAAATACTGCAACAACCACGACATCACTGCGTTATACGCCGCGACTATTCCTAAGATTCAAGATCTGCTGATGAAGAATGGGATCGCGAAGTTCGGTAAGTTAGTGTCCACCCTAGCGCAGAGTCTGCTGTCGAATTCTGCGAGAACGTGCTGTTGAGAGGTGCAAGGAATGGCAAGTCGGCACGCGCGGGGTCAAGTACTTTCGAGATGCCCTACGATGCACTACTGCGGTACTTCTTGGTCGATCCCTACAACCCCTATCAGTCTACGTGTGATCTGCACCAGTACTTCCAAGAATACGAAGTAGACACCGAGCACCAGTTCTACGACATTGGCCAGTCTGCTGGCAGCTTCTACTTCCTCGGCAGTGGTCGTGTCGTGATTTTTGGTAAGAACGATGAGGACCTCGGGACTGTAAGCGCGGGAAGTGGACAGCATCTATTAGAGCAGCGGGTCGTTCTACCCGGTTCTCTGTTCGGCGATGCAGCTTTCTTCAGCTGGCAACGGAGGTATTCTACTGCAATCGCGACGGAACTGTCCGTCGTGTTCGAGATGACCCGCAAGGCGTACGAATCGCTGAAGGAGCAGTCCACGACTCTATGGGCCCGTATCCATGACGTGGTGACCCAGAGCATGGCGATCTCGCTTGCAAGCTCTAGAAAACAGATCGCTGCGAGGTGTCGCGATGTTGTTGTTAGCATCGAGCACGAAGCGTAAATTACGTCTCAACATCTGTAAATTACAGACTAACTTTAGACGAGTCTACTCATCGATATATCTGGTGTTTTGGAGGCCTTTTCAGATGTTTCCCATTATATCGAGTATTGAATTACAGTATACTTTTGCCGTGTACCGTGTACACGCATGTACGAGGTAGGAAGGTAGCCATGACCTTGTGTGTACAGTACTGTATTACATGTACTCTAATTTTTTTTGCCAAATATACTCTTCACTACAGTACAAGAACAGCCAACATCTGAGTGTGTGCCATTTCGAAGTTAGCAATACTGCAGCGGAGAACGATTTGCCGGCGAAGGGACGAGCACTGTGGTAAGCAGGAAATTAATCTGTACACAGCACCGCGCGTGTATTTAGTTCCAGGCCCCCGTGCTCTGCTTTACGTGCAAGAGCGTCCCGATGCTACCAAAAATACGTCTTCACGCAATACTGCAACAAACAAAACTCGTTGAGCAGGCGGTTTGTTGCTCACAACTTTCAAACGTGCTGGCTTCAATAACGCAAGCAAGGCTCGCTAGCTGCTTCGGGATATGACACTGTACGATGGGGGTAACCTTACCCAGCAAGTAAAGCGCACAGTACACAGGAGACAGCAGCTGACTCCAAGAAGCTGGATCTCGGACGCTTGTCGCCTGCGTTCGAGTTACATGTATACCTGGACACCAGTTCCGGTGCATTGTTGCTCCTACGTACCCACAGTACCCTATTTCCCATACAGTACGGGGATGCGCCGCGGACGGGAAGGATCAAGAAAAAATGCTTGTCTTGCGGATTGAAACTGGGATAGGCTATCCGATATCCTGCTCCGATCGTACAATAGGTGTGGGTTTCTCATACTTAAGTACTGTACACCATAGGATTGTGTTGTCCTTCTACCGGTACCCAAGTCATCTCCATTCCAGACAATACTGTAGGCACCCTCCTTGCTGGTTTTGCTGGGGGGCCCACGGCCTTCTCTTCTACCGCGTTTGATTACTGTATCGGGCTACGTGCACTGCAGCGCGGTTGGCTTTTCTGGTCACCAACTCCACCAGTGACGAGGCGAATGATTCGTCGTCACCTTCAACTTTGTGTTGTGGTAAAGCGGCTTTTCTCCCCGCATCGCATGGCTTCAACCTGAAGCTCTTGCTGCTGATACCGCAAAAAAACACCCCAATGCAAATCGTGTTTTTTATCATGGCCATACTTTGGCCCAGTCTGGCAGCTGGGCGGGGACGGACGTCACCCACGCCAGATCTCCAAGGTTCACGAGTGCTCTAGGAAACGGAACGGCCTGAAGGCTGCACGAAATATCATTAAGTGAAGTTGGTCTCGTTGGAAAGCTAAAGGGCAAGGCTAGCTCTCCGATGAGCCCAGGCTTGCCTATAGTTAAGGGAGCGCCAGGTTCGGTAGGGGCGATTTTGTGAAATCCTGGAAATCGCTTTCACCTGTCCCCCTCCTCCGGCTGGTAACCCTAACCCGCATTGAGACACATCGATAACCATACAACTCACTAGGGATGGGTAATCGACCCAACCGGATTGATCGAGATGTACTTTCTGACCGATCGGATTAGCCAGTGCCGATTTTCGATTCATTTCGATTAGATCCGATTGATCGGTCGAGATATAAAATACAGCAGTAATACCTCCAGAAAATGCTTCTCTAGATATCGCATTCACTACATGAATAATTTTTAAGCGACCCCCGAAATAATCAATAGCATGTTTCCACTCTAATCTCTTATACATTTTATCATGGCCGAAACTATAAAATACCACAGACTTCCATACAACCGACGCTTCACAGCAAAAGTTCATGTGTGGCTTTAGTCTGCTCACGATAGTGCTGGTGTTATCTATAACTATAACAGTGACTTGAAGTGCGCTAGATTCGCGCTGAAATCGGCCTGAGACTTAATTGCATGCGGACCTGAGACAACATCGGTATCATTGGCACAGTTCTCGTAGTTCTACTTGTTGTCCACCAACTCGACCACCACATTTAATCCGCTCAGCGACAGCCGAATCTGCGACTTGGCGGTGCGCGGCGCCAACACCACTTCCACCAGTTCACGTTGCGCGACTGCAAACTCACCAGCCGCTTCGCACGCATGCCGCCGCTGCTGCTATTGCTACGGCTACGGCTGGACGCGCACTACAGCTGCATGAAGTCGCTCCAGCGCGGGACCAGCATGCTCACACAGTTTACGTCCAGCACAGCGGTCGGTTCGCCAACAATATCGTGCGCAGCTTCCAGGTCGCAACGCGTCCACGATCTCCGCCTTTAGTGCCGCAGTGCGCATGTGGCCGAACACCAGTACTATAGACCCACGGAAGACACCCGCAAACGACGCCACCGGCCCGCTCGGCAGACCTATAACCCGACAAAGCGTTCCAAGCCAGCGTCACCGCTGACACGTTCGACACGCCCACCACGCTCTTCCACCTCCGACGAATTCCCGTCGAGAGCCAAGCCGCTCACAGAAGCGCCGAGGTCGCGCCCGTGAACTTCCACGTCCACGGACCAGTACTCCGGCCACACCGCGGACTGGTCCAGCGACTCCATCAGCACGTTCAGCGCGCTCAGCGACAGCGGCGCCGGCTCGACCTCTCTGCTCTCCACCACCAACGGCTGCAACATCACGGCTGAAGACACCAGAGAGCGCGAGCCCGGGATACACCGAACTACACGCCACACCTCCACGACCACGGCGCGCGGCGACACCGAGTCCACCACCGTCACGTTCGCGGACACCGTCACGGTCTGCGCCTCGGCGGTGTGCGGCGCCAACACCACCTCGACAGCCTTCCACCAGCTCACGTTACGCGACTGAAACTCGGTAGGCGCCTCCCACGCGTCGCCGCCGCTGCTGCTGTTGCTACTGCTACTGCTACTGCTGGGCACGCACTACAGCTGCGCGAAATCGTTCCAGCGCGTGACCGGGTGCTCACGCACTTTACGTTCAGCACAACGGACGCGCCACCGCTACCTTTTGAGCCCCGGTACGGAATCCCAGTGCACCTCATTACTGGGCGGTGATTCGTCGCGGATTCGCAGTAAATCAATTGGTCCAATCAGGTGTGCACACGTTGGGCGTCTGCTTGAAGTTGTCGATCGAATCGGCCGATTCAATCGGATCAGATCGGCTTAGGCCTGCCGGACCTTGCGAACTCCGCAATGCGAAGTAGTGCATGCGCAGCAATCTTCCTCGCAGTTTCGCCTTTGCCATCTCGCACTAACGCACCTCTCCGCTTACCTTCATTCCGTGGAGCCCCAAGACAATTCAAGTGCAAGTTCATCCTCCAGTGAACCAAGGCGAGCTCCTGGTAATCGACGCTCCGACATCGGGACCTTCATTCGCGATAACAACGATGGGACCTTCACCTGTCTGCTGTGTTCCACCGACTCAGCTCCGGTCTGGAACACGGTGGCTCATACTACGTTTCGGCGACACCTGAAGCGGCAGCACGGAGAAGAGTACGGAGGCGACGAAGATGCGTCTCCGGCGGACACGAGAGGCGCCCGCCAGACGGACTTGCTCGCGTTTGGGTTCGAGCGATACGTGCGGCAGCGCACGTTCGACAAGGCGGCCGCTGACAAGCAGCTGGTGGCCTTGATCGTAGCGAACGCGCTTTCCCTGAGTCTGGTGGAGAAAAAGGAATTTCGTTCCTTCTGCAGAACACTTCACCCTGACTACGTGCCTCCGACAAGGAAGACGGTTCGAAAGAAGATCATGGCGCGCTGGAGGTGCGAAAAGGAGCTGTCGCGGCATAGCATTCTTCAAGATGTTAAAAACGGCCGGGTATCCGCCACGACGGACTTATGGACATCAGCGGCAAAACGAGGCTACATGGTTGTGACCATGCATTGGATCAACGACGAGTGGGTTATTTAGTCGGTTATGATCGGGTTTACGCGCGTGGAGTATCCCCATTCTGGTCCCCGCATCGCACAGCATCTGATCGATACCATTCGAGCGATGAGCGGATCTCTTTTTGCAAAACTATGGGCGATCACTACGGATAACGCCGCCAACAACGGAACAATGATTGATGAGATCAACGAAACACTGGAGGAGGAGATTGTGGGCTACGACCAGCTTGCAGGGACGGCTTCGGGTGCCACCTCGACTCCAAAGCCTACGGAAGCTGCCGCATCCCAAGCCAAGGTCGTTCATGTGCGATGTCTGGCCCACGTTTTTCAACTTGCTGTCAAGGAAGGGCTTAAACGATGCCTAATCATGGATGACAGTGTTGGTGTCGTCCGTGACATACTGAAAAAACTGTCGGACTCGCCGTCGTTACTTGAGGCGCTGACTGATGTCTGCGCGGCACTCAATGTGACCTTTATATCACCGGAGCTCGACGTTGTGACGCGGTGGAACAGCACCTTAACGATGCTTTCTTCAGCTCGGTCGCTGAAGCTAGCGATTGGTGAGTTACAGCGACGGATTCGTGGCCGTCATGAAGGCTACAAATGCCTTTCAATAAGCCCTGGCAATCGTCTCGCTGCTCCCATCCCGGACACGACTTGGGGCTATCTTAATGAGCTCATAGCTTTCCTGAGACCGATCAAGGGCGCGACTACACTCATGTCTGGCAAGAACTACCCAACCTTTGGTGTAGCGTTGGTTGTCTTCCATCTCGTCTTGAAGCATGCGGGGAAGACGGCGGAGACTGCTCTCTCGTGGTACACCAAGGATTTTGATCGCGCGTTCAAGAAGAAGCTTGACGAGTATATCCCGCTCGTCAAAACCGATGATGCTCAAATTGCTGCCGTTCTCGACCCTCGTGCGAAGTCGTTCCTCATCAAGATTGACGTCAATGTCGAGCAAGTGAAAAAACTAGTCGAAGCGGAGTATGAACGCGTGTATCGGGCCCCATATGAGCAAAATGAACTGTGTAGAAAACAATCGGAGAAAACCCAGCAGCAGAAAGAAGAAGCTAAAGACGAGGACGCGCTGTACAGCCTTATTGATGAGCACATTGGGCACGAGTCGCACACAAACAGCAGCGGTGAGTCATTTTCAAGTGAGTTGTCTCGCTGGCTTGACCACAAGGATAAGTCCATGAACCTGAAGACAGGCAGTCGAGCTGTGTGCAACTGAATGAAGCACGAAGCTGCATCATTTCCTCGAATTCAGATGATGGCGCGCGATTACTTGGCTGTGATGGCTACTTCGGTGCCTAGCGAGGAAGCATTCTCTGCATCTGGAACGACGATTACGCCTCGACGAGCTCGACTTGCTGACGATGCTGTTACAGCGATCATGGAGCTGCAGCATTTTCTTGCCTTCAACCTTACCTCGGGTGATGTCCATACTGAACCAGTAGACATTAATTGGACTGAGATCTAGTGTGTTGGTGGTCGCAGTGGCTTTAAGTCTGTAAGAGTCGCAATCGTTCATAATGCTATCGATCCAATTCGCCTTTGATGAGCTCTTTGCATTAATGACGAGTACATAGCGCTTCTGCTGCAACTTGATATGTGGTAAGCTTTTATAAAGCAACCGCGTTGCACTCTAGGAACACAATACCATTTTTGCGCAGAATCATCTCAAACGAAGTCTGGCTCGCCGCCTTGGACGAGCTCGAAGAGCATGTATCGACATCGCGTGGTATGATGCACTCGCTCACATGGCGCACAGAGACAAGCGGATAATCTTGCCGCTGTGAAGTTACACCGCACTCGAAGCCTTGGAAAACGAGGCGAAGCGCTGCTCAAACCACCACAACATCTGTGAGGCGGTCACTCTAACGAAACAAGGAGGAGCTATCTCCAATTGCTCAATCGCAACGAGGTGAAGCGCTGTCCGATAATTTAGCACCTGGACACCCGACGCAACGAGGCGAAGTGCTGCCGCAATTTGAAGTGGTTCGAAGGTGTGTATCTCCAATCGAAACGAGGCGAAGCGCAGGTCCAATTTATCACTCCATGGGGTCTGAATCAGGGATGCGAAGCGCTGCTCGAGAGTCTTCGCAGAGGCGGAGCGTTGCCTGATAATTTTGCGACTGAAGAGGGGCATCGACTAGGGGAAACGAGGCGGAACTGTTCCCGATTGTGTGCGATTTCAAAGTGGCGGGGCCACTGTTGTCAAACATGTCTGCTTATCCAGGCAGGTTAACAATGTTTTCAACGCAGATATCGCTACCGAAACGCGGTTGTCGGACTCAAAGCCTATCTGGCTGTTGTTTCGTGCGAAATGTAGTGACGCAGGAGGGTATGGCGACGCGAAATGCAAATTTTAAGCGACTGCACGTTGGTTGCGTCGCTACAAAAGACAATCTTGCGCATGTCCTACGACTTGATCGATACCGGCGCATTGCGCCGTATTGAATGTCAAGTACGCAGCAGAGCACGACAACTCAATTCTTTCGGTGATGTCGAAGTGATGGTGCCCTCACCGTGTTTCAGGGCGAATATGAGCGGGTCGCCGTCTCAACAAGCTGAAAGTGGAAAATCGCGGAAAACGAGCAGTGGGGCGATTAGGTGGTGGTTCCTCGCTGAGACTGTGAGCTATTTCTTGCGAGCAAAGACAACTAATTTATGGTGGTCATCATTACCTGTAGGATTTCCCAGCAACAGAGAGAACCGGGTAGCTGGTGCTTGGTATTTTGTGGCTTCCAGTTTGTCTGTATCTGCATCAGCTGCATTAGATTTTGAAAATCTTGTATTGTTTTCTGGTTATTGGCGAACTATACGGCTATCTCCTGGTGACTATGTTTGTTTGTGGTGGCGATGCGATAATTTCGAACCGTAAACTCTCGCGTTGGACTTTTGACCACGGAATTTGCAGCTTCAAGCCGGGTTGTGCTCACGAAAATGAGCGTATATGCTTCGCGATATCAGCGAATTCATGTCTTGTTGACTCGAGTCGGCTGGTTTTAGCGTCGTTAATCAATTAGTGGCAAGGTCTTGCGCTAGACCAGCCCGTGAACCTAGTATTCAAAGCACATGCAAGTCTCGAGGTTGTCCCGAGTCCACTGAGTCGCAAATTGTTATCGTAGCGTGCTCTGAGAGTACACAAATGCTTTTGCTTGCAACTCGAACGCGCCCAGTGTCTTCAATTATTCTTGATCCCTCCATTTCCAATTTTACCGGCTTCCGCACAATCAGCGCACTCTCCGCAATGTAAAAGCCATCATCTATTTTCCTCTGCAACATACCAAAACTGATGACATTTTTGTCAACTTCCATACGCCTGCGTCATTCGTGCCCAACACGCCTACGAAAGGCTTAACACAAGAATCCCGAACAACAGGCCAAATCGCTTCTGTGCAGACTTGCAACCACTTTACAAGCTTTTTTTTTCTGAAACGAGAACGTACTGATATCTATTGATTGACAAAACTACACTTTGGTAGCATAACATTCCTACAGCTCCTCGAGATCCTCCTACACGACCCACCTGTCTCCTCTGCGGACAATGCCAATGGCTGAGGTGTCTTTTCCACTTGCTTGGTTGGCTTCCTGGTACATCTCGCGCAGCTTGAAGGTAATCGGGCGGTCGCACTCGGCGATGATGCCCTTCTCGTAGATGACGTTCTTCTGCAGGTAGTTCTCAACGATCAGAGCCTTGGGCATGCACTTGAGCGCAAGCGCCTGGTTCGTGGAGCCGTGACGTGTGATTGGCACGCGGACGGAGACGTCGGTGCCCCTGGCACGGACCTTATACAGGGTCGTCTTGGCCGTCGGAGCTGTGGCGGGTAGCGGATCTCGCTCGCGCATTGCTACGCCCACCGAGAATCGACTGTTGCACGAGCTGCGACGCTGGTTCTCACGCTGCATGTTGTAGTTAAGCTTGTCCAGAACCTGCTCGAAGGCGGCACGTTAAAGCGTGACGCTTTCACTTGACCAGCAATGACGCAATCCGCAGCGCAAGGCTGGCTCGCCAGTAGAGCGCATTCAGCGACACAAAAGCCCGTTAGCTCAGCTATTCACACACACACCACCACATACACAAAGTGGCAACCAACGTACTGTAAGTCTGCCACACGGTCTTCGTGTCGTCAAGCGTCTGGCAGCCGATCGAGTAGAAGCGCGCATCATCTTGCAACCGCCGTTCTCGCACGACAAGTAGTCGATGGAGGACTCGGTCTTGACGTTGACGTTCAAGTGGCTGTACTCGCTGTAGCAATCGTCGGCGTACAGCAACTTCTTGTCGCCGAGTCAGAACTCGCACGAACCTGTGTGGATGAGACCGTGAGAGAAGATGGCATTGGCGTTGGTCGGAATGGGCTGCGGCGTGCCGTTCCGGTTGGTGAAGCTGCAGGCCGCGTCGTACAGCGACATGCCGTCCAGCATCGGCTCGGGGTTCTTTGCAGATGTTGATCGCCTTGGGGCATTTGAACACCTCAACGCCCTTCTGGGTGTTGCCGGCCTCGCAACTTGCGAGGCCAGTCGCAAGTGTGGCGAGAAGCGGGAGGCCTCTTCGTTTTTGTTTTGTGATATCGACTATTGATAGCATCACATCTGCGAGGGGCAATATCACCCCAATTTCAACCAATGAGTCCGTGTTTCGTCAGCTATGTCGATGCTTTGTCGACTCGATCCGATCCAATCCGATCGAGTCGGCATTGATCTACAAATCAGCCAATCCGATTAAATGCGATCACGATCCGTCTCGATCCAATCAATCGCGGTATCAGCAGAACTTCTCAACCTGAAGCTCCACACGCGGAGCAAAGCCATCCGCGTAAACATCGATCCGACGAATGAATCTTGCTGCAGCTCGGATCGCCGAAGCCTCCGGCTCTGCCTGCGTGGAAACTTTCAGAGGATAGTGCTGTACATTTGTACAGAGTACATTGTATCGATCTACATGTATACATGTATTGTGCTTTTCAGTTGTTTTGGCAAATCGGACGTGTAAAACAGCTACCTAGCTAGGTTATCGGAGCAGATTAGCAGGTCCCTCGTAGGGAATTAGGACCAAGAATTGCTAGTCCTATGGAAGCACTTGCGCAGGTCCTACAAACAGCCGAAAGCCCGAATGTCGCCCATTTTCACGGCATTCGGGGTTTGAGGTCTTACGAAGGACTCCTACCAAGTCTTGTGGCAGGACTTTCATACGAGCTGACTCTAGTACGGTGTATGTCAAACGAAGAATAAACTTATGAACACACGATGCAGTCGATACGTTAAACACTCCAGTCGTCGCCATTCGCCTTCGCGGGTTCCGGCATTGCTTGCTTCCCCAAACAAAGATTGCTTGACTTGGACTCCAACTGGAGTCCATTGAACGGAGAGACTCCAGGAGACCACTCATCGGACTCGTCCGAAATTTGCATCTCAGATTTAGAGACCACCAACCTCAGATTAACTGACCTCCAAAGTCCTACGTAGGACTCGGCAAAATGACCGAAAGGCACAATACTGTAGTGAGTTGATATGGCGGCGGGTGACAAGAATTGCTGCACCGGTGGACACAATGAATGAGGGCATTCCACAAACGTTTTGGCAAACTGTTGGACCGACGCCACAATATGTGGCGTCGTCATGCGCTGAGAATAGAATAGTAAACTAGGTCGTCTTCGACTTGGCTGGGAACACCTGTGGTATAAAACGCTGGTGCTGGTACCGGTGTGATAAGGGAGAACTGTGGCTCGCGCGAGCCGCAGTTCACTTTCTGAAGCTGGTGCATGGGGCTGTTGATGTCGATGTGCATTTCCTGCCTCAGTCTGAAAGTTGCCGTTGAACCTGCTCGGTCGACATCCTTCTGGCTCGTGTAGCACGAAGTTACGCGTTGGGAGCTGTCCACCCCCTCATTTCTTCGGGTGTTCCCAGTATAACAACTGTTGTACACGTGTGAGTCCACACACTGTTTTTTTTCTTCTTACAAGTGTAAAACATCAGTAGCCTTGCGCTTTTAACACTTTTGTGCATCGTAAGCGTGTTCAAACTGCTCGACAATCATCTGGTTCCGCACAGAAAGCTGTGATCGGCAACACGTAGTTCGGGGATGCGAGGATCTTGACGAGCGATGTGAATGAACAAACAGGACGGACTCTGTGCGCGCGCGGATGAGGAGCTTAGCCTCGCCATAAACTCTTGAAAACTTCAGGCTGAAGAGCCGGCAAGTTGATGCTGACACATCGATGGGGACGCTGAAGATCGTATACAGTACATGCACATACAGTGCCGAATGGATGGCCTCTACTGTGCGAAGTTTTAATCGATTCACTACTAGATCGAGCTACGTGTTCATACAGGCCGTCCCAAGAGTTTTGCCGACACCCAGCCAGCAGTTCATTCCGCAATTCGCAGCGCACAGCCCAGAGCTCTGCTTGCCTGGCTCCTTTCGTCATGGACTCCACTCGTCGTGGCAGCAGCGTTTCTCGCCTCTCGCAGCTGTCGAGGGTCTCCATCACGCAAGACAAGCCAAGGAAGACCAACCTCGAGTCGCCGTCCCACATGCTGCTAGACTCCGCCAATACCAAGATGGCAAATGCAACTACTAGCAAGGGCGGCCCAGCGAATGTCGCCCACATCACCAACGCAGTCATGTACGGCATCATCAACTCCATCCTGACCATCCCGACCATGTACGGCTACGCGGTCATTCTCTTCAGCCACAAAGACTTCGAGGACTTCATGCCCGCGCTCTCCAAGCTCGTCATGTTCTCCAGCGTCGTGCACCAAGTCATGTTCACACTTATGAGCTCGCTGCCGTTCTCCATTGGACAGGTGCAGGACGCCGGCCTTATCTTCCTCAGCACCATAGCAACCTCCATCTGTGACTCGCTGGGCAACGATGTACCGGTTGAAGCCAAGGTGACCACCTCTATTGTCGTAATCGGTATTGCCACGGCATCTCTGGGTGCCTGCCTCGTGCTTATGGGGAAGCTGAGACTGGCTGCGCTGGCGTCGTACCTGCCGATGCCCGTGATCGGCGGCTATTTGGCTTTCATCGGCATCTTCTGCCTTTACGCCGGACTCGCGCTGTGTACGGGTCTGGTGATCAATAACGTTGAGTCTATGATCAGCGTCTTCGATAAGGCCCACGACGTCCTGCTGTGTGTTCCTGGTGTGCTGGGTGGCGCGTTCCTGCTCGTAGTCTCGCAGCGGTACGACAACTCGTTCATCCTGTCGGGGGCCATCATGATCATGCCCGTCGTCTTCTTCTTCATCATGCTGGTGGGCGGCATCTCCATGGACGAAGCACGCGACGGCGGCTGGATCGACCCTGCCAAGGACCCTGCAACAGTCTCCGAGCTGCTCAACCTCTTCGACTTCTCTCAAGTGCACTGGGACCAGCTGCCGAAGCAGTTCGCGACGTGGATCGGCATGGTCTTCGTCGTGGCGTTCTCGTCGTGCCTTGACATTGCCGCCATCGAGCTGGATATGGGCAAGAAGCTCGACTTCAACCACGAACTCAAGACCGTCGGCTGGTCCAACGTCGTGAGCGGCATCCTCGGCGGCTACACTGGCTCGTACATCTTCTCGCAGACCATCTTCACCTACCGCTCCAAGACCAATTCGCGTATTGTCGGAGTATGTGTGATCATCTCGGAGTTCGCCATCGTGATGGCGCCCGTGTCCGTCATGAGCTATGTGCCGCGCTTCTTCTTCGCAGCCACGCTCATCTTCATCGCCATCGACCTCATGATCGAGTGGCTCATTCTCACGTACAAGAAGATGTCACTGCGCGAGTATGCGGTGCTGTGGATGACGTTCATCGCCGTGAACCTCGTGGCGCTGGACGTGGGCATGCTCATCGGCGTTGGCATCGCCATCGTCAACTTCCTGCTGGGCTACCTGCGTCTGCCCGTAGTAAATCGGAAGCCCCGATCGTCTGGTGCGGCGCGTACTCTGGCGGAACGTCGAGTACTCGATGAGAAGCGCGAAGCCATTGCGTACTTCGAGTTCAGCGGCTTCTTGTTCTTCGGGTCGTCGGTGCAGATCCTCGACCGGGTCCAGAAGGCCGTGTACGTGCGCAAAAACATCCTTGAAGACGCCGGTGAAAATTACGCGGACATGCCACTCACGCCGGATGAAAATCGAGTACTCTCCGTGATCGAGTGCCTAGACGGAAGCCCTGCGTCTGACGCTGACGCGGTGCCGACCGAGTATGCGGTCATGGACTTCACTTCCGTCACGGCCATCGACGCTACGGCAGCAAGGAGCGCCTTCCTCATCCTGCAGAAATACTGCAGTAACCACAACATCACTGTCGTGTACGCCGGCGCGAGTACCCAGATCCGCGACATGCTGGTGAAGAACAACATCGCGGGCGAGGAGAGCTTCTATTCGAGTGCAGAGTCGGCTCTGGAGCTGTGCGAAAGCCAGCTACTGAGCCGTACGGACGTAGCGTGCACCCGCACCAGCAGCTACTACGACGACTCTACCAGATTGTTGCACCGCTTCATCGGAGACGACGAGGACGCCAAGCTCAGCCAGTTCTTCCAGAAGCGTGAGGTCCCCGTTGGCTATGAATTCTTCAGCGTAGGGACACCGGCCGACTCGTTCTACTTCCTCGCCAGAGGCAGCGTCAAAGTCACGGAGGGTAGTAGCGCCCACCCGGGCTCATTGTTCGGTGAGGTGGCCTTCTTCAGTCGTCAGCAGCACCAGACAACCGCAACTGCGACGGACTCGTGTGTTGTATTCGAGATGAGTCGCGACAAGTACGAGGCGATGCAGGAGACGGCGCCAGCGCTGTACTCACGGGTTCGTGACGCTGTGATGGAATCCATGGCGAACTCCCTTAGCCACTCGGCAACCAACAACCCGCTGGAAGTAGAAATCCGCGTCGCGTCCCAGTAGAGTGAACTTTAGCATACTTAAGTAGACAATAAGGTAGACTAAATAATGAGCCAACCCATTAGCACCATCGTCCTCGCCTGATGGTATCGGATTCGTTTCTGGTCGCTATAGATAGGCGGAACTTTAGCATTGAGTGTCGACTGTGTCACTACTCAACCGTTGGCGCACTTGCAACTTCGCTGGGCCTGCGAAAATACAGCAGTACTAGTAATACGCTGCACCTCCAAGGCGAGTGGAGGGCGAGCGAGGTCAACGCGCAGCAGGAATGCTGGATCGACTCGCAGAAATCAAGGGCAAGGCACCACCTGCCGACCAAGTGGCGATCGATGTCGAGGTAGGTGGATGGGCGCTTATTAGCTTTCGTGAAACGAAAACCAAACTAACGGACTGCTTGTTCCCTCTCAGCCGTGAGTCTAGCGCCAACACCTAGCCATGTTGACTGTCGCCTGCGGATCATAGTCGCTCATGAGAATGCGTGCATCTACTTGATTATTCAGGCGGGGCGTCGTCCGGCCAAAGTTCATGGAGCAGTTCTTCAAAGACGTCGAGGAGATGCAAATGGACCTCGCCAACATCAGGTAGGAAGCAGTTTTGGCTCGCCAATTGCTTCAAACTCACAGTGGATTGACCCGTGTTTGTTGCTCTGCAGTCTCGCTTCGCAGCAGATCTCCGAGTTGAACGGGAAGGCGATTCTCGCGACGTCGAACACTGAAGAGCAAGCCATCAGCACCCAACTGGGCTTCGTGATCGAAACGACCAACAAACTCGCGGCCCATGCCAAGGGGCTACTGGAGATGCTCAAGAAGGAGTCGGCCGAGCGGAAGAAGGAGAAAGGCACGCCGCTGTCGGAGATCAGGATCCGCGATAACATGTGCGCCACCCTCACCAAGAAGTTCATGGACTCCATGAAGGACTACCAGAAGGCGCAGCAGAAGTACAAGAGCGATATGAAGAACAAAGTGAAGCGGCAGGTGCAGATCGTGAAGCCAGACGCGTCCGAAGCCGAGATCGACGCCGTCATGCGCTCAGGAGACCCCGGGTCCATTTATAAGAGCGCCATTCTGCAGGGCGGGGCCGCGGAATCCATCACGGACGTGTTTCTCCACTGCCAAGACAAATACCAGGACGTGCTCAAGCTGGAGCAGAGTGTTGCAGAGCTCCACCAAATGTTTTTGGACTTGGCGCTGCTAGTAGAGCAGCAAGGCGAACTGCTCGATCAGATCGACCACCAGGTGCGCACGGCCGCCAACTACGTGGAACAAGGCAACCAAGAAGTACAGAAGGCAATCAAATACCAGAAAGCTCACCGGAAGAAAATGTGCTGCCTGCTCGGTATCGGAGTCGCCATCCTGCTAGCAATCGTCATCATCGCACTGGTCCTCAAGAAAGCGTCGTAGAAATTTTTCAGGAAACCTAAAAAAATCCGTGTCAAGTAGCACAACTATTATAATAGCCGCAATATTGCTACCTTGTCTTTTTTGCCAAAGCTTGTTCATCTGGAGTGTTGCCGTCTTGGAGTAATCGCTCTACTCGATCGCCTTCGGTGCCTTGAACACGTCACCGATAGCGGACTTGAAGCAGTCAATGTTGTAATCAATGATTCCCTGCTTCGAAAAGTTCTCGGCGCGCAGCAAGCACACCAGGGCCAGATAGCTGTATAGTAGAAGCACACAGCAAATTGGTCAGCGATTGGATCGAGGCCACCCGGAAGTAAGTGTAGCACGACTTACTTGTTGACTTCGCGAAGGTAAAGGACCATCCCGTTGTTGAGCTTGATCACCGACGATGACTTGGAGTCATACGCCAGACCGTCTCCCTCACCGTCATCTTTCATTCTGAGAAGTAATACACCAGCCTGTTAGCACGAGCGCTTATAGCATTTCGCGGATCCAACTTACCCATAAATGCAGGACACGTCGATGACCACGTCGATCATGTCGCTGCACAGCTCATACGACTGCATGTCGACAGGGTTGCTATCCGTCGCAATGTAGACCTTGCTCACCACGTCGAACAGGAACGACTTCTCCATGTTGCAGCTCTGAAAACAGACACCTCGAAGCTGTCAGTGGTCATCACCCTCCGCAATCTGCACCGTACTCCAAATTGACGCACCGTAATGAGGATGTTGAGAAGGTTCTCAAGCGTCGGCAGCTGCGGGATCAGCTTCTGCACAACCTTGCTGAACGCCTCGAAGATGGAGTGGTCGTAGATGCTGGTCAGGTAGAAGCTCATGTGGATGTCCAGCTCTCCGTCGTTGATCTCGTCCATGATCTGCTGCTGAATCTCACGCTGGCAGTCTGTCCAAACAATCCACAGCCTGACATCAGAAGTTTGCGAAAAGAACGATCTCAAGAGACTTCTGGCCCCTACCGATCTTGTGGTCGTCCGACAGGAAGAGGTCGCCGTCCACCTTGTGGATGAACACCTCGAACAGAATGTCCGGGTTGTACCTGTGCGCGCGCGTGACCGTGTCGTGCAGACGCGCGAGCGCCTCGGCGTAGGGTTCGTCCTGCGCGTCAATGACGAAAACGATGGATCCGCAGTTGCTGAAGATCATCTCCTCGTTCACGAGCTGGCCGCCGTACACCAGGTCCTCTGCAGCAGCAACAAGAAGAAAATAACGTCAGCCCGCTACGCCCTTGTAGTACCCCCTACCACCCCGCCGTTCTACCTTTGAAGTCGTAGTCCCCCGGGAAGTCCCAGATCTGGAACTGCACGAACGAGTTGTTGGCGATGTACTTGATGTCGAGGCTGTTGGTGCCCTCGAGGAAGAGCGTCTCGTGGGGCGACATCTTGTGGAACACCACGCGCTGGATGCTCGACTTGCCGCTCCTGCAATAGTTAATAACCAAGTATTAGTAGAGTGGAGGTAGAACTGAGGTAGAGCCGCTCTACTTTGCACCTGCGCAGTCCCATGAGCAGGATGCGCGGCTTGTTCTCGCCCGTGAGCGCCGTCGCCTCGTCCCCATAACTGGTAGAACAGTACCCCCAATATGCGTCAGCGTGGACCAAATAGCATAGGTAGAACGAGGCGTAGAGTACCCCTGGTTCAGGCCGTAGCCCTCCGAGTCTGTTCAACGGACGATAGCGACACAGCCGGAGCGAGTTAGAGCGTGCAACAAGCGGTGGTAGTATCTCCAGCACCTCAGGGACAAGAGGATGCGGTTTGCAGAGCGTGAACACGCGTCTAGGCGCAGATACAGAGGCGCACGTACAAGAGTTCTCCCAGCCCAGCTCCATGGTGATCCCTCCGCTAGAAGTGTGATTTTTACACCGTATTAGGAATATTGTCGTAATTTTTCGCTACGAAATGTCGATTATACATATTGCATAATATAATATTTGTACTCGAAAAAAGCCGAACGTTGAAGTGAGAAGGTCTAATGTATCTGGGGTCTTCCAGCTCTTCATCACGACCAGTTTCCTTCTCGTCCAGTTAGCCCCACTCCATGTCGCCCAAGCCGAAGCAACGGCGTTTAGCCCCGGCGCCTCCATCTCTGCAGCTTCCTGCACTCGGACTGCCATCTCTTCCTCCTCCTCCACCTCCTCTGCTGTACACGTACCCCCCCCCCCCCACGAGTAGTAGAGCCCCTTGCCTCGCTCCCCAGCAAGAAGAAGCGGAGAGTCAACAGGCCCCAACTCTCTCACAGCGCCGTCGTGCAGAAGCTCTACGCTCTGGCCGACAGCGCGACTCCTCCCCGTCTCATTCCCAATGAGGAGGACATGCAGCAAGCAGCCGAGCATTTCAAGGGCTTGGGCTTGACCTGCGACGACTCGATCGTTCGTTCATTGTGGGAGAAGCGCTGTCTTCTGCCCGTGAAGTTGTCAGGCATCAAGAGGCCGAGCTTGGGACTATTGGCGGCTATTATTCGCAGCAAGATCAAAGGAGTCACGGCCAAGATGCTGGACGAGGCGGTGGGCGCCAAGAGACAAGCGCAAGGACAAGAAGAACTTGCTGAAGAAGAGCGACATTGTCGTGGTGCTGAATGAAGGTCTGAAGGAGCACAGAGCGGAGCTGGAGAAGGAGATTGGGACGCTCAAGGACAAGGCTGCTGCTCTGCAGAGCAAGATTGGAGATGGACCACAGGAGGCGGAGTCTGAAGAGTTGATAAGGGAGACCAGGAAGCGTCTGGAATTGCTGCAAGAAGAGAGGGACTCGCTCGTCACCAATGGGGGGGGCGCTCGTTCTCTTGGACGACGACAAGTACAGCAACGGTTACCACAAGCGCTTGGTTCGTGAGCTCGGGTTGCTGGAGAGAGAAGGGTGGATGGACTTTGGGCTTTTGCATCACCCGGACGGGCTGATGTGTCAATCGATTGAGGACACCACGGAGACGATTGTCGCTGGACTCTTCGGCAAGATCAAACGCTGCGTGGCGGATAACCTTATCGCCGCCAAAGCTCGAGGCGTCAAGATCTACATTCTCGGAGACGAGGCGAGTGCGCGTCGAACTTGTGCAACGAGGAGTGGAACCAGCTGATCGCGAACGAAATCCCCATTTTCTTCCCGGAGGAGGACGGCTGCGCGGTGAACACCAGAGTGTAAGCACCCTCAATGCTGGATGTTTTGCTGTCTTGCAGTACTGTAACGCTGACTTGTTGTGATGTCTGCGTGGCAGGTGGGTGTTCGACAGTCGTCTTACGATCTCCGGTTCCTTGGGTACCGGCCCCGACCCCAGCTATGTCACAGCCCCCCCCCCCCCCGATGTTTGTGACGCTGCAAGTGGACCCGGACAACAGAAAGAAGGCGCTCACGCTCACTTCAGGCATCAAGCTTATCCACGCCTACCGCAGTGTTCTCCAAGTAGTTGGGCGGCGTGTGCCCTCCTGCGTCGGACTTGGGCGATCCGTGCCCCGGTGAAGCTGAAGTAGGCGACGACTTGCTGTCCGGACACAGTCCGAAAGAGACTGATGGCATCTGTTAGCTGCAAAGGGAGGCAAGCTCGAGAGCTTTGGGCTATGCTTTGGCCGTTGAACGCGAGATCGGGTTTAGTCGAAGTTAACCTGTCATGGACGAGTTAGTTGCCGTTGAAGTTAACCTGTCCGCATCGCTGATTGGACGAATTCTATTCATTATCCTGTCCGATGGCTACCAACCACGAGGAACTGCTGCGCCGCCACTTCGCGCTCGTGGACGCCGCCTTCTGCTTCGTGGCGAAGCACCGCGCGGCCCCGAATGTGCGCGGCGTGTTGCGGGTGGTCAACAGCTTCGGCAGCTCGCAGCTCACGCGGCAGCACCTCGTCGAGCTGGCCGCCATCGCCCCCGACCTCCTGGTCCTTGAAACCCCGAAAACAAATTTCCAGCCACGATCAGGTATAGCCTGTATTGTACAGGTTAAAAAAATATTCAGAAGTTTTTTTTTACTTTATGCTAAATATTTTATCTTGATAGATGACGTGTTCAGTCCGACGCCGTCGAGCGTCGAAGATGTTGAAGTGGTGGCGTTCCCATTGGCTCCTCAGACCAGCCAGCGCGCGAGTACAAAGCGGAAAAGTTTATTCGACGCAGCACTGAAGAAAACGACTATGACGGAGAAAAATCGTTTACGAGCCAAGGAGGAGGGCAATTCTACTGAGGAGGATACTGGTTCTACCACTAGAACAAAAGTTGAAGAGACGAAGGCTCCAAGCCCGACCCCAATCCAGCAGGTTCAGCAGATTCATAACGACTGGGGGTCGTCGGTATTAACGATGTTGCAGCAATTGGATCTGTACAAGAATCAGATTGTCCACGTGGAGCGGCGTCGGTCACGTGAGGCTCAGTATCGAGATCTTGAACCTCTGCAACTATCGGCTCAAGTGTGCGCTGCACTGGAGAAGTGCTACAACATCAAGCAGCTGTACTCGCACCAGTTCGAGGCCATCGAGGCGATTCGTCGAGGAGAAAATGCGGTGCTGTCGACGGCTACTGCTAGTGGCAAATCGCTCGCCTACAATGTGCCGATGCTGAATATGCTGCTTGAAGACCCCAACGCGACGTTCATGTACCTGTTCCCGACGAAAGCGTTGGCACAAGATCAGCTCAAGTCACTCAGGAGGTTTTTGGAGGCTGCTAAACTTCCGCTTCATATCGGGGCGACATTTGTAAGCTGCGAAGCGTTCTTCTGATAACTCTATTGGATGACATCTAACGTGTACGGGGTGGTGTTGTACAGGACGGCGACACGCCCATGAAGAGTCGGTCCATGGTGATCCGCGAGACGCGGATTTTCCTTACTAACCCAGATATGCTCCACCTGACGATTCTTCCGCAGCATCGGCAGTGGAAAGCTGTGCTATCGAACCTCAGGTAAAGTTTGTCTGCGGGGTCCATGATATTGGTTTTATTTTCACAATTCTAACGAGCTTGGCTTCTTTTCTTTTTACAAATTGGACAGGATTTTGGTCGTGGATGAAGCGCACATGTATCGAGGCGTGTTTGGGTCGCACGTCTCCTGTGTCTTCCGACGATTATTTCGCCTGTGTGCACTCTATGGCTCAAACCCGCAGGTTGTCTGCTGCTCAGCGACAATTCAAAACCCAGAAGCACACTTTCGCCAGCTACTACCATCACTTCCTCCCCACCCGGGTGATTCAACTGCAGATGACACTTCCCAAGTGAGTGCAGAGGAGAATATGGGACCACCCAACCTTCATTTCTTCCGCCAGCGCCCACTGAAGGTGATTACGGAGGACGGAGCTCCATCGGTAGAAAAGCTATTCTGTGTCTGGAATCCGAAAGTTGCCGAGGTGAGTGATTCTGGGAATTCTCAGCAAGGGACCACTAAACTTCCACACTCCACCGTTCCAGTGACTACCGGGAAGCGTAAGCGCACCGAAGATGCCGCCAATTCTTCAAAGCCTGGCAATGAACCTGAAAACGTGGAGGCTACGTTGACTACCAGTTCGATTTTCCAGGGCGCCCGTATCCTGGCTCGCTTAGTCGAAGCTGAGATCGCTACTCTTCTCTTCTGCCGAGGCCGAAAGCTGACCGAACTGGTGCTCATGAACGTTCATTCGATTTTAAAAGCCGACCCCAACACTGCGAAGCTGCTTCGTCGTGTGAGCTCTTATCGCGGTGGGTATACTCTCGACGCCAGGCGACGTATTGAACAACGGCTGTTTAGCGGAGACTTGCTGGGTGTTGTGGCGACGAACGCGTTGGAGCTCGGTATTGATATTGGCGAGCTGGACTGCACCATCCACCTCGGACTTCCTTCGAGTATTGCATCGTTGTGGCAACAGGCAGGTCGAGCTGGTCGCCGCCAGGGCCAATCCAAGCAGAAGCAGTCCGTCGCCATTATCGTGTGCTTCGATGCGCCCCTGGACCAGCATTTCGCGCAGAAACAACACGCCACGAAGCTTTTCCAACTCGAACCGGAAGCTGTGAGTCTGAACACAATGAACCACCGAGTTCTCGGTCAGCACTTATTGTGCGCTGCCCGTGAGTCTGCACTTTATTCTCCGCAGTCAGGGACAGCCTACATCGATTCGTACGTTTTCGGGATGCTGGATGAAAATGGGAGTACTGATGAAAGTGGGAAAGCGGAGTGCTCTGAAGTGAATCAAGTACTCCAGCCTCTTGTGAAAGAGCGTAAGTTGATGGAGTGCTCGGAGGCGGGAGGACACACAAACTACCGGATTCATTCGTGCATGCCGAAGAAGTTCCGCGCTGTTAGCTTACGCAGCATCTGCGACGAAAATTACACCGTGGTGGTTCCGAGCAACAACGTTACCACTGACGGAGCCGATGGAGAAGTGCTGGATGAAATTCCTGGGGACAGAGCCTTCTTTCAAGTGTACCCTACTGCGGTGTATCTGCATCAGGCCCAGGAGTATCTGATCACACGCTTGAATAATGTTCAGCGAATTGCGTTCGCGAAGAAGTGTCTTCAGCCGCTCACGTACTTTACAACATGCCGCGATCTTACTGATATCGAAGTTGTGCGCATACACAGAACGAGTCAACTCGGTTGTGGTGACAAGACGGCGAAAAGCGATGCTGCCCTGATCTGTGTGGGCACTGTCTCCATCCTGACAAGGGTCTTCGGGTCGACGATGCTGGAAAAGCGTACCATGCGGGCATTAGGAACGAACGAGTTCTCCTTACCACCGATGCAGTCTTTCGGAGAAGCTGTATGGCTTGAATTCCCTGCTGTGCTTCGGAAGCAAGTGGAAGCTACGGGTGGAGCGTCGTGGACTGCAGCGCTCCATGGAGTTGGGCATCTCTTTGTGTCTTTGGTTCGTCTGTTCGTTCTGTGCGACGCCGACGACGTGGGCACCGAGCACGTGAATGAGTTCGAGCAGCGCGTAAAGTATGTTGATGTTTCTGTATCGAGCGTTCTCGTCTGCTGGGCTTTAACGCATTGTTTGTATTTGTAGACCAAATCGGGTTACGATTTTCGAGCGAAGAGAAGGAGGCAGTGGACTTGTGCCGGAGATCGTCAAGATGCTTCCGAAGGTACGTTCGAATTCAAGCAAATGTTTTGTGACAAATCGTCACTGACGATGGCCACTCACGTCAACTTTTACTGCGCGAACTTGGCAGCTGATCGAAAAGGCCTGGACGATTGCAAGCGAGTGTTTGTGCTCCGATGGCTGTCCGGCGTGTATTCAATCCGCTGGGTGCTCCGAGTTTAACCATGTTTTGGACAAGCACGGAAGTCTCCAGGTACTCGATTTCTTGCACAGTATTGTCGGTGGAGCCTCTGTGCATTAATTTGGAGGCTGGTCTGGTAAAAGTAATGTACTTGCCTGGTTGATGCAAGCTATGCTCATCAAATCGAGTACGCTTACCGTTATTTTATTTTGGTGCTTCACTAAAGAAAAGATAAAAGGGAAGATCGCCATGTCTTCTTCCTATTAGGTCCCAGGATGTCGGCGATGAGGGATCATCCGCACAACAATAAACTACAAAGCTTCGTGCTACTGTATGTACTTCGGAGTATATCATAAACTGGCAATGACAAATTACCCAAGCTTCTATTTTTTATGCTCCACCACCACACAACCAGGGATTGACAGTAACACGATTTTCTTCTGAATTACTATAGTCATATACTAGTAGAAGACAACAAGAAACTATAGTAATAGTATCATCGAGCCTAGCATCTCGACTACTACAGTACTATTAATGCATTATAACTTAGTACTTCCTAGTAATTTCGATGATCGATTTGCAAAAAGCCTACATCTTTGTCGCTGCACGCTTCACACAGTTGGATTCTTCGTTCAAAAATTCTTCGTTTGCGAGCATGAGGTGCCGGTTCATATTCAAAGTTAAACCATCCAGGTGAGAAGCATCGGTCGATTCCTGAAGCTACTTTAGACCCGTCTAATTGATGCATATTATGCACTTACCGCTCTAAGTGGCTCCCATATAAGCTGTGCAACATGGGAATTAAGCTCACACCACCAAAGCAATCTTGGCCACTTCAGGGGATCGGGGTTTGCACTGACACGAGCAAAGCCAGTGTAGCAATGTTGTGTACGATGGTTGGATCAGTGACCCTGCACGTCGTAAATCTTCATCTGTACTAAATGAGAATGTGGCCAGACCTCATTTGGAAGCCGAAAGATTGACACACACCGCTAAATTTCTTCAAGTGCGTGACAGTAGTCAGCATTAATAAATGTGGCATATCTGAGTTACTAGTTACTGCAGTAGTAGTCGGCTCCTCGTCCCAAAATACTATCTACTATAGTATTTTGAGCATCATTTTAATATTGGTATCAACTGGATAGTAGTTCAAAACAAACTACTGTCACTCCCTGCACACAACTCATTCAAGTTGCAGAGAACCAGACACGTCCCACCCAAATCCAGCGCCTCGATGGTCTTCTCCCTAACAATTCTACCCCTCGTCCATCCGGCCATGGGCGGCCTCCCTTACGTCAAGCAGCTCCTCACCAGCTTCCTCCGGCCAGGCCGATTCCTCTCGCTCAGTGACGCCTGCAGATTTAACTTTATCGATTTACTAGACTGGATGTGGGACTCCAGTTGCACTTCGATCGACGCCAAGACACCAGAATGGTCCCTACAAAACTATATAACTATCTACGGACTGATCCGTACTACTAAGTATTATCGCTACGAATTCGGGAAGGCGCTGCATTTCGCTGTTGAAGAAGGGGATTTGGAACAGGTCGAGTGGTTATTTACCCATTTTTCGGGTTGTATTGTGCCTGCAGATGTGGTGGAAGTCGCTGCCAGTAATGGAGATCTCGACATCTTGGAGTTCCTGCTGGAACATGACGCCGGCTGATTTGGCGCTCACCTGAAGTACCGAATCCCTAATTCTGAGGAGGTCTGCGTCATGTTTGAGTGGATTCCACGACGACCAAGACAGGGCAACGCCGTCACGTGGAGCACTCGCTCGGTCCTGGTGGCTATCAATAATGGGCACTTTGAGCTAGCGCAGTGGCTGGTCGGCAGTACACCGCGGTCATTTGACGATGATGAGGTAATGAACATTATCAAGGCAGCTTTATAGAAAAATAACCTGGAGCTAGCCGAGAGGTTGGTACCCGAGGGACGGAGTCTGCTAGAGTACGCGAGGGGATCTCCGAGCGTCCAGAGCATCGAATGGATGCTGGCACGTGGTTATTTACACCCAGGCGAAGATATTCAGCCGTGGCTTTTTCTTTTTCTTACGCGGAAAGATCGGCTGGATCTGATGCAGCAGATTTGGGGAATTTTCGCTGCATCTCGCGATACTGTCGACATGGATTCGTGGGTGGGACACTGGAGTAGAACGATGAGAGAAGCGGCCGCCCACGGGAATTTACCGGTTTTGCAGTGGCTGGCAGAGCAATCGGTCCGACGCCAAGTGTGTGCGAACAGGGGGTACCACCCACTTTCGGCTATAGCTTGTGACGCAGCCCAAGGAGGGCACTTTCACGTCGTGCAGTACCTTTGTGGGCAAGGGGAGCTCAAACCGGGTTCCTACCATCGTTCGGCTATGGTTTCTGCTATCCAAAAGTGCGGTCTTGACTGCGTGAAATTGCTACTAGAGCGGTGCTCCTATTTTGACGATCTCTCGGCGCAGGATGCTATCAAAGAAGCAGCAACGTGGGGACAAGTGGAGATTTTGGAGTATTTTCACGGTCTCGACATGTCGGAGAAATTCAGTTTACTGCAGAAACGAAGACAATGCAAACGACAGCGAACAGAGAAGCCGAGAAAGCCATGGTGGCCCCGGTGTCGCTATCTGGTGGGGCAAGCTGGGATCCAGGGTCAGCTCGCTGCGATCCAGTGGCTGCGCAGGAATCGTTGGAAAGAGTGTTGTCGTGAAAAGAAATCGACGGAGGCCATGGACTACGCAGCAACTTATGGACATCTCGGAGTCTTGGAATGGCTGCACACGATTGGATGGCTTGCTCTACTGCAGCTATGGATGGCGCTGCGGCCAACGGATATCTGCATGTTGTACAATGGCTCCATCACAATCGTACGGAAGGCTGCACGACAAACGCTATGGACATTGCGGCACAAAATGGTCACCTCAACGTGGTGCAGTGGCTTCACGCTAATCGGACTGAGGGATGCACGACAAATACAGTCGATTTTGCTGCAACGAACGGATGGCTCGAGGTTGTCGAGTGGTTGTGGGGGAATCGGACCGAGGGCTGTACTTCCGATGCTATCGACCAAGCCGTGGCCCGTTGTAAGGATCAAATTGTCCTCTGGCTCCTCTCCAATACCTCAGTGAGTTGCACGTCAGCAGCGATGGAAAAATATCCGCAGCTGGAAATTTCACTCGACAGGACAAGGCGTTTTCACGCAGAAGGCCATCGAACGGGCGATTATCGTGGGGGAGTTGCTTGGCTCCACCGGAATTTCCCCGAACTGAAGCCAGGCGACCAGACGTTGATTTCGCAGGATCGCTAGCGTGAATGCAAAGCGACGGCTGCATTTTTTTTCTTTCCCAGTAAGCTGAAGTACTTTTTTAAGATAGGAAATTACAAATTCATTGCTATTTTCTTAAACACTGGGCTGGATTCCAACATACTTAGTACTGTTATCGAGATCAAACGCTCCGAGCCCAGTGTCGTATGATACGGACCAATACTTTGATATCGAAGATAACAATCAGGATACTTGTAACTTGGCTGCTTTTGCGTGCATCTGTAACTCACACCGCACAACGAAGGAGGAAGAGAAGGTGAACGCGCTGCGGGGGAGTAAAGCGACTTGCTGCTCCCGTTGTATTTTTGTGTTCTGTGGTTTCCCCCTCTTTACTTTTCTCTCTCCTTTCCCAGCTCCTGAGCCTTTTGTGTATCTGCACTTCAACTTACTGTAGAGCAAAGCGACACTGCAACACTAGCAACAGGTGAGGACCAGTAATTCACAACAAGGATAAAAGACGGGCAGAGCAACGAAGAGAAATGTGCAGGCGCTGATGAATGCTTTTTAATTTAAAAATTCATTAGTTGTCTAATGAGGTCGTATGTCGCCTTAGTTTTCTCCTCGCATCTGAGCCATGCGTGCTTTGGCGACCAGCTTGTCGTGTGTTCAGAGGTCCTCTATTTACGTTTGTTTAAACTATAGAGTCCTGATATCGCTGTAGACTGAGCCTAATTGACGAACGGTGTTGGGATAGTTCCTCCTCCGGCGAAAATTGTTCTTGCAGGTAGTCCCACAGCTTGACAGGCAGGTGCTCTCGAAGTAGTACAGCATTGGTAAACTGAGATAGTTGTCGCAATTTGAGAAATCCCCTGATCGCTTTGTAGATGCGTTTGGAAGCTGGTTTCCATGCTATCGAGACAACGGCTTTGAGCGCTTGGTGCGTGGCATTCTGGGCTCGAGCCGACTTGATCATTGGTTGGATGCCTTGGGAATTAAAGAGAGACTGTAGATAGTTGAGCTCGCTGCTTTAGCTGATGCATGGCTCGGACGATGAGCTGAATAGCCATACTAGTTTCCATGACTGGCTCGTTCTTTTGGGCAAAACCAATGGCAATTATTTCTTGTGGGTCGTTCCCCAACACCACCCAAATACCTATTCGCCCTGGTAATCCTTCCAATTTCACAGAGTGAAAAGTTAGAGTCCAGAGCTGAATTGCGATCGGCCTGTCTGAAGGTTGAATTGCCAAGAAAACCGCGTAGCACTGGTCCAACCGAAAACTCGCTTCTTTGGTTGTTGGACGTGAAACCATTCCCCGGATGACTGCATGCGTCTGGAAATCAGCTGCCTTCCACAAGGTTCGCTTAGCTTCGTGTGGCGGTACTTGATCTCCGTCAAAGACCTCTCTATTTCGTATCAGCCAAAGCGTGCATTGAGTACATGTCGTCCAAATTAGCCACAAGATCCTCATAGCTTTATCCTGCCCTTTCCCCCAGCACGAACTACTCTTCATGGCTTCGTCAAGAAACGTTGGTGAAACCTCAGGCGGTCTTCTGGCTGCAAGATGCGGAACCAGTGATGCTATCTCGTCTCGATGCGGGTAGTGACCGATCCATTGGAGAATTCAAACTTGCCACACTTCCTCGGCTCGCTCGCAATCCCAAACGATATGCTCAATGGTCTCCAACGACGTGGCACATTGCTCATATGAGCAACCCCGCTGGTGAGGCCATCCAGCATGGTACAAATTCAGAGTTCGGGTGCAAATGCGAAATGATGTCCACCTTTGGAAGTCCGTCAGTATTCCGTCATGCTGCCAAATCGCGGTGCACTGCTGAGACTGCGCCGCTCGCGCCCACTCGTGCTGCCCTGCTCCAATAGCCATCTTATCTAACACTTGCTGTACGGAAAACTTCAGGGTTCTTCGTATTCTCTTCGATCGGGTCTTAAAAATGGTCAGGCGAAGTGAGAACCCCTTAGTTCTCGGTGGCGCCTTCCACGGCGTGGGGTGTAAGTAGGGCGTCGCTTCAAACGCTAAGCCTGACATATTTTGCTTGAACTTTAGTGCTTGAACGTCTTTATCATATTCCTCAGCCGCGTTTCGATACGCAATTTTCCATGTCCATCCTCTAACGTCTTGGACTAGTTTCAGAATTGGTTCGTGAGGGTTACTAGGTACGAATGCAAGAACATTGCGGTCGCTATCTGCATGCCATGAGTACTGCTGCGACAGAGCAGGAAAATTGCTCGGCCTGATGGGTGCCAGCGTCGATGTCCACACCCTCGCTGGAACGCAAGCAAAAATGCTAGCACACCAACGCCTCATTTGGCGATAATGTCTGATCGTAAACGGTTTTGTACCTCTTGGAGGCGTCAATAGATACACTCCTGGTGATTCAACCCTAACTTGCAGCTTCATTAGCGTGCAAGGCTTGAACAACGGAAAATCTTGATGCCGAAGGGGCTTCCCTTTTGCATCTACTATAAACGCGTTACTGTTCCACTTGCTGGTTCTCCAATGGTCAGAGTCTACAACCGCGCCTTGCTCGCTCACCGACACGTTTAGCATCCACTTGATTGTGTCCCCTCGACCCCAAAAACAGATAATCGATTCGCGAAAATCACCCACTTTTTTCAGTAGATCACGATCAGCGTGCGGTACAATCAATGGGTCTGTCAAGTAAGCCCAAAGTTCACTTCTACCTTGAGCTTGCACCGTCGACATCCATCCCGATCGCTTTTTGCGGCGTACTTGATTTGCTTGAGCTTTTGTCGTTGGAGTAAAGGCAAGGCGCAACAGTCCCGAGAAGTTGGTATTGTGGGGTGCGCCAACCAATGCCAAGCTGCTTGATAGTTGTCCGATGAAGTCTGGATCCACTGCTCCGCTTGATTAATCCGGGTGATAGTAAGCGCCTCTTGAATACTTTGGAGCCCCATGCCGCCTTGCTCCTCAGGCGCAAAAACTAATCCAGGTAAGATTTTATGCCGACCATTGACCTCCTTCGTTGTACCTTTCCATATAAATCTTTTTTGGAGTCGCTCGAGCCGCTTCAGAATCTCTCTCGGTACAGTGAAATGCATACCAGTGAACAAGATCGCTGGTAGTATTACCGTATTGAAGAGGACTACCCGTTGCTTCACGGAATTAGTAACCTGGGTCGCAACTTGCAATCGTTTCTTACAATTCATGAGCCGTATTTCCCAATTGTAGCCTGTCGTATCGTGATTACCAAAGTGATAACCCAAGATAAGAGTGGTATCACCTTTTGCAAGCACAGGGTAACCATGACACCACTTCTGAGACCATGCTGTATTCAACGGGATCAGTACACTTTTCTTCGGCTGGACCTTCAATCCCGACATTTCTCCAAACTGTTGTAGAAGGTGGTTCAGCGGAACGATTTGACGGGTAGCTGATAGAAAAACTGTACAATCATCTACGAATCCATTAAAAACCTGTCGTCTACCTCCAGAACCCGGAATTTCCAGACCCTTAATTTCAGGGTGAGAAGCAATCGCTCTACCAAGAAAATCAATCGCCAAAATAAAGAGAAGAGGTGCGAGCGGGCATCCTTGACGAATTCCTGAATTAACCTCCCACTTCGATGACTCTACCCCATTCACCAAGTAACTTGCCGTGGTTCCTGTGTGCAAACTGTGAAGCACATCAAGAAACCCTTGCGGAAAACCAAATTCCGTCAAAGCCGTAAGCAGGAAGCTGCGATCCAATGTGTCGTAGGCTTTGCACTCGTCGAGCCCAAGGATGGCGGCCGAGTCAGCCCATGCAATGCTTGCGTCCTCCAGCTGGGTTAGCAACAGTGCTTGGACGGCTGTTACACTTTTAGTCATGAGCCTACCCCGCACAAACCCTTGTTGAGCCAAACTGATTATCCGTGGGAGAAATAGATGAATCCGTTCTGCATACATTCTGCCTAGGATTTTATAAGCTGTGTTGAGCAGAGAGATTGGACGATAGTCCATTGCATTTCTTGAGTCTCCCTTCTTCCGGAGTGGAACAACCACGGCGTCAAGGAACGAGCTCGGTACCGCTGCACCCTTCTGAATCGCATGATAGACCATCGTAAGACATTCCGCCATCTCATCCTTGAAGTCCTTGTAAAAATCATGCGAGAGACCCGTAGTTCCTGCAGATTTATCACGAGGGAGTTTGTCGATCGCATCAGCAACTTCTTTCTCTACGATGGGATTCACAAGTTGTTTCTCCTCCTCCGGGCGTAAGCGTTGGGAATCCGGGATCATATGAAATTCTCGGAGAGCTTTTTGCATTTCTGATGGATCGAGAGTCGCGTGTGAGCCCCCCATTATATCATTCCATTCACTTGCCATTTTTTCTGCTACTGGCATCGATTCGGGGTAGTAGTGACCAGGCGATGGAGAAATATATCAGAGATCGTTTGATCACGTTGCCAATCCGCGTGCCGTTTGTAGAAGTGTTTAAGATTGGCTACCGTCGGTTGTAGAGTTCTGCCAAATGCTCGTTGGCCTTGTCGTACACGGGAATTGTTGGCGCTTCGCTGTAAGTCCTCTCGTGATTTGGCTTCACAATTCAGGTACTTCCTCAAATTGTTGTAGTAAGACGTAGTTCTTTCCTTATAGCATTATAGAGATCTGCCTAGGAAACGTAACCCATGCTCTTTCTGGGCAGCTTTGTTGGAGAAATGTCGCTTTCAACTTGTGTAGTCTTCTCCGGATTTGTTTATGAACCCATTCTGGTGAAGCGCTTCGAATAGGGTAGTGCGATTTATCTTTCCTCCCTGCACTGGATTTACGTAGCGTGAGCCAGAGCCGTACTTCCTGATGATCGGATTTATTGCTCGGTGGCCGTGCTTCAATCCATTGCGCTAGTCCCGCAAGGTCATTGCTTAGATAGAAGCGATCCAGCCTGCTTGCAGACTGCTTTCTCCAAAAACTAAAATGCGTCAAGGGGTCGGTAACGCTATCTTCGTTGGCATGTGTTGTAAGCTGTACCGCATCGAGTAGGTCGAGCTGATCTACCAGTCGGTCAAGATCAACACTTTCACAGGACTTCGCACTTGGTAATCCATTAATTATTCGATCAAGAGAAGGCTGCAGAACGGCATTAAAATCTCCCCCCAGTAGAAGCAGCTTGACTTTTGAAATCCAACTCTGCAGATCGCTATAAAAACTGCGTTGAGCCTTCCTGTCCGTTGGCGCGTAGATGTTTACTAGCGTCCATTCTCGAAAGCGCAGTCCAATTCGTCGTCCCGTCCACTCACTTGGTCTCCACGGGCTGACTTGAGCCGCGATATTCGGCTGCAAAAGAATACCAATGCCTCCTGACGATCCTTCCATCTTCGACCAGTAACTGAGGGGTTGTTTCGGCTCCTTAATACCCCACACCCGGTTTCACATTTCTGCTACCTCATCAATTTCCTCACTTGTCTTCAGGTGAGTATCTTGTACATATATTACGTCGGCTGGTCGTAGACTTGTACGTTGTTTCCAACCACGCAGCCACCCAGATCGACGCTCCTTTTTAAAGCCTTGTAAATTCTGTGTAATCACATGTAGTTCTGCTCGATGCTGTTTGTTTTTCGTGTTATCTAACCCAGATCCATAAAACAAATCTGCCATTTGCTGCAGTTCTGTATATAGGTCCGAGTCCTCCATTGCGGTAGTATTGAGCATCTTGGTTCATCTAACCCTGCATGACCTCCGATTCGGTCGCTGCAATAGTTTCATTCTGCATCGCTAGTAGAGATTCTAGCGCGGCCCAGTCTCCATCCTAATCGTTTGCGTAAAATGCCCTCTGCACACTAGGGAACCGCTGAAGTGCAAGAAGAAATCGATTGAGAACCTCTCTTGTGGAGAACTCTATCGATTCGGGACGCCCTTGCATTCTGCCTAGTTCAGGTGCATACACAAATGCAGCGATGAGTTTCCGCGAGAGGTAATCCGTTTTCAGCTTTCTACAAGGTTGAAGGAGCTGAACAGCGTCGGGCTTGAGCTTGTTCAGAACACCCCACAAATCCGGAGAGTGAAGATAGCTGTCATCAACCATTGTAGCTCTTTCCTTCCGGAAGAAATCAAGCCACTACATCATCGAATTGACAGCTTCTGCATCCACGTCGACACCTTCATTACGTCGTCGTTCAATCACTTCACCAAGCTTAGCACTTGCAAACGATGATGCAGACACAGAAGCCCGCCGCCTCGCCGCCGCCGCCGTCACTCGCTGGCGCTACACCTCCCGCTCCCAGCCAAGGTGAAGCAGGTGAGCAGCAGCGACAAGGCCGTCCGCCGCCCCGTGACCATGCCGACCGTAATGCTGCTGTCTGCGGCAGCGGTGACGGAGCCAGTGACTCACCGTGTGAAGACCATGATCTATTACCAAGCGGCGGTGGGAGTGCGGGTCGTGAGCCCACCTCGAGCGAAGAGCTTGATGATAGTGGTGACGAAGACTTCTCCCAGACGTCAAGCGGCGACGACGATGATGAAGAGGGAGAGAGCGCCCAGCACCGAGAAATCGGAGGAGGACTTAAGTACCTTTTTGTTCGACACCGACCTCAACGCCCAAGTCACGGAGATAATCCAGTCGGACCCGTGCAAGAACCGCTGCGTGCGTGGCAAGGCCAAGGAGTTGGAGTCTCTACTGTGCTCGCTATCGCAGATGTCGAAGCCGGAGAAGAATATCAGCCTGTATACTCTCCTGGCTGTGCTCATGCAAGTGCCAGTCGACCGCAAGCGAGGAAGCGGCGACCGTGAACGATTCAACTACTATCTTCCTTTTGTTGGGCAAGTGTGCCGCCCCATCTTTGCTCGCTGCTACGGTGTCGTACCCATGACTCTGCAGCGCTACAAAAGAAGAATCCGCGATGGCAACATGGCCATCAAGGACCACGGGAACAAACTCAACAAAAACGCGTCGCAAGTGGACGTGGTCTGGTTGGTGAAGTGGTTCACCAGCTTTGCGGAGGAGGTTGGCGAGGTCGTCCCTGTGCGCGTCCGTATGCAAAAGAACTTGGAACATGCACAGTCACGGAGTTTGCCGCAGCTGCGTTGACTGCATCAATAACGTGCTGCATCGTCCAGCACTCCAGCACTCAGCGGAGGCCAAGTGCTTTCGAATGTGGCCAAAGCCATGGTCACACGAATTCTTCGTATGCCCCTTTACGAAAACTTTGAAGCCCACATGCTCGAAAATGGCCATGTCCACAAGGGTCAGCAAGAAATTGATCACGTAGTTGTTCTTGTTCTGGCCCGAGCAGTTGTCGGCGTACACAGTCAGCTTGGTTTTGCCAGACGGCACGAGCTTTGTCTCGATAAAATGGGCCAGCATTGAGTTGATTTGGTCGCTGCCCTTGCCGCTGGTGCTCTCATCGTAGATGTAGTTCGTCTGCACACCGTCGTTCTCGTAGTAGATACCGAAGCAGCTCACTGACAGCAGAGAGTAAAAATACCATTGGGATGGCGTGTTGGCCAGTCAGGTTCTGCGAGTAGTCCATGACAATGACCGCGTGGTCGCTCGAGCAGAAAGTCTTGTCACGCTTGTATTCGAGCCTGTAAGTAATTTAAATTGTTACCAAACTCCATGATAAATATACCAAGTAAATCAAAATGTTGCTTACGTCCCCATACAAAACTTACCGCATGAGCCGAGCCGATTCAGTATGGCGGCCGAGTGCCTCCGTCTTGTCAGCCGTGACTCCTCCGCGCATTCCGGCGTGGTAAATAGCGCATACATCACATACGTTGCTTCGCGGGGATCGGATCCGAATTGTAGGGCAGTGTAGCGTCAGCAGCTTCCGCATCGTGGCTCTTGCGGGTTCACGCACCCTAAGCCCAGACTCCACAAACTTGTGCATTTCCTCCCAAATTGCGTCCCAGGTAAAGTGTGCCGGGAGCAGCGTGTACTTGTCGCTGCTGTAGTATTTCTGGACGCTCCCGTCGATTGCAGCAAGCTCTTCAAGTCGTACCAACCAGTGCTGACTGAGTTGTACAAGCGGCTCGATGGTGTGCAGCAGTACCAGATCTTTTCGATTGACGGCTCCAAGCCGGGTGTTCTGGCGTGCAAGAAGGGCCCAAATTCGGATGCAGAGGAGCAGGACTTACGTCGAAAGATCGATGGCATTTTGACGGCAAAGGGGAAGGTGGCACGAATCATGACAGACCACATTGAAATCCTGCCACCCCCCCCATCTATCAATGCCGAGAAGAAAGAGCAGATGTACAAGTCCATTAGGCCGTACGTCCCGGACGAGTTCCAGAACGACCCGTTGTACGCGAAGCCAAGTGAGGATGAAGGAGCTGCAGCTAAAACGAAGAAGCAAGCTCGCTTACCGCATCGTGCTGCAATGGCAGCGGCCGCAAGAAGAACCAAGAAGGACGTGGAATGGCTGCCCAAAAGAAGAGAGCAGCACCCAGCAAGAAAGCTGTTGCTAACTCCAAGAAGCGCAAGTCTTCAGCGACGCCTGAAGCTGAAGATGAGTAGCCGAGAGCATGTAGTGCATCATTTTGTTACCTATGTCCACTGGTGAATCAAAAAGTTACTTAGTGACTTGATCCAAATTTCGGAAAAATATTTAAAAATATACCCCCGTGATTTGTACTGGATCCGAAAAATGTTATTTTAGCTATGTTAGACTTGTTTTTAGATAAATCTGAGACCACCACTGGATTCCTCACGTCTTTTTACTCTATAAACGCAAATAAAAAAATTGAGATCGCGACTCAAAAATGGAGATAAATTTTTCTCCGGCTTCGTTCTCAGCTTCATGTGGATCAATCTGGCTGTGGAATAGCTCAAACGAAAGCTAAGATAGCCTTCTTTCGAATGGTGTGCCTAAATCGCGATTCGTATTAGGTTTATAAGTAATTTTTTGTTTGCCGTCGTCTCATTGGGACGAAGTCCCCATTATAATGACTTGGTACCGGTATACCTCTCCTTACCGTAGTGTCTGGTGATTGATTGGATGAAATAAGTAGGTTTAGGGCTGCAATATATAGCAGGGGCGGCGCCCTCGACCTCCCCGAATTTTACTCGGGTATAGTGGGCTTTTGGGCCCCTCGGACGAGGGGCCAAGAGACTCCTCACAGACTTTCAGTAAGGGCACCGTCATCGGAGGGCCTTAAAGTAATGGTACATAAGTGCACGGCGCCCCTTCGTCTCGCGGTATCACGGCGGTATGAGCACGTCGGATCACTCTTGGGACTCTGTCGTGGCGATCTTGACCCATGAGAGTGTTGCCTCAGCGAAGGGCTTGTGTTCGGCGGGAACGTCTAGCTGCAAGATTTAGATGCGATGACAAATTGTTGCATTGCTGGCACTGCTTTTTGATGCTGGCAATGTTGATGCCACGCAGGAAGGCGTGCTGGGCGATGTCAGACATGCTGCATCTCCGAAGCTCGATAGCTAGGTTGAGTGCACGGCTATCAGCTGATCACTCTTGGTGCAACGGGGCACATAGCAACCATCCGAAAGCACAACGCTCTGTTGGAGCTTATTTGCTCACAAATGACCAGCATTCGTGCTGACTCGAGCTAGGTTCGCTAAAACTTGCAGCACTCGTGCTGACTCGAGCTAGGTTTGCAAAAACTTGCAGCAAAGCGCAGCCTCGGTCAGGTTGGTTCCCTTGCTACCTGTGCATGCAGTTTTAATTAAGAGCAACACTGCTGGCAGAAGGTGTTTTGATGCATAACTGTGCTACCAATACCGGACTGCGATCAAGTAAGGCAGCTATTCTGTCCTCCAGCAGGTACTGAAAACCATCGCAGTAGTTTCTGTAGCTGGTTCGATGCCCATGACTAGTATAGATAGCTAGAACTGTTTACAACAGTATCTATATGGTGAAGGTGCTATATACATTTGACTGCACAGCAGAAGCTTACAGCAAGGCAGGTCTAAAGCCTAGGCTTACACTTCAAAAATTGACTAGTAGCGCTGATAAGCTTAGGCTGATGCTTTGGGGACGTCGTCAAATGTACAGTTTTACTGTACGTAAGAGGTCGGCCCACCAGCAACTCGACTCGAGCTGCTCAGCGAGTATGGCAATATATCAGGTATCATTTGGTACTGTACCTTCAAACATTCATTCGGAGCACTTTTTAACGTAACGTACCGGAAAAGGATCTGCTCAATTGTGTACCCCTGCTTATAAATGTACCCTGGTTACACATGCATACCCTGAGACTGTCTTGTACGTCCCTCCCTCCTCCACCACCGCCTGCAATCTGCGTCCAAGTCTTGCAGCGCTGCAATGTACTCGCCCGCGCTCTCCGGCGCAGTGAAGCGTCGGAGCAATTCCAACTCCACGCCGGCGGCCGATCGCGCCGCCGAAACGGCCCGGAATGACACATCGGAGCGCCGTCGCCGCCACCGCAGCTGGGTGGACGAGGGCTCGCCCTGCAATGGGGAGGCCATGACGCTGCTGGTCGGCAACGACCCTCGGGCGGATGGTGACGCCTCGACGAGTGCCCTAAGCACCAACCAACTGGCCAAGTTCACCAACGCGCTCATGTACGGAATCATCAACTCGATCCTGACCATCCCGTGCATGTACGGCTACGCGGCCATCATCTTTGGGCACCCGGACTTCGCCAGCTTCATGCCGGCGCTGTCCAAGCTCGTCATGTTCTCGAGCGTCGTGCACCAGGCCATGTTCACGCTGCTGAGCTCGCTGCCCTTCGCCATCGGCCAGGTGCAGGACGCCGGTCTCATCTTCCTCAGCGCCATCGCCACGTCTATTTGCAACTCGCTGGGCGAGGACGTGCCGCTCGAGGCCAAGGTCACGACCACGGTGGTGACCATCGGCTTGGCCACGGCGTCGTTGGGCGTGGTGCTCGTGGTGCTGGGCAAGTTCAAGCTGGCGGGCCTTGTGTCGTACCTGCCCATGCCCGTGGTGGGCGGCTACCTGGCGTTCATCGGCCTCTTCTGCATGTACGCGGGGCTCTCGCTGTGCACGGGACTGGTGATCAACGACTTCTCGTCCATGATGCAGCTCTGGGACCCGCACTACATGCTCCTCTGCGTTCCGGGTATGCTGGGTGGAATTATTCTGCTGCTGGTGTCGCAGCGCTGTGAGAGCTCCTTCGCGCTGCCTGCTACGATCCTGCTGATGCCGCTGCTGTTCTTCGTGGTCTTGGCACTGTTCGGGATCTCGCTGGATGAAGCGCGCGAGTTCGGATGGGTCTCGCCGGCGTCCGACCCCGCTGGCTTCGTTCAGATGTTCGACCTGTTTGACTTCTCGCAGATGCACTGGAATCAGGTGCCGCGACAGATCACGACGTGGCTCGGCATGACGTTCGTTGTGGCTTTCTCGTCGTGTCTGGATGTGGCGGCTATCGAGATGGACATGGGCAGCCAGCTCAACATCAACCACGAGCTCAAGTCCGTCGGATGGTCCAACTTTGTGAGCGGACTGCTGGGCGGATACACCGGGTCATACATTTTCTCGCAGACCATCTTCACCTACCGCTCCAAGACCAACTCGCGTGTCGTGGGCGTCTGCGTCATCATCTCCGAGTTCGCCATCGTGCTGATTCCGCTTTCCGTCATGAGCCTCGTGCCGCGCTTCTTCTTTGCCGCTACGCTGATCTTCATTGCCATCGACCTCATGCTGGAGTGGCTCGTACACGTGTACCACAAGATTCTGCCGCGCGAGTATGTGGTGTTGTGGCTGTCTTTCATCGCGATCAACCTTGTCAGCTTGGAGCTCGGAATGCTGCTTGGAATTTGCTTCAGCATTATCAATTTCCTGTTCGGGTACGCTCAGGTCCGCGTCGTGAACCGGCGATCACGCTCCTCCGCTGCGGTGCGGAAGCTCGCGGCACGCACGTTGCTCGGCCAGAAGCGCGACGTCATCGTGTACTTGGAGCTGTATGGTTATCTGTTCTTCGGCTCGTCGGTGCAGATTCTTGAAGACGTCCAGAAGGCTGTCCACATTCGCAAACCCCGCGCTACTCTCAAGCAGAAATCAAACCGGAAAGTGGAGATTGAGCCCCAATACTACGCTGACGACTCCGGTATTCCGCTCACACCCGTGACAAAGCGAGATGTCCCGATCCAGTGTCTAGATGGCAGCCCTGCGCCTCACCCGGACGGCCTCCCGACCGAATATGTCGTCATGGACTTCAGCCGCGTCTCTGGTATGGACGCAACGGCTGCGCGCAGTGCGTTCATGATCTTGCAGCAGCACTGCAAGCGCCACGAAGTCACCGTCATCTTTGCCGATGTCCTGCCGGAGATTCGGAGCTTGCTGTTGAAGAACGAAATCGCAGAAGAGGACAACTTCTTCCTCCACGCTGAGGCGGCTTTGGAATTCTGCGAGAACCAGTTGCTGGTGAACACGAGCCACGCGCAAGAACTCACCAATTACCACGAATCCATGAGTGTGCTCCTGCACCGCTTCATGGGCGAGCCTGACGACTCGCCGCTCTTCCGTGGTGTCGACCAGTTCTTCCGCAAGTATGAGGTGCCCGCAGGCTACGAGTTCTACCGCGTCGCGTCATACCCGGATCGGTTTTACTTCCTCGCCAGCGGCCGCGTCGCGCTCTTCATGAACGACGACGGCAGCGTGGCCCCCGGGAAGTCCATGACTCTGCTAGAGAATGTGATGCCCGGCGCCATGTTTGGAGAAGTCGACTTCTTCGGCCGCCAATACCGCTACATGGCTGCCACCGCGCTACAGCCGTGCACTGTGTTTGAGATGACTCGGGAGACGTACGAGACCATGGATGAGCTGGCACCTGCTCTCTGGAACCGCCTCCGTGACGTTGTCATGCAGTCCATGGCACTGTCAATCACCAACACCACATCGATCAACACGCTGAACAGCGCGAATGGCAATCTTCCAACCTTTGCTTAGCATTTCAAAATCAATACATACTTAGAGTTTCAGCGAGTTGTCATGGTGTCGCCTTACCCAACGAAGCCACTCTGCATCGACACTAACTGGCAGTGCTTCAAACAATCTATGCTACCCGTTGCTCAGAAGCGGAAGTTGCGCGCAAGGTCACGAAGGGCGTTCTGCTCAGCCCATTGGCACCTTAAAACCACACTCTCAGCGCTAGGGTCGAACACGACAAGCTAGACAAGGAACACAAAAAGCAGTTAGCCATGGCGCGCACAACCTTTCTCAATAACCCGATACTTACCATGGGAGCCGTAGCGACGTAGAATAACCCCGCGCGTTCTTCGTGACACAAAGAATTGCCAAACAAGTCGAGAAATTGCTCTTGCTCGAGTGTGTGGTGGACCGGTTCTTGCGAATGAAGCGCTGCAGACGTGTAGAATGTAAAATCGTGCGTCATGCTGAACAGCGTCATAAACGCAAGGCGGCGCACTCCGTCACATGCCACTTCCAGGTCGTGCTTGTTTGTGTTTTCACGGGCCATGCGGCCGACTTGCCGAAGCTTCGTCCTAAACATTCCAACGACCGAGTCCAGTATGCGCTGCGCGTCGACGGTGGCGATTCGGCATTCGCTTCGGTATCGCGTGTTGAGCATTCCCGTCCGTTCAGCTTCGGCCTTCTTCACGCGTTCTAGCTGTGCCTTGCATGCCATTAGCTCCTTCACGATTGAATCTGTGCGTCCCACGTCAGGACCTCGATCCTGCAGTCGCAGTTGCGCCCGTGCAGCTGCCAACTGGTTCTGTGCTTCGGTAACCTCGCGCTTGGTCTTCTCTTGTGCCGCTGTAACCTCGTTCTTGGCGCGCACGCGTACCTCGTCATTTTCGATTAGCATACGCTGCAAGCGCTTCCGTAACGCATTGTTCTTCTCCTCCAACGCAGCCTTTTCATCACGCTCCTTCTTGAGGTCAGCCATCAGCGCAGTCACATTCACAGGCTGCCCATTGTCATCCAGCATCGTCACCGCCCGCTGTGCACTAACAAATAAAACAAAAAGCACGCACACGAGGACAGTCAGCCAAATGTAATCCTCCACCACCCTACAGCCAACTAAGATACTCACGGTCTTGCTCGTTTCCTTGGCTGTGGCTGTTGTCCACCGTTCATCGGCGCGCTAGTTGTAATGGGGATAGAATGAGGCGGAACTCCCGTCTGAGGCACCGAGGTCGTCGGCGGGTTGCCGGCAATGATCCTTCCTGGCTGGCCACGCGGACTCGCCCCATTCTGAGGCCAATAGCCTGGCGATGACGGTACTGATCCACCACTACTAGTAACCGGCACTGGCTTCATCGAAGCCGCACCCCAAGGATTAACCTGTGCAGCCTGGGACGTCATCGCAGCTCCAGATGAAGTCGTAGAGGCTGAAACAGCAGCAGAATTTCCTCCTCCGAGGGGAGACCGCGCATTCATTTGACCTCCAGGCTGGTGTCCATTTTGTTGCTGAGTTGGCGCGCCATACCGTTCGATCTCAAACATCAGCTCCCCCGGTGGCGTGGCCTTGAGGTGCTGAATTACGGTCAGGAACTCCTGCCCCGTGAGGTCCACGCCGTCCACAGACAGCAGCCTGTCCCCCACCTGAAGGCTCGAGTCGCCGCCCTGCAGCGTGGACACCTGCAGCCGCTTGTACCGGTCGTGACGCACGCCGAAGCCCAGCTTGTCGCCGTACTTAACCACGCGCACCTTCATGCGGCGCACGCCGTCGCCGCGCGGCGCCTCCACGCGGAACTTCTTGAGTTGCGGCTGCATCGGCGAGCCTTCACCCCTCGCTAAAGTTGCTTGAGGCTGGGTCGTGTTCCTGCTGCTGCTGTAGCCGGCGGGCGACGCTGTGCCGGCCACGACCGTCGACTGGCGAGACGGCGCCTTGGTGTGCGAGAAGACGACGGTGTCGCTGCTGAGCGTCGCTGCGGCTGGACGCTCCGGGCGGTTGGAGAGCGCTGGGGGGCCGGAAGACGCGGCGGGGGGCCCGGACGCGCCGGCGCGGGGCAGGATGTGCGCCATCTTGTCGGCCGATCTTGCAGAAAGTGAGACTATAGTTTTGGCGCCATATTTTTAAATGTGTGTGGTGCACATCATCCTCAGATCTGAGTATGTATTCCACATTGGGGGCGCAAGAAAGGAATAAAGGCAGCCATGAGCGTGAACGTTTGGACGGCGGCGAGCGACGGCGACTTGGAGAGCGTCAAGGCGTTCCTGGCCAGCGGCGGCGAGGCTAATGCTAAGGACGAGTACGGCTACACGCCGCTGTAAGTGCTAGATATTGGGTTGAATTGCAGGGGGAATGGGTGGTTGCTGACGAGTTGACGCTACGCTGACAGACAAGCGGCGGTGAGCTACAACCACATGGAGCTCGTCGTGTTCCTGCTGGCGAGCGGCGCGGACGCCAAACTCGGTGGGTGGACATTTATTTCGTAGTGATGGTGGGTTCTTATAGCTGACGTGGTGCTGTGCTGACTTGCAGGGGACAACGAGATGGACACGCCGCTGCACCGCTGCGAGACGGTCGATTGCGCCAAGCTGCTGCTGGAGCACGGCGCCGACCTGAACGCGCGCAATGCCGAGGGCCAGACGGTGAGTTGGTGACGGAGTTTTGGAGTTCAGGGGCGTAGGTGGACTAATTGGTGCCGAGTGCTTTATGAACAGCCGTACGACGTTGCTATTGAAGACGAGCACGAGGAGCTCAAGACGCTGTACGAGAACCTGGGCGCTGAGAAGTCGAGCAGTATCCCTGAAGAGCAGCAAGAGGGCTTTCCCAACGGCGTTGACCTCGAAGGATAGACTGCTGCATGCATGTAGTGACTCCATTGTATTTTGAACACGGGCATAGACCTCTTTTGTCAAGCAATTGCTAACATAGAGCTCGTGATATTTGATTGATCCAACTCAGCAGAGGAAGGCAATGGCGTTGGGGACAGCAACATGGCTTCACCATGGACACCCTAAGCAACTATCCGCTTGTGCAAGATAAAATTTGTGCAAAGCTACTAAAACGTCACTGCCGCTTAGTGGTACATGCATTGCTTCCTATCACTACATTTGTTTGTTTGTGTTCACTCAGCAAGAGGTTGTCAACACTACCCGCTGTCAAACGGTTCAGGCTCATTATATCATTTTAGTATCATCGTGAACAACTTGCAATTGGAGGGACCGACAGGTATTCATGCACGTGCAAAGACATTTTCTTCCTTCTGCACTCAAAGGCAGATTCTCAATTGATAGAACACGTTGCATCCCTCCAGCAGTCGACGAATTCTGTCCAATCATTTTGAACCATGCTATTGGCTCAGCCCAGCATGGCTACATTGGTGTCGAACACACCACCCTTGAGCGCGTCGACCACCGAGCAAGCACGGCGCACCATGGACAGCACTTCATCCTGGCTCAGCTTCGACTCGCACAAGTCCATCAGCGCTCCAACATACTTCAGACTGTAGCTCGTGAACCCACCAGCGAACGAGCAGGACGTCTGGAAGACGCGAGTGGCCTCTTCGTGGCATCCGAAGCGCTGGGGCTCTTCAACTTGAAGCAAGGCCGAACCAGTCTGCTGCTCATACAGGGCTCGAATCGTCTCAAACACCTCGTCCGCACTTTCACGAGCTTGAATAGTTGCGGTGAGCTCCTGGGCAATGCCCCGCCGATCTTTACCCGGTGCAGCTCGCAGATAACGGTAGAACGCGACGAGGAGGTCCACGTCGCGAGTATCCACCGCACTTTCAATCGCAGATGTGCCAGCAGCTTCGGACAGTGACTCGGTCTCGTCACTGCTAGACTCGTCGTCGTTTGCGTTCTTGTCGTACGTAGACTGGTAGTTCCCCACGATCTCGTGGCTGAGCTTGGAGAGCCCGAACGACTTGACGTGGCTCTTGGTGGTCGCGTTCTTCACTCGGTGGAACTGCGTCGTGAGAGATTCTCCTGAGAGGTCCGTGAGGTCGCTGTCTTCCATCCAGTTGACCGAGTAGAGATCCCCAAGACACGAGCCGATGCGCTCGCCGTTCACTTCATCCAATGGAGGGCAGTACGCAGCCCACGAGGACTCGTAGCCGTTCGCAGCCGTCGTGACGTAAGCGTTGATGCTCTTCAGGAAACTGTCGGAGAACATGGAGCCCGACTCGCAGGCTTCCATGTAGAACACGAGCTCCTTGTACATTTTCTTGTCGTGCATGGTCTTCATCGCCTTCTTCAGCCTTGACGCCGAGAGCGGCTTCATGTGCGGGAAGTAGACGTTGCCACGGGACCCGTGGTCCACGAAGTTGACAAAGACTCGGTCCTCTGCCGTGCTATTGAGCACCTTCTTGTTAAATGCACCTGAGCTGTTGCCCGTGAGGACATTGAGGAAAGTCTCGGGCGTCACTTCCACGCCGCGGTAGTCGATGTTGCAGCCCTTGTACACGTCGACGGGCTGCGAGCCGTTCTTGGTGGTGGGCTTGTTGAAGATCTGCCCCGGGTACGGGTTGCGCTCGTGCCAGGCCACGTCGTCGAACATCATGAGCACCACGTTCTCGGCCGGGATGCCGTGGCGCCGCACGACGTGGTAGGCGTGGCAGGCGTCCGCCTGGTGCCGGTAGTTGCTGTATCCGTTGGAGCCGGCCACGATGACCGCCCAGTGCTCAGCGAGCACTACGGAGGGCGTCAGGAGAGCGCTGAGCAGCGCCGCGACCAGAGGAAACCGAGGCGCCATCGTTCAGGGGGATCGGAGGGTGGCGAATGGGTTGCGCCCCTCTGACAGAAGTGAGGGATTGTTCTCCGCTTCAACGAAAATGTACCCATGTATCGGGATAGAGAGGGGAGCCTGAATGAATTCCGAGTTGCTAACATTGCGCGTAGGGAATTGGCAAGCGAAGATATAAGTCCAAAAGAGTTCTGTTGCGATGTCTATGGAGATCTAACCCAAGTTCCAGTAGACCACACTTTCAGCCCTTCAGCTCAGCTGAGTTTCATTGGAGTTGAGATTTAGTAGTACACAGCGTGCGGCGAAGCCATTTACTGGAACGCACCAGCGTGTGCATACGGTACACGCACTGCGGTGAGCGTTGGCAACGCTAAAACAATTGAAGGAGGGCTATTAAACGGGCTGCGTTGGACTGAGCGGTAGGTGTTTCCATTGCAAGTGGGGGCTTCTCCGGGAGATCTACATGCACACGTACGCAGCAATTCGACAACTCGAAGCGAAATGGCGCAGCAACGAACTGTTACATCTTACAATCGCTTGCACGTTCGTGCTCGGTGCGACGCGCGGAATTCGCCCGCACTCGTTGCCCAAACTGAAGCCTGGGCATGTAGTTAGTTGTCAGAATTGACGACAGCTTGGCAATACTGAAAACGAAGCAGTCTCTGCACCGATGAAAACGGAAGTTAACAAAGGAGAAACTTAACGTTTGCCAAGACTACGGCCTTCGACAGCTTGGTAACTTCTCTCGTGGCGAAAAGCTGAAGCCACACGCTGAGATCGGGCCGCATGCTGAGATACCGTTACGAACCGACACCGATCCGAATTACGGCCAATCACAAGGCCGGAAAGCGTCCAAAAGAGTCGGTTACAACGCGTCTGACTATCTGAAAGGATCCGCGCATCAAAAGCCTTCGGTACTGCATGACCTGTTAGAACTAGTCCAAAGATTCCCGAAAATGGCTCTAATCTACCTCTGCAAACGAATGAACTGCAGCACAAGATGTTTTGATACTGTCACTATGGTCGTCACGGTGGAAAAAAGCGCCTGGCTTTGCGCTTTGCGTCACGACGGGACCCGGTTGCAGGTCTAAATTTAGACTTGGCCCCCATACTGAAGCCAGTTTCCGGAATTTCGACACGCAAAGGAGCTGGCCAACGAAGGACGAAGGTCATCACCTTCCTGCGCCTAGGCCGCCATCAGCCCATTGCCCGGCCACCGAGCGAGCGAGCGAGTGAGCGAGCGCGCCGGCCAGCGCCGGACCAGTCCGAGCCTACATATCCCTCCCTATCTAGCGCACGTAAGTCCCGACCGTCTCCCCAGGCGTGTATATAACCCCCCACCTCGTACTCTGGCGATGCGGAGACGCAGGCCGCAGCTGCTGCTGGCGGCGCTGGCGGCGCTGCTGGCGGACAGGATACAGGCCCAGAGCGCGTCCGCGTCCTCCACAGGCTCCGTGACGGCGTCAGACACCACCGAGGCCGACGACTGCTCGGCCTGCTGCGTGTCGGCCACGTCGTCGGCGTCGCTTCTGGCCAGCGGAGACCCGGACCTCTCGCTGCTTTGCTGCCAGGAGCAGCAGCCCAGGAACCTCTTCGGGACGGCGCACGGCGAGTGCAGCGGCCTGCCGTGCTGCGAGTACAGCGGCCGCAAGGCGCAGAACCACCAGGCCTGGTACCCGTGCGTAGCCTTCCCCACGTGCCAGAACGACTCGAACAAGCAGGCCTTCTGCAACGGACAGGACCTGTGGTACTACACGGAGGGCTACGACTGGTCGTGCACGGACGAATGCTGCTACGGACTCGTGCTGGACTCGAACGTGTGGAGAGGATACGAGAACAACTACCCGGGACAGACCAACGGCACGTTCGGAGTCACCATCACGCCAACGGACTTCATCGACGTCTTCTACCCGGACGGCATGGACGGAGAGACGTACACGGTACACCAGATCATGCTGACCAACCCGCCAGGATACAACTTTACGGAGAACTGCTCGTGCTACTTGGAGCGCGTGGCCAACTCGACGGCCAACGCGCAGCGCGAGAGCACGACGTGCGAGGTGTCGACTTTCCTCGGAGGCAACAGGACCTACTTGACGGTGGACATCACGGAGAACTACCAGTCGAACGAGACGTTCGTGTTTCTTTTCGATGGCGTCGTGACGCCGTCCGGTATGAACGACAGTGCCAGTATCACGTCCAACGTGACGTACACGACCACTTCCAACCTCTCGCCCGTGTATTTCATCTTCAACGACTCGGAAAACACGGCCTTTGACACGTACGTGCGCATCACGGACCTGACCAGCGCGACACTGTCCAGCGGATCGTTCCTGCCGGAGAACATTTACCCGGGTAACTCGGGCAACGCCAGCCTCACGTTCTACACGGACGCCAACATCCCCAAGGGGAGCTCCATCAAGATGACGTTCGGCTCCAAGTGGGGGTTCTCTGCTGACGCAGTGTGGTCGTGGGAGGTCTACCCGCTCGTGACCTCGAGTGAGGACGATTTTTACGGCTTTGCGTTAGCCACTACTACTGAGACAGAAGGCGACGGCGCGAACAACTTTACGTCGGCGACCTTCTCGTCTTCGGATAACTCGTGGACGCTCGTTGTGGAAGAACCGATCTCGATTGGCTGGGTCAGCCTTGGTGTCGACACTGTGAAGAACCCGTCGGTGGCGTACTCTGGACTGGACGCCACTTCGATCAAGATCCGCGACCCGGACGATCTACTGATCATTGAGGGCTCGTTTTCGGCCATTTCCGTGTATTTGACGTCTGGTGCAACAGCGAGTCCGTACAACTACGTGACTATGGTCGTGCTTGTAGGATCGCTGGCGTTCTGTAGTGTGGCAATCCGGAAGAACGGTCTGTCGTTCTCGCTGGGCTCCATTTGGACGGATATCACCGCTATTTGCACCGTGTTGGCGCTGTGCACGGCCATCGTGAACAACTTCATCTGGTTCTTCACGCGTGGCAGCACCTACTTCTACATCATGCACGCGTATCTGTGCTTCACATTCACGATGCTCACAGCTGTGTGTTTCCACTGGGGAACAGTGCTGAGTTTGCGCCTCCGAAAGCTTCCCAAGCGCACCGCTGTCGTCGCATTCGTCGTGCTGAACATGTTCTTCTACGCGTTCCAGATCGGCTACCTGCTCAACTACCAGACCCTGATCGCACGTGTGTATGACTCCGAGAACGATGTCACGACTCTGGCGTATCAGCAGTGCAATGAGGACGCCGATACGTCCGCTACCGTCTTCTCGGAGATCCAGGGCTACCTGTGGGCGTGCTACGCTCAAGACGACGACAACTTCTTCCTCGTGTCGACGTCCGTCACGTACGGTATCTTCTTGGTGCTCACGTTCGTTGTCATGGCTTTGGGCGTGATGGTTATGCGACGTGGTAAACTGCTGCTCGGCAACGCCTCGGGCCCCCATCAGGTTGTCTTGGTGAAGGCTTTGCGGCTCTACTACGCGCTCATCGGTATCGTCACGCTGGTCTACCTCCTCTCTTGGGTCGTGCAGATCATTTCGCGCACCACTCGAGGCATCGCGTACCCGTGGTTCTACATCTTCACCGTGTGGCTTCCGTGCTCCATTCCCCCGTGTTGTTTGATCTTCTTGCAGTGGAATGCCACGGCCCAGTCGCTGCGTGACGCCAATCGCGAGATGTCGAGCGACTGCAGTCCTCTATCAGAGTCGGGCTATGGCGAGATCCGCACGCCCAGCTTCACGTTCAGTACGTCGGACCGCTGGACTGAGGGTTCTTTGGAGAAGATTGAGGAGATCATGGCCGAAGGCGCAGCTACCGCGGACGCTGTGTCCAGTAGACGCTCGCTGATGAACTCAACGATTTCGCCGACAGACGATTACGTCGGCCTCTCCATGGCTCTCGAGATGAACGAGGACTTTGCTCACGGCTGCTTTATCGTGATTCAGCGACTGGAAGTGCAGGAGGGGCGAGACAGCACGTCGTCATCGTGGCGGCAGATTAGCAACACGGATACAGTGATGGCTGGCGTGAAGGACCTAGCGCCGGTTGCCTTGCCTCACCAGCAGCGTTATCTGTACACGTTCCTGTCAGTGCCTCGGATCCCCGTCAGCACTTCAGCCGAGAAGATTCGTATGGTGGTGTATGCGCTGAACTCGGCGCCTGCATCGGTAAACCATGAGGACCACTCGGAGATGACTGCAGCGGAGGTATTGGCAGCGATGGAACGCACGCAAAGCAGTCGCGATTTCGAAGACGACGACGGTGATTACAGTCAGCACACCTTGGACTCGTCACTGGTGGAGATGGAGGCGTTCGGCGGATACCAAAGCTCACGGGTTATTGACGAGCTCTTCGAGATGGAATCCCCAGGGTCCACTGAGGACTTCACAGCTACAGGAGAGAGCCGATCCGAGTCCAACTCTGGATCATCCATCGTGCCTCACACATTCAGAGTGGTTGCCGAGTTCACTGTGTCGACGGGCACTCTCGTGGCCGCAGGCGCGCGCACGGAACAAACGGTGCTCACTGCCACGGAGGACTCGTTCAAGCACTTTGGCCCCAACGCGGCCCCGCCAAAGTTGCTGGTGAACACGGTTATCCCCAAGGCAGCAGGTGCCAAGTACGGCTTCAACGGTGTGGAGGGTGGCCTCCACGCAGCCACCCCGGCAATCAGCAAGCAGTATCACATCCGTGAGCAGGGTTTGCTGGTGGTTGAAGACCTTACCGAAAGCCGCTTCAGCAACTGGATCCCGCGACAGATTCTGGAGGTTATCATCCGGCATCGCACGAAGGAGCTCCTGATTGCCGAGAACGACCTTGCTCGCTTGGAAGCGTACGACCGCCAGCGGCAAAAGGGATCGGACCGAGGCATCTACGAGAACTTGATCCAGCAGATCCAGGACGACGGCGACCTGAACCGGTGTCGCGAGTGGATGCTTCAACGCTGCAACGAGCGCAAGGAGTACGTAGAGCTGCTGCGCCAACTGCGACGCGTGTATGTGCTTCGAGACAAGCGCAAAATGTTCTTCAAGGCCAGTACGGAGAAGAAGAACTCGCAGCTACGATTCCTCCCGATCAACCTGCACTTGCAAGAGATGTGGGTGGGCAACGCGGACGCCGTGGCCCAGACGAGTGTCGGAAGCAGTGGCACCACGGATATCAACGCTAGTGCTGCGGTGTACGACATCGTGACCGTGGGCGCCATGGCAGCTCACATCTACAAGTTCAAGAACGGCGGCATCTTCGGACTGGAGGAGCAGCACGCCAAGCTCAAGCCGCGTGTGCGTGAGCCGCAGGGTTCGGCTGCCGCCCACCACCAAGTGCCGCTCTGGACAGAGGACGAGCAGAAGGCCGATGATGTCGAGTGGGTTCTGGGCAAGCGTATGGACGTGTGCTTCCCTCAAGCTGTGGCTGCGCTGGTGACGGCCTTCACGCGCAAGGTGGACTTGGCGTTGCAGCACGCGCGCCCGGAGCAGGGCAAGGCGATGCTGGAGCAGCTTAGCAAGTTGGGCTTCCTGTTCGACGTGGAGAGCTTAGTGTCTACACACGGTAACGAGGCTGGTATGCTGGAGGATATGGCTGGTGCTGTGAATGAGCTCCGCAATGTTCGCTTCGTGCTGGTGGACGAGCAGGAGGAGATTGGCGAGACGGACGAAGAAGGTTGCGGCAGTAAGTCGCCCCGTTCGGTGTCCTACCGCGTAGAGGAAGAGACCAAGCTCATCCCGTCGTCGTCGGACCGCTCGGACGCTAGTGTTAGCAGTCGCGGTGCTGCGAGCAGTGATGGAGACGAGAGGGGCATGGAGCTGAAGGTGAAGCAGCGGCAGTCCATGCACTTGGAGTCGCTGGAGTCTGCGGCGTCGTCCAACTCGACAAACTCCACCAACTCGACCAACTCGACAGGTATCGGCGGTGTGATCGACGTGGACGTGTTCACGAGCATTGACGATGCGCTCTCGGAAACGAGCTCCGCCAACGCGGGCGATTCCGAGAGCTCCGATGGCCTCTCGTCCTCCAGAGAAGACCTCATGGCGTCGCACTCGTCGTCCTTCAGCGGTGTCGGCCAGCGGTTGCTGAGTACGTTCATCAAAGCGCGTAACCATCGACTGCTGGGCGGACCGGGCGGCAACTGGGACAACGTGCAGTCGCTGGCTCCTGCGTCTGTGGACAAGCTGTTCTCGTACACGAACCTGGTGATCCGCGTGAAGCTGCGTTCCGGCAAGGTGAAGCTGACACGAGCTCTTCGTCACGGTGGACCCATCAAGGTATGTCCGGTGCTCTTTACGCAAGGTATCAACGAGAAGCAGACGCTGGCCAACAACACCGGTTCGTCCGTGACGCGACTGCAGGACGTGATCAACGCCAACAGCCTCAAGACGCTGCGCAGCTACTGCGACCGGTACTGCAACTACACGTCCATGCGGCAGATGCAGGCGCTGCAGAAGCAGGAGCGACGGCGGGACAACTCGACGGATTCCGAGTCGAGTGCGCCTCGACCGAGCGCGGTCCTTCCTCCGACAGGTCCGTCGCGCGACGAAGTGTATCGCATCTTGGGCGAGCTGGACAAGCTCATCGGCACGGCAGGACGACAGGCTCGAAAGAAGCGCCCGGAGATCCTGCAACTGAGCTCCGACCTGTGCCGCAGCATCTCCGGCGGACGTGTGACGGTGTGCAAGTCCGCCAAGGATCGCACGGGCATGTCCGTCACGCTGGAGCAGGGCCGTATTCTGGTGCAGCACCACGGTCTCCGCGAGCAGAAGAAGGCGGGGATCGTGTCCGTCATGCGCTCCGAGGGTGTGCGTATCGAGAACGCGCTCAAGAACACGGGACGGAGAGTGTTCGCGTTCAACGCGCTGCAGCGGTCGCTGCTGCCCGAGGAGTACCGGTGTCCGCCGCAGACAAGTGGCCGCAACGTGTCGTAGAGACCCTCTCTCTCAAGATCAAGAGAGGACCCAATTTTGCAGAAGCGTACAGCATCGAAGACACGGCAGCAGTGGAATGTCCTGGTTGGCTGGAAGGCGTTGTGGTCGAAGAGAGGGATTATAAGCGCACAGCACCTAGCTATCGGGTACCGGTAGTGTGTTTAGACCAGGGGGTGGAGCTGTTCACCGAAGTTTTGACAAGTCTTGGTGTGTCGGTGGGCGTCTTCAGTTCCGCTCTCTACTGCAGTTACGTGTACTAATTGAAAAGAAGCCAATGAGTAAATGCTAACTTACATCAACCTCTTACTGCCTTGGCTCTCGTGGCTGACTGACTCCACTGCGAGTTAGCTAGTGGCCGAGACTGTGCACGAACGACGAGGTCTCGACTGCCTGCTTGATGGGCAGCAGCCACGTCCAGTCGGCGCTCGTCGTGGGCAGCAGCCCCATGTTGGAACACTTGTACACGCCCATGGCCGCGCCCACGAGACTGCCCGCCATGTACACGGCCTTGGGTTGCGTCAGGTCGATCACGCCGTCGTTCACCGGCGCGAATGCTACAATAGATATACAGTAAAAGGTAACAACAGCCTGTCAGAATGGAGACACGCAAAAAGACAGCTCTTGGGGGGCGACGCACCGTTGTTCATGTTGAAGAGGGACTTGGCCGTGTTCATGATGATCATGCCCGTGATCATGATGCTGAAGATATTGATGGAGTTGCCGCTCATCCACATCATGAAGGCCGTCTGCAGGAGGCTCTTGAACGGGGCCATGCCGATCTCCATGGCGCGCTGTAGCAACAACATTTTGTGAGAGACCATCACTCGGACATGTGCATCGTAGCATGTAGCAGCAGCTCCGCACCTTCTTCTTGAGCTCCGACGTGTTGGTGGCCGCCGCCTTGGCCACAGCTCCGTTGGCGTCCTGTGGAGTGGGGGGGGGGGGGGCAAGAGGTTAGTTAGATAGATAGAGAGGGGCAGGGGAGGGGAATTAGGAGGGCGCTACCTTGTCGGCGGAGACGCCCTTGCAGAAGCCCACGGGCTCTAACCGGTGCGGCAGGTCGCTCTCGCGCCCCTCGTTCAGCTGCACGTGCCACTTGCGCTGCTCCATCGTGCGTCCAAGGTCCGAATTATGACGCAGAGGGGAGCGTTGGGTCTTGAGTTGCGTGATGCAATCATTTAGAGACGCATGACGTCCCGCAACATAAACCCAGCGGATTGTCCTCCAGGATCGACCACCCCAGGAGCTCCTGCATGCAGCAGGATGGCAGCAGCGCGACGAATCTGGGCAGGCTGCTGGCACTTGCGCACAGGTGTGTATCGGCGGCGCCTATCGACCGAGGAGAAGTGCTCCGAAGAGAGCCCTCGGCAGAGAGCGGTGGGCCATAGCAGCAAGATGATGCATGCCAACGCATTGCAATCTGCCTGGCCAGATCGTGCCCAGCATCAGTCGACCGGGGCAAGGTGTTCTCCGTTTGACAGGCAGAGCCCTGGCAGAGTTGAAGCAGATGTCGGTCGGTCTGCGCTGACGGATTCTGCGAGCCAAAAAATCCATCACTTGGCGGATTATGAGGCCTGAGCTGCGTATGTCATCACTTCATGCATGCAAGCTTCCTGGCGAGATCTTTCCTACAACGCGTGACCATTGCTTTGCGGATACGGCCACGCCCTGGGTTGCCCGGGCAAAAAGTGAACCCACACAAGCGGACGGTCTCAGCAGCAGCATCCGTTGACACGGAGGTGGCGGAACAACGATGGGAATCCGAGATTCCTCCACCTCCATCGATGGTTGCAGGCTGTTGAACGGCTTGGGCTTGCGTCTTCTCGAGTGCTGGTTGCACTCTGTTAGGTGCGCTGCGCTGGCGTGGCGCTGTCCCTCTGCGACGGCGCTGGCGTCGAGGCTCGCAACCGCGCGACGACGCTCGGCTCGATCTGCGAACGAACGGCGAAAGACGCGGCGAGGTGAGGGGAGCGCCGGCAAATGAACCTACGGACACGGGCGCTCGCGGCGCTCCTCCATCGCAGCCGCTGCCTCGCCTTGGGCAATCTACATACTACAGCATTGCATAGGTGCATTGTCCACCTAAGTGGCGCCCCTCCGACATCTGCTGGCCAGGCTGGCACGTTCTCGTGGGCGGCTCACGTCGAGCGCTCGCTCGGAAGTTCCATACAAACTCTGAGACAGAGGCAATTGTGGGTAAACGATACACAAGTCCACACACAGTTCGCTGTCAAGCCGCCTCACTCTGCAATCCGCCGAGAAGTGGCCAAGCCCAAGCCAAGTCGTCCGTGTCAGACCCTAGCGCCGCCTCGAGACCCTACACCCTAATACTCTACTCCTGGAGCCCAGTATGGTGCTCAAGCAGAGGAAACCTACCTCCTCTTCTACCGCTTCTGCCTCGTCGTCGTCGTCCTCCTCCTCGTCGTTGATGGCGGGCTTCGTGCGCGTGGAGGAGGACGGCGAGAAGCAGCGCAAGCGCTCGCTGTCGGCGTCGTCGCCGTGCTCCGTGGCCACGCCCGAGGGCCGAGCCAGCGCCAAGAGCAAGGTCTTCTCCCGCTGGCTCTACGGCGTTCTACGCGGCGACACGCTGCTGCTCTACTGGCGCCGCACCGACTACAAGCGCAAGACGCCGCCGCTGGACCAGCTGCAGCTGCAGATGCAGGCTGCCGCGCCCAACGAGAGCGTCTTCGGCTTCGACCACGAGTGCCTCTACGTGCGCGCCAAGGAGTCAGGGAGGGTAATCGCCCTACGCATCCACCAGCGCAAGGAGATCGTGCGCTGGGTCACGGCGCTCTACTACCAGAGCCTCGGCAGCGGCGACAAGGTAGAACGGCATCAGACACACACAACAACAGCAGCACCAGCAGCAGATCCATCAAAGCGCCCACTACTCAACAGGTATAACAGCAGGCACGACGTTCTACCCGCCGAGCCCACCGAGACGCGCAAGAAGAGCGTGTCGTTCCAGGATGAGCCGCAGGTGCGCGTGCTGCCCCACGAGGCCTACGACCCGGCCGACCTGTTCTACTCGGAGGACGACTACGAGCAGTTCCTCATGGACAGACCCTCGCACCTGTCCAGCCTCATGAGCGCTATTTATTCCAAGACGGCGGCCAAGCTGCGCGTGACCAAGAAGCGGTAGAACGAGGCCCGACCTGGTCAGATGACTGCTGAGATGACAGGTCTACATACTACTGCTGCTGTAAACATGTGAGGTCGGACGAGGTACCCTGTAGTGCTGTCAAAGATGCAGTGTGAAGGTAGGATCTCAGCTTGTTGTGTTGTGCTGCTACGTTGGATTGGATTGAGCTGGCATTCTCTGCGCTGAAGGTCGACTAACGTGTAAATCAGCCGCGAGAATCATTCATTATCTAGCTTTCGACTTGCGATTCGGCCAACTTCAAGGACGTGTTTGTTTATTCAATTGGGCGCGGCATACTAACACGAGAACATCAACCTTTTAGTCAAAGTGGTGGGTGTTGAAGAAAAGAAAACGATGTTCGCACCAAGCGCTTCCTTCGCGGGACTCACACAGCCGCGCTCGAAGACGATGAAGATGAAGATTAAGAAAGAAACTGGAAGGATCTGGTCGAGAAGCTTTCCAAGCAGACGAAGAAGTTGGGGAAGTACAACCAGTGAATTTTCAGCGGGAAAGACCCCGCGTGGGTCGCTAAATACCACCCCAGGACTGCCGAGGGTTACAGGATCTTGGACAAGGTGAGATAAAATGGTCATGATGCGGCTTCGACAAGTACTCGGGATCATAATGGATTCAAGGCTCCGATACATATCTCGCCGACCTTCACTACTACACATTTGTGCGTCCAAGTTCGTAGTACGCAATTGGGTTGCCGCAATTCTGGCTTTGTAAATGAAGTTGATAAGACTAAAATTGTGCTGAGTTTCATCGGGTTTGGTTGTATGTAGGTTGGTACAAACTTGGACGCACAAAAGTATAGTGACCCGATCTTCTTTTGTGTACGTTGCAACAGATTATCGCAGCATTCTTGCTCGGTGCAAATTTTTTTCAGTAGTACAGTACACTGTACTACTTGATCACAATGCACTGTATATCCTGATACCTTCAGAGAGTAATTATTGTCCAAGCTGCACAACATTTCAAGAAATTGTACAAAGCACCACATTACCGCTTTGTAAAAACACAACAAAGTTGAGTAGTTCTACTGTGGAGCACTACCTTCCGTTAGACCTGTTAGTGCAGTGCACGAAAGTCCCTACAAATGCACTAAAGTACTTTAGTGCACTTTTGGACAACTGATGCTGGACATTAGCGCGTGCACTATCGTACTTTAGTGCATTTGTGGGGACTTTCGTGCACTGCACTAAACAGGTCTACCTTCCGTGATTAATTCCGCCATTTTTTGTAACTCTTAAGATAAGAAAATATACAAACATATGGTGGATCAGTACAATACCAGGATTTCAAGTAGCAACGGTTGTCACCAAATTCGCTGAGTTTCACAGGCAATGAGGCGTGTTAGATCCCCAACAACGTTACATTAATTTTTGCGAATGTCAAGTGTGGGCGACTTGTACATTTCAATAGTTAGTCTCACCTCGCCATCGGTACCGATGTGCATTGCTGATACACCCGCTGGAGCATTAATGTTAACCATCCTTGCAATGTACCACAACAAACACCTCACTACTAATACTTAAAGCCAGTATATCTACTGGCCGCAGTGAAACTCGAGTATGAAAACTCAGTAACAGGATCTTGTAGTAGAGGCTCTACTACAAAATCCTGTTACTGAGCCTACTGTAAAGCACTTAAATTATGTGCTATTGGCAGCTTTTACCTCATCTACTTCGATGTAATACAGTAGACTGCAATAGTAAATTCTCGAGTATTTTCAGGATAGGGCCACTGACCTGCCGCCCCTAGAAATTCTAAGGAGTTTAGTTGCTGCTCTTGCCTCAAAACACACCTCAACGATAACAGGATAACAAGTCATACGATCTATGAATTTCAGATCTCTACTACTCTGTGTCTCCTGATTGTCCTTAAAATCACAAAGAGCACCGCTCACGGATGGAGGCAAGTTAGTACACTACCCACCTAGTTGTACTTTCCTCCTCGCACCATCCTGTTTACGTAGAAAACCCTGTAACCCTCGGCAGACCTGGGTGGTATTTAGCGACCCACGCGGGGTCTTTCCCCACTGGTTGTACTTCCCCAACTTCTTCGTCTGCTTGGAAAGCTTCTCGACCAGCTCCTTCCAGCTTCTTTCTTCATCGTCTTCGTGCGCGGCTGTGGAGTTCCGCGAAGGAAGCACTGGGTGTGAACGTCGTTCTCCGCAACACCCACCGCGCGGTCACCTTGCAACGTGTTGACCTCCACCGCACTGTTCTGATCGACGCTCGACAGGGCCTCCGAACCGACCAGGAAAGTGGACGCGGCGAACAAAACAATTTGAGAGAAGCGCATAGTTCGGTGCCTTCCGGGTAGCTTCTTCTAGTCCTGGGTGGTGCTGGCTGTGAGCAAATTATGAACTGAAGGAGCACAAGTGGCTTGGTTGAAGAGCACTCAAACGATGAGACGACGGTGTTCATGGAGAAATTCTGAGTGCTGCCTTCGCATCAATTAATACGACGAACCGCCATGCCCATCCCATGAGTCGAATGCCTGACTCACAGTTCGATCAATGAAACCCATCCATGCATTTGGTGCGTCCTTAAAAACTACCGCAGAACAGTAGTTTTTCTGGAACTGCAGATGCTCCAGCGTTCCATGAGGCATACACAGCACTCTGTTTTGTAAGTACGTGTACGCTACGGGGTTAGAGGCAACCCGTCTATCAGCTGAGACGACCCACCACTCAAAGAGTAAAAAAGAGTGCCAGGATTGTTAAGACAAAAGCCTTTAGGCCTTCGCCATAGTATTATATTTTGTAGAGGGGTATGACGCGAGATTTGGTCGAGGGAACTTTGAGAATTGACCTGTGATGTATGGCTGGTGGTGCCTACCTCGAAAGTGTCACTACAGGTTTCAACAACGCTCCAGTATTCTATAACGTACTAACCTTGTACTGTAGTTGGAATTCACGGAGATCCAGGTCTTATGTAGACCCGTTCAGACTTAATCTGCGAAGTACATCGTACACATCTGCTACGGTATGCGGAGCCGCCTTTGCTCGTTCGAGTGAACGACAACACCATTTGCGAGTCAACACCCAGAACTCGAGCCTTGTACACTAAGTCCTTGAATATATTTCCCTCATGGCCCTTCCAAGTAAGAGAAAAGCATGAACAGGGCCAGTGTTTGCGAACAGAGCTCCAGAGTCATCGTCTGCCGACCGGGAGCTGCATGATGATCAGACTCTTCGCTTCTTTGAGGAATTTTCCAACGAAGGAACAGTAAGAACTTATCGGTCGTTGGATTTCAACTTCCTACAGCAGAACAGTGTCTGTTCGTTCTCGTTGGGTAGAGCTATTCTACGGAGCCCTGCGACGTTGGCCCACTTTAGACGTTCTTAGACGTACTTGCCCCCTCGAACCACCCTGCTCTCCCAGAATGTCGAGTACCCCTTAGCAGTTGTCCAGCTCTCAAGAAATACGCGCTAAGATAAATCATTTTTCAGGAGTGACGTTATCGTAGTGACTGACAAGGAGCCGGCATAGACGACTACTTTCGGGCGGCTTGGCTGAGATCAATGCTTGGCCTAACTATTTCGTAGCAAGTTATAGACATGCTTATAGGGATAGGAAGCAACGTTAGTGCTACTATAGCAGACCAAATCCGTGGTACGAACTATGACCCCTCTTGACATGGTACATTGTCTTGAAACCGGTACTACTGGTTTATATGCGTGGGCAGATCGCACCGGTAGGATACTCATCACACTGGTATGAATCAGTATATGCTTTGAGCTGGGTACGTATGAACGCAATGAAGTAAAGACTAAAGGTAAGCGTTTATATTTTCTACAAGCTCCATACAGATCTCAACCAAGGTTCGCATTTTTAGTTTTGTGAAGCATTGCCGGTAATCAGTTTAAACTGGTAAATTTCCGCTGCGGCTGCTGGCGCAGGAGATGACCGTAGCTAATAAGAAAACATATAATGAAAAAAAGAATAAAAAGTTTTTTTAAACCAAAATTCTCCTACCCCAGCCTTCGCGGAGCCCTAGTTTGGCAGCTACTTATAGTACACTTAGGAAAATAAACAATCAAACGTTTAAAAAATACTTCAAGTATTAGAAAGAAAACTTTTAAAATGCTGCCACACACAGTTTGCCCGTTTACTAAAATGCCACGGTGGTTACGATCGAAATTATCAGAAGCTGAACCGACAGATTCTACAGTTCTTGGAGTTGACTCCATGTAGTTGGAACTCACAAACATCAACTTTGATCGCTCAAATATGCGGCTCCACCAGAATTTCCGTACGATGAGTGTCACGATCCTGATCAAAGGCTCCTCAGAGGGACAGGAGTTGAGTCACGATAGTGCGTCAAAGGGTTGTCATCAAATGCAGTAAACGTCTCGAATTCGATAGCCATTGTGACAGCTCTATGGCTGGTACCAGTAGCACATGATTAACATGGCGGTTTTGTCTTCGCTGTGCGTACGCGTAGGGTGTAATGCTGATCTACAAAATTAGTAGGATTATCGCATGTAGACATGATGTAGTACTCTAGTAAATAGTTATTTTCACTTCAAGAAAAATAGTTACGCTGCTCTGGATCCAAAATGAGTTAGATGGTTCGCTTACTACTCCAAGAAATTGTTCGCACAGTACATGTACTGAGGACTACAGTAGTGAATCACGCTAATAAATGGTCCTCTCGGCCGATTCGACTCGATCTTTGCCGTCGAGGGCAGTATCATCGCTTTCAGTACCTAAACTACTAACCTCAACTCTAAATGCACGTACTATTTTACGAAGTAATACTTTGAACGGAGAAAAAAAACTTCCAACCACTCGTCTTCTTTTTACTAACGTTAGGCATACTTTCCTCCTGGGACCATTCTGTTGTCATGGAATCTGAAGTAGCCCATAGAATACTGGGGGTAGTGTTGAGCAACCCAGTCGGGTTCTTTCCCGCTGAGAATCCACTTGTTATACAGCACCAGCTTCTTTACCTTCGCAACGACCTCTTTCCATCCTCGTTCTTCACCCTCGTCATTCTCGGCAGCTTGGGCCACTCGAAGGAGGCGCTTGGGGAGACCATCGTCGTCAGTAACATCCACCCCGTGACGTGTTGATCTTCACCGCGCTACTCTGCTCGATGCTTGACAGAGCCTCGGAGCTAGCCAGGAAAGTGGACGCAGCCAGCAAAACAATGCGGTAGACGCGCATATCGAGTCGCCCGCTGCGTTTCTTCTTGGAGTTCTGGGTGTTGGAGAGGAAGTCACAAACTGAAGGAGTGCTAATAGCGGCTTGTGCCGAGCACTTTTATACATGCACAAGCGACGATACGCGGATCATACCCATCGCTGTCCACGACGTCGTACAGTGCACTGTACCTGATCAGAATCTATTACTGAGATAGGAAGCGACGAAGTGCTGATAGCCCAGCCCAAATGTCCCCGTCCACTTGGGACCGGTGATGAACCGGTAACATGTCTCGATCAATTTACAGTAAGTGATGTCAATTGACCGAGTGTTCTCGACTTCCCATGAATGATGGAGGCTGATCCAGTTCATTTGCAAATTCGGCGAGCCAAGATTCGTTGTATAAATTTTGCTCTAAAATTGTCTGTACGTCATGCGCATAGTGGTGTTACATTGTCGGGCAGATTCTGCGGCTGCGCAGGCGCAGGAGATGCCCTTGGAGCGTGCGGATTGCGTAAATATACCGGTAAGTGTAAGCGCTTACACAACAGCATGGTTTGATATTTTGGCGCAGGTCTTACTAACATGACTAGCGAGATCGCATCAGGGGTCGGCCAGCGATCACCTACGAGTCTAGACCCGCTCTACACTCCAATGTACCATCGGCGTTAGTGGAACGCTAGAAGATGTCGTTCACGTAGAAGTAACCTGAACTGATCAGTGAGCCCAAATAGTGCGAATTCGAGCGGCGGTTTTTATCAATGGCGGTGAATAGGTGTTTTGTACAAGCGCAGCGGTGGAAGTGGGATGTTTCCGACTTGGAGAAACTATGGCAGAAGTGGTTTCGAATCCAAGAACAGCGAGAGCGCGGCGCTCGTACGAGAGAAGAAGGCCCGCGGACCAATATTTTACGACCATGTCCAACTCGCCTACGCCGGCGTCGCGCCCTGGCGCGCAGAGAGGCTACGTCGTCCGCCTCGAGTGTCCCCACGAACTCGATGACGGCGCCTGGGACGGACCCATCTACGTGCGGCTGCAGGAGCCGCGCTATCTCCAACCAGGGGACAGCAGTGTCTTCCTCCTCGACGACTCCTCTCGCCGGCCTGGCTGGCTTTGCCAGTTGATCTTCTACCCGCGCGAGTTCGACACCTCGCCCCCGCGTCCCGCGAACCTGAACGACCTGGCATCCACGGCAG